AACCTTGTTGCAGAGCTGTTAGCAACGTCTCCATGAACAAGAAAAAGGCAAAAAGTTGCGGTGCGTGGTAGCCACATTGATGAAGCGACAAAATGGGCCCGGCAAAACAAAGTGACGGCCGTGCGACACCGTCACGGCCGGCAACTTCCGTAGTTGAACTTGGGACGAGCTTTCGTCTTTTCTTCTTTCATCCTCTGGTTCTCTTCTTCGCGTTCGAGACGGAGTCTGCGCCTTTCTTCTCTCTCTTCTTGCGCCCTGCGCCGCTGCTCTTCTGCTTGTCGTTGTTTTTCGGCGCGGAGCTCTTCTTGCCGTCTCTTCTTTTCTTCTCTGGCTTGTTCTTCTTGCAGTCTTGCCTCCTCTCTTAGTCGGGCGTCCTCCATTTTCTTCTGCTCACGCTCTCGTTGAACTTTCAACTTCTTCACCATGTTTTCCTCCTTTCTTGCTTTCCGGGTAGCCGCTCTCTCCTCAATTTGACGCCGCTTCTCCCTTTCTCGGGCTTCGCGATCCGATGACTTCATCAAGCGAAGCAAGACGCTCTTCCTCCTGGTTTGCTTCGTGGTCGGGAATTCCTGACCCTCCTCGTGCGATGCAGCGCTCCACCAATCAAAAGATGGGTATGAAGGAGGGGAAACTGGGGGTGTCATACTTCTTGTTTGTCTTGATATGTCCAACTTGTCCGCAGTTGGCACACTTGCGAGTTGTACCAGTGGGCACCTTGTCGATAGCGCCGGGTGATCCAGCTTCGCCAGCGCTGGCTTTCTGATGGAGCTCTTTTTGCTGTTCTCGGGCCTGTCGTCGAGCCTTGTTCTTTTCGAGTCGTTCGAGCTCCTTTTTGATTCTGTAGCAAGTTGCGCGTAAGTACACCATCTTTGCTGCGACAAGGTGGCAAGTTATCCATTTACATACCTAATGCCTGCAAGGCGGTCATGATCGGCATTGCCCGTAGGCCGGGCGCTGTAGATGCTGTGGATAGATATACGTAAGCAGGTGCTCGGAACTCAAATCCAACTACATCAGCAACAGCACCTGGAGACGGCGCTTGTCGTCTCTCGGGTCTGAGATGCATGTCACCTAGGCATGCCCACTTGTGAAGGGTCTTGACACCCAACGGCAGCCTCTTCCAAGCTAGAGGGGGTTTCCCACGCGGCCTGCGTCTAATAATATTGAACACGTACTCCTTAAGTTCCAAGTCTGCCTCAGTTCGCCGCTTCATATACTGCGAAATGACAACGGGATCGTGGACGACCTCGGTTCGTGTCTGGGTGGTTCCATCTTGAAGGCGAACCTCTCTTGTAATACGGATGGCTTTCTTCACATGACGACTAGCCGATGTAAAGCCACTAATTTGACTGGTACCGTCGTCGAATTGTGCTGGGGTTGCAGCGGCGTGAACGTTGAATCTGTCATCCTCGTCTTCCGTGACTGCCACATCCTTGTCATCGTGCTCTTGGGCGTCGGAAAGTGTGGCTTTTTGCTTTTCCCAAATCTCCTTGATACCCTCCTCGTACATTGCTTGCTGTTTCTTGACATTGTAGGCGTGGCCGCCATTTGCGCGCTTCTCACGTTCCATAGCGTCGGCCGACGTCGCCAATGGACCTTGAACGGCCTCTATGTACCCGCCCTTCATGGACGTTCGGATGAAACTGAAGCCAAGACCATGTCCTGTTGGGTCGCCTTCACCATGCAACTGAAGCATGGCCTTCTGGGCACAGGCATCAATGAAGGCTTTTGTAGTTTTCCAAGGCGCCATCTTGTCAGCAAGTGTCTCTTCCTGCTTTTCGCCAGGCTTCTTGGCACCCTTTGGTGCCTTGCTTCCTCCCTCGTCATCCTCGTCGTCTTCGGCATCGACATCCATGACATCATCATCAATGTTGGCGTTTCGGGGATCGTAGCCAGCGTCCTCGAGCTCCTTTATACCTAGTTGCATGGCATCCAGAAGACTTACCTCCTCAGGCTTGATCATGGCGCGAATTGCGTTCTCGTCGGGCAAGATCTCGTTTGGCTTCAAGCGCCACATGCCCTTTTCGCCACTCTCCCTATCATATTGTAGAAATTCCTTGAGCTTTTGCCTGTTTTGAGTATCGGTAGAGTCTGCTATGTGCTTTGTAATATCTGAAAGCTGGCAGTTGTCTGTCTGGCTATGCCTGATCATCCGGAAAGCCAGCATCTTCATTCTGTTCTTGGACGCATTCGTGACACGTCTACTATGGGGACCGGGAACATCCACGGAAGGGAAGGTCTGGCCAACAACGTGTAGGTGGTCGATCTTGTGTAGATGCCATTTCGAACCCTCTACGCCTGTTGTGCTTCGGACAACCAGAAAATCGGTGCCACGGGGCGTGTGCTTGAACACGGGCGCCCTATACATTTCGTTATGCAGTGTGGGTACGGTTTCACCTGAATCAACGGTACCAAACAGCGAGAATGGTGATCGATCTTCCGGCAGCAGCATACGATATTCGCCCAACTCCTGCTTGGGTAGCTGATCATCCTCATTATTGTCCTTGCGCCGATAGTAATTGATCAATTTGCTACCCATGCCAAAGTTGTTCAAGACTCGAGGTCTGGGTTCACAGTATTCGAATAGCACAGCTGTTGAGTTGTCGCTAAGACTGAGATCTTTAGATAGACGATAAACTTCATGAGCCTTGCCCTTCATCATCTTGCGCTTATGATGCTGAGGCTTGTCGAACTTGATGGTATGACCAGAGAACTTCTTGTAACGGAAGCGCGGGCGGTGATACTCGTCTGTGGTACCACCGAGCTTGACCTTATAGTACGGCCACGACAGCTTGATGGCAGGCATACTGTGCTCCACAGAAATATTGCCCAGAGTAGCGCGTACTTTGCTCTGGTGGTTTTCCTTGAGCAGCTCATACGCCTCATCGTTTGACAGATTGAAGCGCTGCGAAATATCTCGGCCTATATTGCCATTCGCCATACGTTTAACCTTTGAATCCAGCCGAGGTCGTTTTGCACGGAGATGCGTGTCAGTGTCCAGCAGCAGGTGCGGGTCGTTCATGTCCAAATGGACACGCTTGGCGCCTCTTCGAGTCACATCTTCGAAGTTATCGAACGTAGACGCAGCATATCGAGGTATTTCTGGGAGTCCGAATCTGACTGCTTTCCTTTTCTTGGGCTGTTGGGGTTGCTCATCCATAGTATCCAGCAGAAACTCGGCATCCCACTCATCATCGTGGTCTTCGACTAGCTTCTTTGGTTTGAGGAGTTCCTTTTCAGCAGCGACGCGTTTCTTGAATTCCGCCTCAACTGCGTTGATTTGGGCGCCCCAATCCTGGCATGCCAGATCAATATCTTGCAATGTGAATCCCATAACGGTTTCGGAATCTGATTCCTGGTCCAAGTCAAATTGTGATCTAGCCTCCTCTTGGTTTGTCCCATCATTTTCGCATCGAACAAGGCCGGCAAGCGATGATTCCAGGGCGCGGTGATTCGGTCCAGAAGTCGCAGTTCCCGGAATTCGAAACATCTTCTCTTGATCCGCGGCGAGGTCGAGATTCAGCTTACTCGTAACCAGATGCTTTGGTTTCTTGAGCGGCTTCTTCTCCTTCCATGTTGCCTTCTTTGGTGGCAGAAGTTCACTCCAAGTCAATACACGGCCCTTCTTGAATGCAGGCCATGCAGCTTTCAGCAAGTCTTCGTGTGATTCCACAACTGCTGGAATATCGGGATCTTGATTCGCCGCTCCATTCAGGTGGGGATCGGGGTCAAAGTTGATGGCTGCGAAACTAAGGCTCGAGTCAACAGGGTGGGAGTCATCAGCAGTGTCTGTGTCGCGGACGCGAGGACCTGGCGATGGTGGTCCCAAAATGGGGTCTGTCGGAGAAGAGGGCCCTTCTCCGAACAAATCGTCTGCGTCGTTGCTGGTACCTCCGTCATCAGTCAGGGCCGGAAGTTCCAGCGAGGTGCTGGCGCTCGGCTCCTCATCTGGCAGATCATCATCACTGATGTCTTCGAAATCCTGGGCATCATCCGCCTTGTTGGACTGATCGAACGGAGCATCATCGAGCTTCAAGGAGCTGTTACCGCCTTCCTGGCTCTGCTCTAGTAACCGAGCAATTTCGCGATCATCAGCAGCATCCTGTGCCTTCCAAGCGTTCTCGTCAAAGGACGAGAACTCTTTGTCCTCGGCCATGATGTTTTCCGTTTGCGCGTACTCTTGTGGAGCTTCCTCCAGAGGGGTGGCGCGCACCGGAGCGCCTAAAACATGCTTTGTTGAGTAAAAGACTTTGAACGCGACGATTCAGGGTGAAAGTCGATGAGACGGGACAAGAATAGCGAGGAATGCGACGGTTTTGAATTTGGCGTCCTTCACGGTGGTACAGCTGAGGTTGGAAGATGGAGAGAGAGTTGGGGGTGGTATTCAATCATGCTGAGTCAGCAAAAAAAATACACCACGTGATGGCTCGTTCCCCAAATCACAAGGCAAATGCATGTACGTAACATCATATCGCTGTCATTTTAAGTGTCTAAGTAACTGATGGTAGTCTTTGAGCATCGCTATTGCATACCAGGGTGCTATGGAGGGGGTGTTGAGCTATTCCAGTTGAGTGAGTAGAAAGATCCTTTACGAGGAAGTCGCTCAACCAACCGTGTTCCATGAGTATTATTCCATGCAGAAAGTAACTAAAACGACAGGCACAATATATTTGTACACACAAAAAAAATTATGTTAAGATTGACACATGGGGCTTTACTTTTCGAATGCAGACAATGTCTATTGTTCTTAATGGAAAACTCTAAAACTGTTGTCTTTTGAAATCCCTGCAAACGCTGTCCCATCATGCTGATCGGAATAATAGTGCGGTGCTGATACTCGGCAACGGAAGATATTATATATCTGGAATCGAAAAAAATCGCTGACCATCCCTTATACCGCCGGGTATTATTTGACCACAACCTGTCATCAAGAATCGTACAAATGCTATCAACAAGGGCGAGCTCGTTGAAGCGGAACAAACGGAGCTGTCGCAAACAGCTTAAGCAAGGCAGATGGCAGCGATAACACAAACCGCAGCGGACCACAGGCCAGCAGCTTCAACCAAGCTTTTCATGCCAACTCCGACACCAGCGCCTTCATCTGGACCATCAGCAGTGGTGCCATTGGGGAGAGTTCCATTGACGAGGAGCGTCTTTTGACCGTTGTAATCCCCCACGTTGATGAGAGACTTGTTGAGAGCATCGTATGTGCCGTTGCCGACAAGTTCTGTCATTGTGGTGTTGTTTTCATCACAGCCACATACTTCATACGTGCCACAACCACAAACAACAGGAAGATTCTCTTCCTTGTTGGTGGTGGAGTTGTGGAAGATATAGTGGTGATTGTAAGGATATAGATATGCCCCGTAAAGCCAATGACCAGGCCAGAAGACGAGAGCTCCGGCTGCAAGGCCAACGGCAGCAATACCGAGGGGTGAAACGCCACCAGATCTGTACGGCTTGGCAGCACCTCCGCCGTAGTAAGAATTTCCGCCAAAGCTTCGTGGAGGTCCCGAACCTCCCCGCGATGTGCCACCAGCATTGGAGCTAGAGGCGGTGTTTCCACGGCTGAAGCAAGAATGGTAAGTATCTCAAGCGTGGTAGCGATTCGTTGGGTAGAGCACTTACGATCCACCACCTGAGCTGGAGCCAGATCGACCACCGCTGCCGCTGCTCCCACTACTGCCCCCTCGCGAGCCGCCACCACCACCACCACCTCCTCGACCGCCGCCACCGCCACCGCCTTTTCGCTTGAACAAGTTGTCTTGAGTGATGTCCTCTATTCTGACGGCATGTTGAGGCTCAATAATGTTTGCAGCAGTACTGGACAGTAGTAACGCTGCAAGGAATGTGAAGTCGAACCGCATGTTGAACGTATGGGTGGGTCGCAAGATGCGACCGAGTGCCAGGGGCAAATGTCAGCAAAGGTCGACTTGGAGACCCGCGCAGCCGTATGCAGGGCCTAGGGGAAAACCGAAAGCGACCGCACTGGGGTTGTCGGGTTGTCGGGTTGTCAAGAACGATGCGAAAGTGTACTGTGACGGAATGCTGATTGCTGCGAAGAGTACAAGCTGTGGACATAGAACAATAACGTGAGGCAGCCAGGGGAGGCCAGCGCCTTTAATAATGATTTCTAGTCTCAAGTGCTAACTACCTAGGTACGGGGAAGGAGTAATGGGACTAGCGAGCGTATTGTCTTGGCGCCCGTTTGATGTTCCTCACTCCGACAAGCCGGAACAATGAATGCAACTCCGACGTGTGTTGTGTGCGTTTTGTCCGTCCTAATGTCCCTATAAGCTGTCTGTGGCTTCCTCTGGGCGTCATCAATCGATGCATGTGCTCTCGATCCGCCAACAGTGGCTGAACAGGGGCTCAACTGGGGCAAAGCCGCTAGACCCTAGGGGGCTGATGGCGTGGCTGGTTACGCCTGGCATTTTGTTTGCAATAATTATCACTGGAGCAAACATTGCACTAGACTGAAAGAATGTGGGCAAGAATCCGGATGGTGGGTTGGTGGGCGCACCATGACTTCATTACTCATAATCTGTGGCGCCGTTTGTGATACATACTTGCACCCACAAGTTCAGTGGCGATGGATGTCCTTGGGAGTGCCCTCGCTCCGTACTGCCACTGGACTACGCTCAGCATGCTCTTAGTATTTCGACTCGTTGTCCTTCAATTTTGACAGCTTCTCTTTCGAATGGTGGCAATGGACATCAGCTGAAAGTACCAAGGGTCTTGCCAAGACGGACGGAATCTTCTTCACTTGACACAAAGTAATTACTAGCGCCTTGACATGTTTCCTAAAATACTCGAACAGTCAATGAATCGATGGCGATGTTTCAGTCCAGCGCCTGAGCCCTGGCAATCCATCCCGTCATAGAACTTGTGTCGTGGCGGGTCTCTCACGGTGTCTCTCGAGGAGCCTTTGAGATAAGCTTAAACTCGACGCGAAGCATCCATCAGAGCCTGCTGCGAGAGAATGAATAACTGTCTGGTGGCAGCGACAGATTGCGCTAATGCTGGCCAAGAGGCTGTGCATATTTCCCGGCTTTGGAATCTTCCATTTGTTCTGCAGCATCGCGCACTCCACATTGCTCAAGGGTTGTGAGGCGCAGCTTGCACAAGCTCAGTGCCTTGGGGAGAGCCTTACCCCAGCAAACCTTTTGAAAGACGTCTGGTTAGCCTGGCCTGGCCGTAATCAGCACCGAAGACGACTTTGGACCTGACTATCACAAGTCATTCGCCGTCAACAAAGCGTCTGCACTCGCTGCCTAGTGGGAATCGCAAAACCCGTGATCTGCTCCGCCTGCGGCCAGGTGCCATTGGGAGTTGCCATTTAGGTAACTAACTAGGGCATGACTGCGGAAACAAAGCTGAAATAATGACCATCGCTAGGACGCTAGGCTGAGGCTCTTCGGATCTTCCATCAAGATAGTTTTCCGAACAGGCATCTTGATGGTATTCAGCCATGACCCTGCTTGATCCCACACACGCAGCTCCTGTGCATCTCATGTAGCTGGCGAACGGCGTGGCTGGTTTCGAGTCTCGTCGGATTGTGCCACCGCTTCAATGCCCTTAGATAGCGACTGTGACCATGTAGGCTAGAAGAAAAGGCAACAAAGCATAGATGCGACACAATGCACCCCAATTTGCCAATATGACCAAAAGTTACAAGCACTATGGCATCTTGTCACATAACAAGCCTAACTCGCACCGGACAACTTGGGACTTGGGATATTGGATCGTTAAGCCGAGAGCCGAGAGCCGAGCGCCGAGCGCCGAGCACCGACTTACACCATTCGTCTTCCAAAGCCACCAGCTGCGATGCCGCTCTGCCATGATTCATATTTGACCAATCGAGCAGGGAAAGAAGCGTCTGTTCTTCTGCCGATTTATCCTCAGAATCCAGAAACAATGCTGTAAAATGCTGCATATTGTGCCACCACCCTCAAATGACATCTGTTCCTGAACCCAGCCGCCTCGAAGGCGCTGGGAGCGCTCCACGTCGTCGCAATGGCCGTCAGCAGGCGTGTGAACCATGTCGCAAGCGCAAGGTAGCATGCGACCATCAACTACCCGTCTGTTCAAGGTGCAGGCGCGGAAACATCACCGACTCATGCATTTACATCATTGACCAGCAGCCGCAAAAGAGGCTCCAATTTACGCCCCCTGCTTCGCCTTCACCACGGCTTGCCACGCAGCCGAGGACTGAGCTGCCACGAGACTTCTCACTTCAGCCTGACAATAACGTGGGATATCTGGGGGCCACCAGCTTTTCCGCTGTATTCCAGGATACGCAGACCGTCTTGCCACAGAGTGGAAGAACTCCGGAGCAAGCCGAGGATCTGCAGTTTGCCTTGTTCGAAGAACACCCGTCCTCTAGGTCATTGAGCATTCTGCGCTCCATCCCAGATCGTGCGACCTGCAGTGTATTATTTAAGCTTCATGTAAATCCAGTTGACGGGTGGTGTCGTCTTGCCGCACAGATATTGAACGAGAGCCTATGGATTACGTTTGGCGATGTTCTAGACGGCACGAGAACCCAAGCCAATCTGACAACCATGGCTAGGATTCTGTGTCGGAATAGCTCGATACCACTCCAGGAGGAGCATACAGATCCAATCATGTGGCTGCGATCATTTTCCGGCCAAAAGATGCGATGGGAGTCGCTTGGGCTGCTGTTTTGCTACTGGGCTTTGGGCACAAAATCGCTCCCCGAGAATGCTGAGCTCCGCGAGACCCAGCAACTGCGTGATACCGATCGACGAAGACTACTCAATAAGTACACGCTTTGTGCGGGCATGTGCGTGGATATATGCAAGAATGGCTCCACGGCGAATTCAATGCTTGCGATTCTACTGTACAGATACGGCATTATTCAGTCCATCATCAGCGGAGATGCAAGTAAGTCTTTTGTTCCCCCCATTCCACGCTTTTCAGCGCCATGTGAAGAATCTTGACGAAATCATGTAAGCTAACTCGGCAATAGGCATTCAGGTTTGGAGAATCCACGGAGAACTTGCCGCTCTGACCAGCTTCCTTGGTTTACACGTCACGCCGCCCTCCATGATTAATGATCACTCCATCAGCTCCGAGATGAAGCGTCGGCTTTACAGCATGATCTTCAAGAGCGACAAAGTCGTTGCTACATTTACCGGTCGCCCTCCACTCATTGGCAGTAGGTTTGCCACGACACCGCTGCCACTAGATGTCAGTGACGAAGAATTGCTAAACAGCGACGGCAATTCGCTGGCCAACAGTCCCAATGTTGACGAGCACGGATGGAACAACAGGGGCAAGATCTTCCCCGGGACCATGATGAGAGCCAAAATGATACTTACTCTGATCAAGGAGCAGATTTTGGAAATCGCGCTTCAGATTACGCCGAGTAGTGATACACACCAAGTCTTGTAAGTGGCGGTTTGTACCTGTCGACACTGTCTTCCAGGCTGACTCGGGCACCAGAAACGACTTGCGGAGGAGAGAGCTGGAAGCCCTCGACCAGTTCCCCAAAGTCCTCATCTACCGCGACACGGATATAAATGATCCAGACACGGACGGGCCTACCCTTTACTCCCGCGTCATGATCCGCCTCGACCACCTCCAAAACATGTTCTTCATCGAGCGCCTCCTCAGCAAAGGCAGCTCCATGCTCGGCCCTGAAATCATCGACATTAGCTTCGAAATGATTTCCCTGACGCTCATATTCTGGACACACCAGGACAAACTATTCGGCGTGTCGGGCGACTCCGAATGGCTACTGTTGTGCTATGCCGCGCCCGCCGCCGGCATTCTTTGCATGGAATTGCTCCGCGGTCGTGGCTCGGCAGCAGCCACCCCTGGCCGTCGCGATAGTAGCACCAATCCCCCGATTACGAGGTCGCGCTTGATCCAGCAGCTAAGTCTGCTGGTTGGATTTCTGGACTGGGTTGGTCCCATGGCCCCCAACACAGAGAGCTGCAGCAGTGTGAAGAAGGCAGTGCGGCACGTTTTGGACCAGGCTTTGAATGCGGGCGCGCCGCAGGTTACGGCGCCGATGGACTGGGTTGGCGATTTCGGAGTCGGCTTTTCTGGGGATATGAATGATTTTTTCAACTTTGAACTTTTGCACACTTTTGATTGGTTGCGGCCTGATGGGCAGTGATGGGAGCTGGAGAGAACGATACCATTATGAGTGATGAGCGCTGGATTTGTGTAATTGATTAGAATTCGAATTTGTCTTTACATTATTGCAAAGCTGTAATAAATGGTGATGCCGTTGATGTGAGGCTGCAGATGGTGACTATGCAGCCTTTTCCAACTCCAGATATCAATTATCAATCCCCACTCCCAGTTGCGCATTTTCACCCAGACGTTGGGTGTGGCTGCGCAACCGTCAACCTACTCACCTGACCTACTTACTACTCACCTCATCTCAAACGGCATTGCATAGCCTTCACAAAAAGGCAAGAATTCTCGTCTACCAACGCTGGGAGGGTTATTTTAGAGCGAGTCCAAGGTGCAAACAAAGTCCATCCACATGTCTGGTGACGTCGACAACTCTCTCCTCTCACGGCTTCAAGCCCTCCGCGGTGAGGGTGGTTCGCCCAAAAGCCCAGCATCAAACCCGTACGGCACATCGTCCCCTCACCATCTCATCGAAATGCGGATTATTAACAGCACTAGTATAAAATTCGACGTTGTCGAGCGAGCCAAGGCGCCAACAGGGGGGGATATCCTCGCCGCCCGGCTCAAGAACCTCCGCAGCCAGGCAGATGCACCCATCTCGCCAGCACCTGCCAAAATCACAGAGCGGACCGCAAAACACACATCAGACGTACCGGGTTCAAAAAAGACTCAAGATGTCGAGGATGACGTAGATGCCCTCTTTGAAACAGACGACAAGGCACTAGAGGAGATGCTCGCAGACCTCGACACCCCCGAACCCGCGTCCAAGGACGAACATGTTCAAGCCCTCCTGGAGCAATTATCAGCCCAAATACCCAAAGATGACGACCAAGCAGACGACTCAGATGGGGAGCGAATGGCGCGAGAGGTGGACGACGTAATTGCCCGGTTCAACGACGAGATAGAAGTCGAAGCGCGGGACGACAAAGAGGGCCAAGGACCACCAGAAGGAGGGACGGACGACAACACAGAAATTGCACTGCCGTCGGTCCCGGCAAACCCCGACCTCCCACAAGACACGTCGCCCAAGCCCAAAGGAATAGACGACATTACCGCACGCATGGCCGCCCTCCGAGCCCCAGCAGCAGAAGACGAGCTCCCCTCGGTGCCCACGTCGAAACCGTCCAAGCGCGTGGACAGGCTGACGAGCAGGACAAACTACACAGACGACGACGTGGACTCCTGGTGCACGGTGTGTTTGGAGGACGCCACGCTCCGGTGCTTGGGGTGCGACGGAGACGCGTACTGCGCCCGGTGCTGGCGGGAGATGCACGTCGGGCCAGCAGCCGCGTGGGACGAAAGGAGCCACAGGGCGGTGCAGTTCACGAGGGACGGCGACAAGGAGAGCAAGATTGCCCTGGGGGCCTAACGAGACTTCATGCTCGAGACTGTAGCGCAAGACAACCACGCCACTCAAGTGCCATTTCCCAATTGCCGGCTCCCTCTTTACTCAAAACCCCCGGTCGGCGCACTCACCTAGATGGATCCCTCAAAAAAGTGCCATCTTGTTTGAACCGCCGGTTCACTTTGTACACCAAACGCGGGCGGCGGCCTTTATCCCGCCATGTTCGCTGGTGTAACAAAAGCTGGGCTGCTCCTCTGCTTATTGAACGGGTGGCCGGCTGCGTTATCCCTTGCCGGCATTCCTAGTCATGCTGTGCGTGGCCAAGACGGTAAAAAGACGCCGTCATCTTACTAGTGGTCTAGCCGGGGAGAAACATGGCCGCGATGTCAGACCTCGTCGAGGAGCAGCGGCAGCGGCCAAGATACATTTATGTGAACCGAGGTGGAAGGATTCCAAGGCCAGGGCACACGTGGATATGCCGGGTGTCGCGCACAAAGACGGTGATATGCCGGGCCAGTGGGGTTGGCTCCCGCAGATGCCGGCGAGGGGGGAAAAGGGATTGGTGTCTATAGATTTTCCCATTTCAAGGGGCAGGTGTATTGGCTTCATTGTACGCCGGATGGTTCTGGAACCATTCACACCCACAACTCGAGATGTGGGCTTGGACTCGCTGAATTCCTGGCCGCGAGTTATTTTCATTGTGGAACACGCTTCCCGCAATGGTTCCGGAAAGTGTGGTGAGGGAGTTGTACCAGCATATGCCCGTCGTTGCGGACACCCCTGAAGCTTGTAGTCTACGACAAAGGGCCATTTATCAAGCGTACCAAGGCACACTCATGGTATTTAGGCACAATACACATACACAAACATCAAGCTCTTGCCTTTCCAGAGAACAAAGCGACGAAACTCGCCGCACGTCACACGCTAGGGCTCAAAGGACTTATCGAGCCTTGTTGCCTACATAACCAATGCATTCACAGAAAGTCCTACGGCTAGTTCTGTCGTCCGCCACCAGTGCTAATAAGAAATCAATTTAACTCCAGCCTGCCTATCCGTGCATTCCCAAACCTAAGACGCATGCTACCTAACCTTACTTCTGGAAATTAAAGTAAAAGAAACCGAGACTTCATTTACGCTCTCGAGTTACCACTCCTCTCATTCTGAGTCGATCCATATGCTGGGCTCCTACGCACATCCTCCCACGTAGCGTTGAGGCGTCTCCCCGTAGCAGCCAACAGGCCTTCCTCCTCGGCCTCCTCAGCATCCTCATCCAGATCGGCGATATTTACTCTTGGACTGCGCACGATGGCTGTTGCGAACACGATCAAAAATACGGCCAAAAAGGCAAACTGGACCCAGAAATCGACGATGCCAAAGAATGGCCATGTGATGGTAATGCGGTTCAAGAATGTAGACATGACGGATGGCGTGCAAATGTCCTTGGCGTGCTTCAAGTCGAGCTGCTCTGAGCAAGGACGCACAAGATCTGGCTGGCCTTGGCAAGAGGGCTGTGCGCCCGGGTACTCGGGCTTGTTGGAGCAGAATGTCTGCGTGCCATATATGGAGTACTGTGGCGCAATGAACATGCTGACGGCATAGTTGATGGCGAGGACGGCGAGCGTGAGCATGACGGTGGCGATGAGCAGCGCCTGAGGGGCAGTTCTGCCGCGGCGGATTTGGAAGATGCGGATCCAGAGGAAGCGGATGCCGACAGTGGCGATGCCCGAGATGGTGCTGCTAAAGAGAAAGAGGATCAACAGCGCCATGAGGACGTAGTCAATGGGAAAGACGCGGGCGAGCTTGACAAAGACCCAGTTGAGGGGTTGGAAGATGTGGATATTGCCGAGGATGTAGCCGCACCGTTGCTTGCATACCGAGTTTTTGGCCTTGTCGATGCCCGTGATGAGCATGGATACCCAAATAAGAAGCGAGGGGAGTAGGAGAAGGATGCCGCAGAGCATCTTGAAGGGCCGCAATAGCGCACAGAGCTTGAGCCAAGCCTGATATACTTTGCTCTTGCCTTCGCCCTGTGCCTCGGCAGCAATGCGTTCGCGACGCACCAGCGTCTGCTCTTCTCTAACGAGCGCATCAAGCTCGCGGCGGTCCTTGCGAGACATGCCCTCTTGGCGGCCGGCATTGCGCATCTCAAGCTGGCGCTGCCTTTCGCGGTTTTGCTCCAGCTGAGAAGCCGTGGTTGCCGAGAGCTGAGGCGCCGACACGGAGGGCGCGGATTTGATAAAGGCAATGGGCATCAGCGCCAGACCCGACCCCGTGTAGACGACGTACAGCAGAGTTCCCAATGTGATTAGCAGGCCCAGGGCAAAAGTAAGGGCCTTTTCCGCATGATTCCGCGCAATTAGATCCTTGAAGTAGTCCAAGTCCCAGTGTGCCTTGGACGAGTCCCCCGGAGACGGCATGAAGAAGCCCAGCAGGAACAGTATGACGACCAAGGCAACAAAGAACAATGTGTACTTGCAGGCAGCCCAGAATCGGCTGTGCCATGTTCTTCCTTGCTCCTCAAACTCGATCTCGTCATACTCCTCGTACCAAAAGTAGGCGAAGGGAATGATGACCAGACATAGTAAGGCGTCGGCACTGTACAGGCAGTAGTAGACGATCTTGAGGGTAAGCAGGATCCTGTTCACTCTCTCGGGAGTGGCCCAATCCTTCTTGGCGCCTTGCGAGACGGAGCTGGTGGCGGAGACGAGGGCGATGTCGACGGGCAGCAGCAGGACGGTGGCGAGCAAGGAGGTGAGAGTGATGATGGCGACGATGCTTACGACGGCGGAACGGTCGCGCGGGGTCTGCCATGTAAAGGTTGTGATGATGGCCGCGAGGAAGCAGAGGACCACGACTATGGCGTATGTGGTCCAGATTAAGCTGGTTTGCACGAGACCTGCGTCAGCCATGGCGGACGGTCGTCATTGGTCCAGGCGAAGTGGTTCACCAGATTGATGCTCGGTTGATATGGAGTATATGGATGGAGAGCAGATTGAGGCTTGAGAGCGAAGCTTGACACGAGATGCTGAAGAGCTGAGCAAAGTGGGAGGCAAAAACGGGCGTGACGCAACGTTCCGTGATGGAGACGTCATGGATACGAGAAGGCGGCAAGGAACGGGGAGCGTACAACCAGGCGACCGCTGGGGTCCTGGCGCCATGTGATTGGCTAATGCTTGCGCAGGTACTCTGGTACTAGTTACTTAAGTAGTTAGTATGCCTGTTTCTGGGGGCCTTCAGTGTTTGTTTCAGTGGGGCTTTGCTGCCCTGAGACATGGTGAGCTTGCGGCGCAAGTGATTGCTGGGCAACTGCACTGAGCATCAGCAACCTTGACGTTGGCAGTCCAATGTTTCTAGTTCTAGATGTCCAAAAATTCCGATGGTGCGAGGCGTGTGGGACCAGCACTTGCAGATACAAGGCCACAGTCGGGTCTGAGCACTTGAGCTGAGTTGACATCTGGAGTATTGAGGGCTGGAGCCATTCATTCGCCGTGTGGTTGGAGCTAGGCATTGCATGTGTTCTGCTGTCCCCGGTGCCAATGCCCTGCACATAATCCCTGGCCCACTGCTAATGCACACGCCAGCCAGGCACCTTCATTGTTGCCGGCGCGGCTGCGAATTGTTCCGCCCAAATCTCGGTGGACCGCGCAGCTTTGTGCATCCATGTCTGGAGCTCACCAGAGCCACCGCCGTGCGCAGCGCACCTTCAATTTCAACCTGGGCTATTTGCGATACTCGACATTGCCGCGCAAATACTGTCCATTGCCGCCGCACCGAAGCCGTGAATCCTCCTTCGACCTCTCCGGAACCCCGGCTGGCTTCATATTTGACTTGCCCGGATGCTGGGATAATGGTCTTGCGCCATGCAGGTGTACACCGAGCTCGTGCCTCCTTCGGCCGTCACACACTCCTTGAGCTTGCCCTTGACTTCTGCCTCTGCCAGTAACCTTGTCGTCGCCAAAGGCTCCCTCCTACAGATTTTTTCCACCAGATCAATCCCTGCCGAGCTTGATCCTCAAGCCCAAGACGCGCAATCCTCAGTCAAAGAAGGCCATGTACACTTTGACCGCCGCGCCAACGACGACGATGGCCTCGAATCTTCTTTTCTTGGCGTCGAGTCACTCATCGTTCGAGCCGACCCCTCCCATAATACCAAATTAGTTCTCATCAGCGAGATTCCGTTAGCAGGGACTGTCATTGGCTTGGCCAGAGTCAAAATCAAGAATACGCCATCTGGAGGGGAAGCCTTGCTCCTGGCTTACAAGGCCGCCAAGATGTGCTTGACAGAGTGGGATCCTCAGAGGCATACACTCGAAACCACATCCATTCATTATTACGAAAAGGACGAATTACAAGGCGCGCCATGGGAGATGCCCTTTGGCGACTATGTCAACTACCTCGAGGCTGATCCTGGCAGCAGATGTGTTGCCTTCAAATTTGGAAGCAGGAACCTGGCCATTTTGCCCTTTACTCAAAGCGAAGAGGATTTGGAAATGGACGATTGGGATGAAGACCTGGATGGTCCTTGCCCCGTCAAGGAGGAGCCGCCCACTACCAACGGAGACGGTCCGGGAGATCACGACCTGGTCAAATCAAGATACACTCCGTCATTTGTCCTACGACTACCGCTTTTAGATCCATCGTTACTGCATCCTGTACATCTTGCCTTCTTGCACGAGTATAGGGAGCCCACATTTGGCATTTTGTCCTCAATGCAGTCACCATCACCCGCGCTTGGTATCAAGGACCACCTCACTTACAAGGTCTTTACTCTGGATCTGCAACAAAGAGCATCAACAACTATTCTGTCGGTCACGGGTCTCCCACAAGACCTTTTCAGAGTCATTGCCCTTCCTGCCCCCATGGGAGGGGCCTTGCTCGTGGGCGAAAATGAGCTTATCCACATTGATCAGTCTGGCAAGCCCAATGGTGTGGCTGTCAACGACATGGCAAAGCAAATGACATCATTCAGCCTAGTTGACCAATCTGAGTTGGGCCTTAGACTTGAGGGCTGTGCAGTTGAACTGTTGGCAAATGATATTGGTGAGCTGCTCTTGATTCTGAATGATGGGCGTCTAGCCATCATTTGCTTCCATATCGACGGCCGCACCGTGTCTAAGATTTCCATTAGACTTGTTAGTGCTGAATGCGGAGGAAATTTGATAAAAAGCCAAGTGTCTTGTATTTCGAAATTAGGCAGCAATACCCTGTTTTTGGGCAGTGAAAGCAATGACTCCATTGTGCTGGGCTGGTCGAGAAAACAGGGCCAGGAGAAGAGAAAGAAGTCGCGGCTCCTGGATCCCGACCTTGCTTTGGATGTTGATGATCTCGACCTGGATGACGATGAAGATGACGATCTCTATGGAAACGACTCTAGCCTGGCCAAGCCCAGCCAAACCATCAACGGGAGCTCCAAGCCGGGCGAAGTCAGCTTTCGCGTCCAGGATACCCTTTTGAGTATCGCACCCATTCGCGATGTTGCTTGTGGCGCTCCTGCATTTGTGCCTGACAGCGAGGAAGCAACACTGTCCAAAGGTGTTACTGCAGAGCTGGAGTTGGCATGCGCAGTTGGGCGAGGGTTCAGCGGTTCAGTGGCAATCCTCAATAGAGAAATCCAACCCAAGGTCATTGGTAGATTTGATTTCCCGGAAGCACGGGGCTTCTGGACCATGTGCGTCAAGAAACCCTTGTCAAAGGGCGCAGCGGTAGCAAGCGACTACGATACTACTGCACAATACGACAAGTACATGATCGTGGCCAAGGTTGATCTTGACGGCTATGAGACCTCAGATGTATATGCATTGACGGCGGCTGGGTTCGAGACGTTGAAAGACACCGAGTTTGAACCAGCTGCCGGATTTACTGTGGAAGCCGGAACAATGGGCAAGCAGATGCGAATCATTCAGGTTCTCAAATCCGAAGTTCGATGCTATGACGGGGGTGTGTTTTTTCCCTCTTTCTTCTTTTTCTTTCTTTAACAGCTGAGCATTGTGAAGTGCGTTGTGTGCTAATTTGAGCCAGATCTTGGATTGAGCCAAATCCTCCCAATGTTGGATGAAGACACAGGGGCGGAACCGCGAGCTACGAGTGCTAGCATAGTCGACCCATATCTGCTTCTGAATCGAGATGATAGTAGCATCTTTATCGCCCAAATACATAGCAACAACGAACTAGAGGAGGTCTTCAAGCCAGATGGGACCCTCAAGTCGACCAAATGGGCTTCAGGATGCCTGTACAATGATACGCAGGGGATCTTCCAGAGTAATGTCAACAAACAGAAAGCTGACGCAGCGGATCGAATCATGATGTTTCTGCTTAGTTCGGCTGGTGCCTTGCATGTAAGTTTCTACATAAAGCTGATTCAGGTGCGTAGCTAACAGACGTAGGTTTACGCACTGCCTGATGTGTCCAAACCTATATTTGTTGCAGAGGCTCTTACTTCGATCCCACCCTTCTTGTCTGCAGCCTTTGTAGCCAGAAAGGGGGCAAGCAAAGAAAGCATTACGGAAATCCTTGTGGCTGATTTGGGCGATGCCATTTCACAGACGCCATACCTGATTGTAAGTAAGTGCCTCGGAGTGATTCACATCCAAATACTAACCATATCAGGTACGGCATGCTAGTGATGACTTGACCATCTACGAACCTGTACGATGTCAAGAAGAGGGCGACGCCGAGTTGTCAGCCTCTTTGCTTTTCAAAAAATGTGTCAACACATCACTTGCTAAGACGGCTCCAGAGGTGTCCGAGGATGACGCAGAACCGCCGCGATTCGTACCACTGCGACGGTGTGCAAATGTGAATGGCTATGGCGCCGTCTTCCTCCCGGGTGCCTCGCCAAGTTTTGTGTTAAAGAGTAGTCATAGTGAGCCGCGGGTGATAGGCCTGCAAGGCTTGGGCGTTCGAGGAATGAGCACGTTTCACACCGAGGGCTGTGACCGAGGATTCATTTACGTCGACGTGGAGGGTATTGCCCGAGTAACGCAGCTTCCAAGTAACGCCAGCTTCACTGACTTGGGAGTGTCTGTCAAAAAGATAGCATTGGACGGTGATGTGGGCATGATTTCATATCACCATCCCACGGGCACTTATGTGGTTGCCTGCACCAAGCTGGAGCCATTCGAACTTCCTCGAGATGATGATTATCACAAAGAATGGGCAAAGGAGACGATCAAGTTTCCGCCAACCACGGCGCGAGGCATCTTGAAGCTCATTAACCCTGTAACATGGACGGTAATCCATGAGCTGGAGCTAGAGCCTTGCGAATCAATTGAGAGCATGAAGACTCTACATCTTGAGGTGTCAGAAGAAACCAAGGAGAGGAAAATGCTCGTCGCTGTTGGCACAGCGCTGTCCAAGGGAGAAGATCTGCCTACCAGAGGACGAGTGCAGGTGTTTGACATTGTGACAGTGATTCCAGAACCAGGGAGGCCAGAGACAAACAAACGCCTCAAGTTAATCGCCAAGGAGGAAATACCCCGAGGTGGCGTGACGGCTTTGTCGGAAGTCGGGGCGCAGGGATTGATGCTCGTTGCCCAAGGCCAAAAATGCATGGTCCGCGGTCTCAAGGAAGACGGATCTCTTTTGCCTGTAGCGTTTTTGGACATGAACTGCCACGTAGCCAGCGTCAAGGAACTCCCTGGGACAGGCCTCTGCGTCATGGCAGATGTGTTCAAGGGCCTGTGGTTCGCAGGATATACCGAAGAGCCCTACACGTTCAAGATACTGGGCAAAAGCAGCGGCAAGCTGCCCCTTTTGGTGGCCGACTTCTTACCCGACGGCGAGGACTTGTCCATGGTGGCGGTCGATGCAGAAGGAGACATGCACATATTGGAATTCAACCCAGAACACCCCAAGTCGCTGCAGGGCCACCTGCTCCTTCACCGGACATCCTTTGCCGTCACGCCAAACACACCCACATCGACACTTCTCCTGCCGCGAACCCATTCCCCATCCTATCCACACGCTTCGTCATCGTCACACATGCTTCTGCTGGCCTGCCCCTCGGGCCAGGTTGCTGCCCTCTCTCCTCTCGCCGAATCCACGTACCGGCGATTATTGTCGGTGACGAATCAGTTACACCCCGCGATTGTTGCCCACTGCGGTCTTCACACCAAAGCACACCGGTATCCGGACCAGTCATGCGTAGCCGTGGGCGTGGAAACAGCAGCGTCGTCGGGCAGGGCTTTGGTCGACGGCACGGTATTAGCCAGATGGAGCGAGTTGGGGGCCGCAAAGCGGACAGACGTTGCGCTAAGAGGAGGCTACGATAGCGTCGCTGATTTGCGCGACGACTTGGAAGGTGTACTCGGATGGTCTGCAATGGCGTACTTTTAGTGGTTTCGGGGAAAGGGGTCAAATGTAATCGAATATTCAGCTGTTCACATCCATCTATCTACCAACCCGCCCGACCAGTGGCTAGCAATTCGTGGCAGTAGTAGTAAACATGAACCCCGTACGGCAGTTGACGGCGCTCGGCACTGTTGCGCAAACCGTCGTCGTCTGCTGCACCACATTCGTGGCCCTTGTACATGCGCATGGCAGCGTGAGAATTGCTGAACAGCACGTCAGTCTTTGGGAACCTTTTGGGGAGACGAGTCCGAAACGTACCGTCGGCAATGCAGAAGTCACCCGCAGCATCATACTGACAGCCCATGGTCTTGTTCCCGTACCACGTGTGCGTGGTCGTGATGCCGCATTCCGACGGGCCGGGCGTGGTGTGAGGCGGGCTGGCGGTAGTTGGCGCCGGACAGTGTCGCTTGTCCGCGGCTTCGTGCCTGGCGTGACGGCGGAGGCAGAGGCGAGGGATCTGTTTTTTGTGTTTGTTAGTTTATATGTAAGTGTGGTTGTTGGGGTTGTCACGAACCCGAGGGCGATGGCGATGGCGATGGGCTTCATTTTTGGGAGTTTTGGAAGTTGCTCCGTGTTTGAGCTGCGAGGGAGTGAAGGGGGTTTATATATTGACACCACATGGCTGGGTTTGAGGGGTTGGCATCTCGTATGGATCCGAGCGCGGCAACGGTCCCTCGGCTGTGTGGCGTGAATAGGATTTTGTGAAGCTTAAGTTGGTGCGTGGGGTGCGCAGTTACGAGCGAGCTGAAATGGATCTCGGTGTGAATCAACGGTGGGCAGTGCCGCTTTTACTCTCGAGGTTGACAAAGTTTGGTAGCTTAGCTAGGTTTGCTGTAGTTTGGAAGAATTGCTAGGCTATACGATCTCTTGGCAGGGATGTTGCTTGATGCTGGAGTTGCGTTATCTTGTCTTCTCGCCAGAGTTGTTGTCAGTTGGCTATGATTGTCCTATATACGGCTTAATTAGGCTTTGTCTTTTTGGATTCGAAAGTTCCATAACCATTTCCTGCATGTCGCTGAGAGTAGAGGTGGTGGCTGCTGGGCGACGTCGGGATTGTGGTGTCAACGGCATATAACTAGTTACCTAGATTGGCAGAGTCGGGCATTGAGCACGCTTACTAACCCTAACCCGACTGCATGTGTTGCGGACATCAGGGCCTTGTACCGTTCCCTGCGACTTGTGTTGTAGAAGCGCCTGCAAAGTCCTCTTTACCCCGATCCGACCATCACCCTCCTTCCGTTACTTTTTCTTTGTTATTTCCGCTGTGTAGTATGCTGTATGATGAAGTGCCTGACCAAACGGCCCAGCGTAGGCCATAAATCGCAATACTATACCTCAGTTGCTATGGCATTGGCCGACAGCCTATAGTAGAATGTATTTACTTATCATCAAGTATACACCACCATACTGTCGTACGTTATACTATATAAGGGGTTTATCAAGCATACACTAATATGCCGTGGTATACTGTAATACATAGCGGGACTTTAAGTATACGCTGATATACCATTGTATATTGTAGTATATAGCGCGATAACTAAAGATCTACTTTAGTTTAATACTTAATGCCTGGTATTAGAGGCTAGAAAACTTGTTGATAAAATATTCAAAAGACTGGGGCAGACTAAAAGAAGAAGAAAACAGAAAATGCCATGCCGTTCCTCGTCGGCTCTTACCTTCCTAGTCCATGGACGTCCAATATTGCACCGATGACTCGTCAGGACTTTCATGAGACAGTGTGCAATCCAAAACATTAATCTCGGAGTCTATTCTATGGCTGAGTCGTTTCTTTTGTTTTAAAACCCCATCATGAGGGGCATAATGTCTTTTGCAGACTTTTTGAGATTCATCTAGGCACCCCGTGCTTGTGATTGTAAGTGTGTTAGCCTCCGTATTACCTCGGGCAGAATCTGCGAGTGGTGTGGAAATAGGCCATGCAGGTCCTGCTTGAGTTCGGCCCATTTGGCGTCATCTCCGGCGGCGAGCTTCTTGAGCTCGTCTTCGAGAATGCTCATAATGCGCAAAGTTCCATTGAAGAGGGCCTTGCACATGGGCTTTTGAGGTTAGTGTTTTGTCTGCAGGGGGAGATGGGTGGGCTTCAAGCTCACTGAATCCATTGACTCTTGTTGCCTAAGTACCTTGTATCGCTTGCTGAGGATGTTTGGGTTGACAGAGACGCCAAACTTGTCCCACATCATTCCAGCTATGACTTTGTGTGTCTCGCGCATCTTCTTTCTTTCCAGGAAGAAGGCGTTCATCTCCTCTGTCCACTTCGTGCCCCTGGGAGACGAACCGGGACGGGATGGGGAGAGATATGGAGTGCTGACATCCGGAGCGGCGACTGGAGGCTGTGAGGCCCGAGTCGGCGAGAAGCAGTCGGCTCCGACGGCTAGAGTACTGTTTGCCGAGTCGGGCTGGCCAGGGTCCGGGCTTTGCATGTACATCGGGTAAGACGTGAAAGAGTCTACCTGTTTCTGTTCGGCCGAGTCGTGTTGTTCGAACGAGCCGTGCTGTTCGAACGAGTCGAGCTGTTCTGGCCAGTCGAGCTCTCCGAACAGGCCGAAATTTCCCCCTGTTTGATACATGGCTAGATCATCATTTGGGGCGATAGGGGAACTGTGCTCAAAACGGATGGACTGGGGGATTCCGTCGAGACGAGCATCGGTACTCAAGGAATTATCCTCGGTCCCGGTCCCGGAAGGGGTATTCATGGTCTTCTCCAGTTCAGAAGTTTGCTATCGTGTTGTCAGAGGCCATAGCGAGGGAGGGAGCCAAGATGTGCATACTTATAGCTGAATATACGCGGATATATTCGGCCAAGGGCCGCTATTGCCGTATTGTGCTCCTGGATCAACACTCTGACAGGTATGCGCTAGTGATTACAGTTAGAAGCACTGGAGGACAAGACAGCGGGCTGAACAACGGGGAATCACCTTCTTTTTAACATGCACTTTTTGAACCGACTTGTCGCTCTCTGCCTCCAGGCACTCTGGCAGACTGCCATGCTCGTCCACGGGGGGCCTCACCATGCGTACAGAACCCCCCTTGTCGCTGGAATTCTGCCCAATTGCAGGGTTGTCTCCTGAATCATGTAGTGTTACAGAGAATATGCACGCCGAGACGCGGTGAGCCACGGTGAGGTGCGCAGGTGGTCAGCAAACGCGCGGCCCATGTGATGGCAGACTGCCAACGCAAGCCGCGAGGCGATCTGCCAATTTGTGACTCGTTTCGATGGCTGTACGCAGTCACGTACAAGGCGTCCAGAGCATAAAAGCATGCTGATATCACAACATCAACCTCGACTTCCTTATAAGGGCAATGAGGTGCCGCCATTTACTCTATCTCATCAAAAGCACAGCTCCGCCCAATATCTAGTCTGTGGCATCACACATACGTGTTTGCCTTGACCCCTTTGACTACTACGCAAGCTACTTTCGACGATCGACATGTCCGGGAGCTCGTACAATGGCACCATCTGCGCTCGCCCCAAATGCGCTCCCCGCGGGGACAATGTACAGCAGTCAGACAACCATACCGTCAGTCCAACTCTCAGTCAGCAAAGACAAGTTTATTAACTGTGCGAACAGCTTGTCATGCAAGCATTTTCGAATGCGATGCCTCAGATAACGGCAATAATTTGGGAAGAGATGGAAAAACTTGAAAGTGATACCGGCAACGGGCAGTAGTGAGGTCTGGGACCTTGCTAGCTGCTATACCTTGAGCGTTGAAGTCACGCTTTCATGCCCAATGGAGATGTTCCTGTCTGATTATGTGAAAGGAAAAACGAAAAAAAAATAGAATACATATACAAGGTTGTTGTTGCGATGCCAACGTGGTGGTGCTGCTGAACGGCGGGCGGATTGATGTTCTGTCGCAAAAGCACACAACTTCCGTTGACAATTTACTCATTAACTCGTTCGTTTTTTCTTCATTTTATTTCTTGATGCCTTTGCCTGGCGTAGTGCGCATCTTGTTGATGGAAGCCGATGCAAATGCACAGTTGCGGCGCCCCCGGCCCAACACCTGTGACCTTGTGACCCCGTCGTAACCTGCGATTCTTCAAAAGCCAAGACGATCCATTGCAAGTCAGATGGTCTTGGATGACTCCGCAGAGGAGAAGTGAGATTGCACGAGCGGATCCGTTTGAATGCCGACACTTCCGTGTAAATGATCGATCCCATTGCGGCCCAAGCCTGACCACCATAGGAAGTCCTAGATGAAGCGCCGGCTACCGGACGCCCTTTTTTTTGTGACGAGTATTTTGGCTGACAGCCTTTGAGAGAGTCAACTCCACTCTCGGCCCGTTTCATCTCTTGCATTGCAGAACTGGCTGCCTCTCGGGCCTTGTGACCCTTCTTCATCCTGTCATCAGGGCAGCCGTGACAGATGTCCTTGGCTTTCCTCAAGGTCCTTGGGGCACATGGCCGTTATTCTGAGCAAGGAAGCCCCAAGGCCCCCACTAGGTCTCGACTCTCGAGTCCTTGTGTAACTATCGTCAGGTTCAAGGGTCGGTCCGTGCCGCAACGCTACGCGACCTCCGTGTAACAGCAGTGGATGTTTGTCGTTGCCAAAGTCTAAAAGGAGTAGAGTCAACAAGACGAGGGAGATTCTAGGCACCAGTATCCATGAACAAAATAGTAGAGTAGCTGATTTATGCTGAATTGTTTGTCAAAAGACTAGGCTTAGTGCAAGAGCAGTTGTTGGTGGAACATGGATGCGTCTCTGGACCCGTTATTGACTGTAATAAGACATTGGCTGCTGGTAGCAAAACGGTCAATTCCAACTAGAGGATGGAGAAAGAAAATGAGGAAACATGATGGATGAAGCGGCACCTCTTGTACCGGGGCCTTGCCCAGTCCACCTGGCTTCTGAAAACTTTAATCCGCAATTTCAACACGTTTGCTTCAAAACAGCTTAAAAGCAGTCGGTAGCTCAGCTGCCTGGGTTCGGCAGCATCGTCAGCGTTATTGCCGTCCCTCCAACCTCCAGCAGCCCAGTGCCGTATTTGCCACAACTCGCGGCCCAGCTTGGCCTTCAAACTCCTCAAACATATCTTCAATTATGTTTGGCTTATCTCCTCATTTGTCTCAGATTGTGCCGCTACTCCGGCGGGGATATCAAGCCTTGCTTTCACGTCTCCCACGTCATTATTTCGAACCAAAAGGGCGATGATTGTGAGGAGAATACCCAGAACTGCCAACAGCAATTTCGCGGCCACCAGGCAATCCAAAGGCGCTTTCGGCACCTTGGCCACGGTGGTCCAAGAACGCAGCTGGGCTTCCACGGCAGGTCCTGGATCGAGGGCCGCACCGGAAGCCGCTAGAGTAATCTCGCTGTCCGCATTCGCGAACTGGCTCGCTATCTCCTGTGCGCTGTGGCTCTACCAAACATCGAGACTGATACGCTGGAGGAGATACGCATCTCCAAGGTGTGTATATGCTTGTGTTCCCATGACGACGCTGGTGGTGGACGGGTTGCTCTCCAGCATAGAGACTTGTGTGACTACGCCGTTGGCGGAGGTGTATAGCAAATCAAATACCGCAGCATTACACAATATGACGAAGAGCACAGAACTGCGCAAGCCGCTGGTAATCTCGGGATTGTGGATCAGGTCTTGATTCCGTCCCAGGTTCTGATTTACGCTCATCACGGCAGCAAAGTAATAAGAGTCGGGCATCGAACTTTCTTCCCGTGATAGAATTCGACAAGGTCGGGTGGTTAAGTACATCAATTCCATGGTGCTATTCTCAGTTGTGCTGATAAACCCTTTGATGGCAAAATCGCAACTCTGATTTGCACCAGAGCCTGATATAGGGCTGGCCGCATTGAAACAGCGCGTAGTAACAGGAGGGCGCTGAGATTGTACTGCCAGCGATGCGGCCACGTAATCCACGCTTCTGTTCGAGAGGCTTGTTGGAAGACCAATGTATGCATACTGATTACCAGCATCGTCCGTTAGGGGTTGCACCATGCTCGTCGTCGAGACATTTGCGGGAAGATTTAGCGACTCCCCAGAATTCCACAGGAATTATGCCGTCCCAGCAGGGTTCAGGTCGCACTGGGCAGTAAAGCTCTGCGTCAAATTTGTGCAGTTCTGATGTAACCCGAAGCTAGCATCGCTGCATGTCACTGCCCTGAACCGAGTGAGAGTTACGCTCTTGGTTGTGCAATGGAGCCATACGTCTGTGGCAAAGACTAGCGCGCTGTATCAGATGTAAGTTACCATGAGCCAACCTGTCAACAATTTGGGGACTTTCAATTCTATAGAATTCTCACCTGAGCAATGAACTCAATATCAAGATCTATATCATAATGACAACAGGCCTCGCAATCGGTGCTCTCTTTGGCAAATTGGCAGTGTAGGTAATGTAATACCACGCAGAGTTCAAGTACGAACTGCAAATCATCCGGAGCATCAATGACAACTGGTACGGGGTCAGAGTTCCGGGCCCGGACCTTGGGGTATTGACCGCTTCCCGAACCATTTCCTTGGCAGCCGGAAACGACACCAAGGATAGGATGTACGGAAAGGTGAGCGGAGAAATTGTGCCAGACCAAGAGGCCAGGTCAGCTAATGTCGTAGCACTCAGGTTGACATAGATTACACTGCCATCGTTCTCGGAGGCTGTAGCTCCTTGGGTGTCAGAAAAAAGGCTACTGGGATATACTCGGTTTCCAAAGACGAACCTAAGCAAAATAGCGGACAGGGCCACCAGTGGCGCCGACGACAGGATAGACGCCAACAATATATCCTTGACTGAGCCGCGAATGTGTGTGTTCGGAGCTGCCATTCTGTATAACAGTTGTTGATTAGACCTCGTGCTGCATCGGAACTGGTGCCGGATATGGTGTGTCTTCCAAGTTGCAACGAAGGGATATAGCTCGACTGGCCGTTGATATATACAAATGCTAAAACGCTTCATGCACATCTACTAGAGTCTAGATCAACCTGGCGTGTGCCACAAACTGCCAGGTCTGCTCAACGGAAGCCTGGAGAAAGCCAATTTCCGTGAAGAAATATGCAGAACGGAGTATATGAATGTAAAAGGATTTTGCAAAAGACACAAACGCCAGATTTGGGACATCCAGGCCGGTTGAACTGATTATTTATCAGCGCTATTAGTGAGCACAAGAAGAAAACACATCGAGAAAGGGCTTCCATGGCTTCCAGATACCAGCTCTTGTGGTCCTTCAAGTTATAATGAAGGTATGAGGGCCTATGTCTACGGGATTCCGATAACTGCAAGATTTCCTTTGGCCCAAGAACTGTCAGCTGTAGCGTGGTTTGCCCCCCCACCCCCTGGGTTTGACAGCATATTTTGAGACTCAAAGGTCCGTTCCAGGGCACCGTCTAATGATTCCGTATCCATGGCATCCCACTATATGAAGGCGCAAATCGATAAGCCGAGAAAAAGAAGGTGGGAGCAGTCCAGTTGCACGACGAGGTAGCGATGTGACCAACACCAGTGGCTGTCATCAAAAAGTTTAACATGGTCTCCCGTAGGAGCTTGACATATAACAGCTATATTTAAATAGAATAGAAAAGGGCTACACGCAGGACATCTAGTAATAGTGTATTTTGGCCGTACCTACTCCAGGAAACCGTAACCACGCTTATTGATATTAAAACAATAATTATGATAAAGTGATCAAATTTTTGTAATCATATTTACCTTTAAATAAAATTACAATAATTATTACTAGAATTAAGAACCGCGCGTGAAGCTAAATACCTAGGTACCTACCTAGTATCGGGTGATTAGTCAGTGAAATACATACGCCAGACTTTAAAGAGCACGACATGTTGAACTCTCCCACTTTTGCCATGGACGAGCACAGCGTACTACGATGCCGCTGGTAACAGCATTGCAAGCTATGACAATTCACCACTGGCGGCAGATGCCCAGTTCGTTCAGCTCCCCGGAGTTCATGCTACACGGCTGCGTCCGCGACAACCACATCTCCAAGCTACGGTGGCTGAGTTCCAAGTGCACTACCAGGATCAAGACGTGGCATTGGCAGCATTGGAAAACAAGAATGGAGAGACGCTTTTGCACTGGGCAGCCGGTGGCGGCCAAGTTGACATGGTGCGACATCTCTTACATTGTGGCCTGGACGTCAACAGCACGACCGCCAACGGCTGGACGCCGTTGATGTGTTCGGAACTTCGCTGGTTCCATCCACAGCGCCAATGAAGCAGGCTCATCAGGTAGTGCGGACCGCGACTCTCCTGCTTGCCCATGGTGCTGACCCTCTCCGATCATCACAGCGTTGCATTGCTTGTCCTGCATCTGGAGAGCGACGCCACGAGCAGCACGGCACAGCTTGTGGAGGACTTGATTTCAAGAGGCGCTCCTCTCCAAGCTCGCGCTCCCATGCTTCTCGGGCGCTCGACGAGGAGTCGCAGCCCGTCTCACGGCCATGGCTTTGGGCTCTGGGGGTCCCGTGTGCAGGGTGCAACGCAGTATGCCGCTTCCGTGGTCCGACACAACGAAACACCGCTTCATTGGGCGGCATATCACGGTGCTGTTGGTGTGGCGAGCAGTCTGCTGGCACATGGCGCCGACGTTTTTACAGAGGATGACGGCGGAAACACACCGGCTAGACTGGCTGCCGAATTGCCGTTGCTTGCCAGGGACTTGGATGCGAGGGACGAGCTGCTGCAACTGTTTCGTGGCGCTGAGTGAAGTGTTCAAGGAGCTTAGCACTACGAGAAGTTCAAGTATTCTTTGACTTTCCAATGGCGGCATAACTGAGCCAGGAAGCCGTAATGAGCTGCCACGGAGCAAGGAAACTTATTATGAAATGGCTTTGGGGCAATGACTCACGGCGAGCGCATACCGAGTTGGTCCAAATTTGAGATCTCTTTCTCACTGACGCAGGTGAAGTGGAAGTAGTAAGTTTGCAGTGTAGGCCACACGGTAATGGCGAAGTGAGGTGTAACGGATTAATATTCGGAGCGATTCGGCCATGCGAGCTTGTTGGAATGTAACCTACTCTGACATTTCCTTGCCTCTTCATCATTCACCAGCCGACCCTCCTCCCATCATGTCGCCTCAGCCAGTTTTAGTCTATTCGCCCAAGGTAACCTTTTGGCTGTGGTCTATTTCTATAGCATAATACTGATAGCTTGCTGCAGGAACTTCGCTCCGCAGGGGCTATTGGCACGAGGCGGATGCGACTTGCCTTGAACTGTTTTCCAGGGCCCTCGTGGATCAAGGAAAATGCCCTAGTATGTCCTACGAATTACGTCTCTGAATTCGATGTGATCTAACTCAGCCAAAGGAAAACTATCTGCGTCGTTGGAGCAGAGCATTGACCTAGCTTGGGAGGATGTGCCCGATTTTGTTGACCCTTTTGGTGACCGCCGAGGTTGTGTATTCGACAGCGTTTGGATATTCGACCTCGACAAAGACCTTGTTTCTCTCAAAATAATCGTCAAACCTGCTTTAGCTCTCTTGAACTTGCCCGGAAACGACTGCTCACTCTGGACGATTTTCAGGTGCTGAACCCACCCAGACAATCATTAATTGAGGAGCAGGAGCAGAACCTCCCAGAGCCTTACTGGGAGCCCAAATTGGATCCCCTCCCGCGGATAAAGTCATTTCTTGGTAGACTTCTCCGTGATTTTGCTTACACATGGCGTCATGTTCTTCGAAGGCTAATGAACACTATATCATTCAAAAGGCTAGCATATGCTACCATCTGGATATCAACGTTGGAACTTATTATATTTGAGCGTGTGGGATTTGAGCATGTTTTCACCCGTGGTCCATATGTTGATGTAGTTGATCTTCCAAGCTGGGAGGCCCCCGAGGAGACTCTCGTCCGAGCCGGATCATGCTGGTTTGCTCTTGCGCAAGACACTCGAGAGGGCCTTGAAATGGTACAACGTCATATGACCAGTCGCTTGGAAGATTCTACAACAACTGTGAGAACATATGCCATCCTGACCCTTCGGCATGTTATTCTTTGCAAGGCACGAGGGAGTGAACTTGCGTGGACGCGCCCCGAGACGCTCTTCGGTGATGGCTGTACATCTGATACTGCCATCGACATGATTCTCTGGGCGATTAACACGAGCAGCGCCGAGCCGCAACCAAGTGCAATCAAATCCCTTCCCGTCGAGATCCAAGATAGAATTCTCTCTTATGCAACAGCCAGCTTTATTGCATCAGCCAAGTTGGGCTGTAAACTTGGCGCAGGATCACCTTTCCATTGGGTGGATGGTGGTTTTCGGATTACACTCCAAGAAACCAAGAGACACCGGACGGAAAGTTCCCCTGTAGAATCCCAGATTTATTTGGTGGAGTGATGAGCGGCTTATCCTATAAGCGGGAGCCCAGAGACCAGGTACGATTTGTCAGTCGAATCCTGGCTTCTGCTCCCGGGAGGGCGTAGTCAATCTGCGATGCCAGGTATATACTGGCCCATATCTGTCTGTAAAATCAAGAGAAAATACTTATAAAGCAACTCTGGCGAAACAGGCTGAGGCGGCAATGTTTGGCCGATGTTCACAGGTTTTCGTCAAGGATGGGTCAGTACGTGCGGTCATCATCCTATCCATGACATCACGGCATAGCCGCTCGTTACTCTCTCATTGTCATGCCTCACATTCGCAAAACACAATCATAAATTGCTTATCCGATCAAGAACAGACCAAGAATGTACGCAATGAACGTCTGGCTCAGCGGCCATGTCCGTGTGACGTAAACGGCTATGAGGGGAGAATAGTTCGCAGCCCTCGTGCAACCGTGTAACACCAGCCCAGATCGGCTGCCGTCGAGACAAGCAGAACAGACGTATACAAAGGTAAACACTCTGGTGAAATGCGTCTTCGAGCCACGCACAAATGTTACGGAATTAAAGCCATTAAACCAAGATTTCATTATCGTCTACCAGCATTAGAGCGCATATTAAATTATATAGTAAAAAGGACGCTTCTGTCCAACTGCAAAGAAAGGTGTAATTTTCCGACTAGACTACTACGGCTTGTGACCTCATTCATCACTGTTTAGCACATCCTTGTCCTTGTCCGACGGCACCAGTGAGCGAGTTTATCGCGGCCGTAAGACCATTCATGGCGTTGACCACGCTTGAAACGTCGACGGAGCCAGGTTGCGCGGCAGAAACAACATTGTTGACAGGGATTGGGGAGACGGTGTAGGTAACGACCTTGGTTGGGGCGGCGCCGTTCTCCTGGTTGTTTGGCGCGCTGTCGGGAGATGACTCTGCGACTGGAGTGGGCTGCGAGCCGGTGTTGGCTGGGGCGCTGGTCTCTGTCTCGTTGTCGCTGTCGCTGTCGGTCTCAGGGCTGGCGTCAGTCTCTGCGTTGGGAGCGTCGCTGGTCTTGATGTCGGCGGTTTTGTCGGTCTTGGTGGCAGTGGTGTTGGTGCCAGCGTAGTTGGTATTGATGACACTGGGGCTGGTGGTGTTGGTTTTGGTGTTATTAGTGTTGTTGACAATGGCATCAGGGTTGGCATTTGCATTAATATTGGTGTTGGTATTAGTATTGGCATTGGCATTGGCATTGGCATTGGTATTGGCCGTGTTTGCATTGGCGTCAGTATTAGTGTTGGTATTAGTGTTGGTGTTGGTGTTGGCCGTGTTGGTGTTGCCTGTGCCGGTACTGACTGTGTTGCCATTAGGACTGGTATTAATGTTGGTATTTGTGTTTTCGGCATCCCCATTGGTGTTGATATTGTTCGTGATGGTATTGGTAGGAGAGCTGACGGGGCTTGGTGCCTCCTGGCCGTTGTTGGTCTGATCATTTGAAGCGCTTGCCGAGTTACCAGCCAGGTTGCCATTCAGAGCATTCACACCATTGGCCTGGCCACCGAGGACATTGACGGGGAAGTCGAGTTTATTGCCATTGGCGTTGACACCAACGAGCGAGTTTGACGCATGGTTGGTGTTGACGTTGTTGGTAGTCGTGGTCCCGCCGCTGTTGGCCTTGGTGTTTTCATTCTTTGGGCCAGATCCATTGCTGCCGCTTGGAGCATTATTATTTGTCTGTCCATTTGAAAGACTTGCTGAGTTGTCAGCCAGGTTGCCGTTGAGGGCATTCACATCGTTCCCCTGAAGACCAAGAGCGTTGACAGGGAACTTCAAGTCATTGTTGTTGGCATTGATGTCAATGAGTGAGGCCTGAATAGTAAAGTCATGTTAGTCACGCGTATGCTACTCGGCAGCTGGGCAGCAAGCTTGAAACACGTCAAAGGGGTGAGTGCAGAGCGTATTAGTGGTAGGGACTTACAGGAGAAGGAACTGGCACCGCCGAGACAGACAGGCATAGGGAAAGAATGAGAAACTTCATTTTTGATAAATGTAGGCCAGGGATAATGAACGAATGTAGAAAATGAAACGAACGAATCGAGTGAATGAATGGGCCCAACTAAAAAAGTGTTACCGTGTAGTAAAGAACGTGGTTGACGAGCGCAGAAGCAGCAAAACTCTTTGGACCACCCTTCTCTATTTATACAGAAGATTTCTCATGAGAACATACGGGCTTTTACCAAAGCGCAGGACTGTTAGAACACGAACTTCAGGTACAACTGTTGTCGCGTTGGCGCCATCTGACCCGGACCATTACGAACGTCGCCTAATCACATAGTAATGACATTATTCCACCGCATCCGTTCCTCTCTAGATGCTCACCGGAGGCGTCCCATGCCGGGCTCGGTTCTAGTAGGGAACGGATGGCCTTGTCGTAATTTGCACCCCATTGTCAATGCGACTGTGAAGGTCATGCGCACAGACACTGGCGCAACCAGATGGATGCGACAGGTTCTGCCGGAGACTGCGGCGCGTGTCCAACGGTAAGGCCAAGGCAGATCACGGCCGAAAACGTGGGAGCGGTCCGTTTCAGGTACATGATTGATCCCCGAGCTCTGCCGGTGGCTTCGCGCCCGGACGTGGACACTAACGGCATTCGATTAGTCTCTGTCCGTCCAAGGGAGTGTTTTTGCTGCACTGTACAAAGGATCCGATAATAATGCCTAAAAAGTACAGTGCGGCAGCGCTCACCTGAGGCTGGTCGTCTCCGGTCGCCATGTCCAAATCGTGAGTAGTCAGTAGTCAGTGTTGGCGCAAGGTTCAAGGGAGACGGGACAGAATCTAGCAGTCAGGCAGACCATCTAATAGTATCCACACTTTGAAAACGTCATCTAATCTATATAGCTCCTCTTATACTAGCCTGATTAGACCAGTTGACCCGAATGCCATCTTTTGCCGCTCGAGACAGGGTCAATACACAACCCTAACCCTAACCACACCTACCGGAGCTACCATCACGGAGAGCATACCTTTAACACATCATGTGTAGAGCCTCGGCCCAGGGCTAGTGAACATGTCGTTTCAAAGGGCTCTGCGCGACATGAATGGCTAGATACAGCACCGAGCCCATCGAATCTACCATGTTTATCTAACCCTGCGCGAGGATACAGAACGCCGGTCTAAATATTGAAGTCCTCAAATTCACTGCCATCAGCACATCACCCTTCGTTCTGAAGATAAATTCTACACGTTCAACCAGATGTTGCCACGGCTTCCTCTGGCAACTGGTGCTACGGCCAGCCCTACATTAGCAACTGCGGCACCTCCCCGTCTGAGCTTTCTACATCGGATAAGCATATCACGCACAACCCTGATCGGCAGCGAAATTGTTGCGTTTCGATTTTATGGACGTCTTGATCCATAGAATCCACAATCTTGAGGGTCAAAAGGGAGAGCTGATTCCATCTGTTGACCCCGGACCAATAGTCTTCCGGACGTACATATGTAGTCCACAGACGTGTTTTGGAGCTTAGTCATTCCTAGGCATTGTTGAATGACAACCCAGTCGGCAGAGGTGCCTCAGCTGTGTTGCCAGTCAGAAGCCATGATGCTGAACTCTGTGGTTGAGCGTTGCGAATGATTTGCATACCCGTCCCGTCCGCCCAACTGTAAAAGCCTCAAGCTGCTTGTATGAGATTGAATTAGCGCTAAAGAGAATGTTGCTCACAGAATCCATGACTATCCGACTTGCTGGCTATAATACCTGGCGTCAAGATGCCTGGCCGTGTTCGAGAACAGTCAGCGGTCATAGCGTGACCAGGGTCGACGGTCACGCTTTCTTAGTTGAACTTGGTCCCATATCGAATGCAACGTTGGTGAAGCCAAGGCTTCAGGTGGGACGAGTTGAGACTGGAATACTCCGATACGCCAGGTACTATTTGTATACTGCCTGGTTAGGTATTCGTGCGACCCGTCTGCTACAACCAACCGGGTGGGTGTCTCCAGACCATCAATGATGGGATCTTTCGTTGCTGGATAGCATTTCATATTGTAGTTCGGTACTCCGTACTCGAAAAAGACCTTCAATCCACCAATGATGATGTTTTCGCGCCGCATCCAGGCTACAGGACAGGATGTACAGGAACGCATTTATTTGAATCAAACCAACTCCCTGGTTCAGGAGGTATTGCGGCCCAGCAAAGCTACATCTGCACAGTTGAATTACCTGGATATGGTGGCGGCGGCATCTTGAGTCCGTATACGGAAGAGATGCCGTAGACACCAACTCACCACCCGCTGCTCGTCCCTATAAATACGTCACCGAGACTTCGGTCCAAGATTTGTCAGTCGGAAGGCGGTCAACCATTGTCTCCTGAGATTCGATTTCCCTCCAAGTTGTCTGCCTCAAAGTCGCCATGAGCAATCCCCTTGTGTCCATCAAACGTCTGTGACGGCCCACAACAGAGCAGGCCGTGTGGCAAAAGCCACATATGCGTTGGAGTCTACTTCGGCTTTATCTTTATACGGTTCTCAAGACGGCTGGGATTGGCAAGCTTGTTTCTGCTCTGCTAGAGGAGCAAACCCAAGCCGGCAACAGGCAATGTACGTCACGCGGCTGACTCTCCGTGCAATTCCATAGCTTTGCTAACCATTGGCAGCAGCTGCAGCGGAAACACAACAGGACCGAGTAGAGCAGATCGTGTCCATAAAGTCCAATCAGGCAAAAGGTCAACACAGAAGGAGCTAAAGCGCCTCCTAGGCCACGACTATCTGTGTCTCCGGGCAGAGAACTTGGCCAAGCCTGATCACGCCGAGCCTGTCTTCGATTGCTTAGGAATCGACCTACGAAAAGGCCCATCGCAGGTGGGATCATCAAAGAAATTCGTCTTTTGTCAGCCGAGTTTATGCTCCTGCTCCCAGCGGCATATCACGTTCTTCTACGGGAGCAGACATTGCCGATAACACTCGCCGCAACATATTCGAATTTGCCGGGTCCGACAACAGATCCAATGCTTTACAACTTCGCGGCCAACATCGTCTCACTAAGAGCATCTATAAGGAGCCTCCTCTCGGCAAGGTCATCTATCGCCACCATCTCCTCGACAAACACGATGTCTTCGCTTGAGGCTCCAATTCCGACATGCCCCATGCTCCTCATCTCCTACATTCATACAGTGCGAGACTAATAAGGCTTTGCTGCCAACAAAACCGGAGTTGCATTCATCGGCAAGTTTCAAGACTTTTGTCCAACTGTAGTCATGTACCATGGGTGGACTGTATCAAGCCATTGGTTGATACGACAAGCAGAAACATGTTTGGCAACACTGCATTGCACATTGTCGTAGGATGGAACGCTCAGCTGCCAGCTCTTGCAGTCATTCCGGCTTCAACTGGCAGTTTACTAACTCCGCCGGTAGAAGCGCGTGGCGGAGTTTGTAGATGAAGATTGTAGATCAAGTCTCGGCTCCTTGCGCACGAAACGTGAGATTTAAACGTGGCATTTGACGCAAGCTAAATGTTCAATCGCCCGTCATCAAGGCATGGCACTGTCGCTCATTGCATAGCCACGTCATGTTCCGCACAAATCAAAACCATCTGTAGCGTCTTCAACAAACCATGTCGACGGAGAGTCCGCCCCGAAGCTGGTCATATTGTATGGGTCGAAAGCCGGGACGTGCCAGTTCATGGCTCAGCGGCTGGCGAGTTTGGCAGCCGCGAAAGGCTACAAGTCATTCGTCGATGCCCTAGATACCGTTCGAAGGTCCATGCCCAAGAGCACATCATCACATCGTCCTACGAAGGCGAACCTCTGCACAACGCGGCTCACTTGACCCATTGGATACAGACCCTAGGGCCCGGTGTGATGACGTTTCGTACGCAGTGTACGGATGTGGTATGTGGTGCTTCGATTTCAGCGCCCAAAAGAAGAGCCGATACTAACTCCCGCAAAAAGGTCACTCGGACTGGGTTCATACATTTCAGAAAGTCCCAAAGCTCATCGACTCGACTCTAGAAACGCTAGGCGCTTCAATACTTGCTCCTTTACACTCCACCAACGCCAAAGACAGGGACACGTTCTCCGACTTTGAGGCTTGGGAAGATGATGTCCTCTGGCCCTCTGTTTTGAAACGGTTCGCTGGTCCAAGTGATGCTGGCGGTAACTCCGCCCCCGGACTGAGGGTCAGTTTCTCTACGCCAAGAGCATCCGTCTTGCATCAGAGTGTCGAAGAAGCCATGGTTGTCGCAGCACGTCGGCTCGTCGACCAAAGTGGCGGCAACCAGGAGAAGCGACACGTTGAGTTGCGACTCCCGGCAAATATGCCGTATTCCGCGGGAGATTATTTGGCGGTTCTACCACACAATCCCAAGGAGAGCGTGTCGCGAGGTCTGCGACGCTTCAATTTCCCACGAGATGCCTACGTTACTATTTCGTCCTCTTCGCCAACGACACATCCTATAGGCATGAGTCTTCCGGTAGCAGAACAAGCTCGTACGTCGAACTTGGTCAGATGGCCACCAAACGGGTGAGTAGCCCTTTTCGGCTGTAGAATGGGAACTGTAGGGACGTGACTGACTTGTCTAGGACCTTGCCACCCTGTGCGAGATGAACAAAGAAGGCGATGAGATTCTGCAATTGCAAAAGCTAGCCGATGAGGAGTTCGACACAGTGGTCAAAAAAGGGCGGCTTTCAGTGCTGGATGTGCTGGAAAAGTTCCCTGCCTTGTGTGTGCCGATCCACGAATTCCTTCAGATGTTGCCTCCCATGCGACTACGACAGTATCAAGTTGTTTCCATGCATCCTATTACCGGATTTCAAAACGGGTGAATCCTAACTCTTGCAAAGTTCGATTTCGTCTTCATCGCTCTTCGACTCCAGAAAGGTCAGTCTGACGTACGGTGTTGTCAACGAGTCGGCAATGTCCGGCACGGGACGGTTCATCGGCGTGGCGTCTTCATACCTCTCATCCCTGGAGCCAGGTGAAAATGTACAGATATCAGTGCGGCCAGCCCAGTCAGGCTTCCACCTGCCGGAGAACCAGGAAGAAACTCCGATAGTGTGCATCGGGGCAGGCACAGGACTCGCACCGTTCCGGGCGTTCGTGCAAGAACGTGCTACTCTTCATGGAAGTGGCAGAAATCTCGCTCCGGCTATCATATTCTACGGATGTCGCAACCCTTCATCAGACGATCTGTATCGAGACGAATTCGATGCCTGGGAGAAGTCCGGGGTTGTGAAGATCTTCCGAGCATACAGCGGGGACAAAGAAGAGTCGTGCGGATGCCCATATGCTCAAGACCGCATCTGGCATGAGCCAGGGTCAATCACGGAAATGTGGGAGGAGGGAGCCAGGTTCTACGTCTGTGGCTCTGGGAAGATGGCGGAGGGGGTGAAGGGCGTGCTGGTCAAGATTGTCATGGAAGAGTACGAGAAGGCCGGGGAGCCGTTGACTGAAGAAGAGGCTGCTGGGCATTTCAAGAGGATCCGGAAGGAACGTTATTGCATGGATGTATTTGATTGACTTGGTCCTGTTTGTTGTTTTTAGGCCTTGATACATTGTATTGATCCGGCGATCTGGTGCAACCCTGATCAGCTGTTGTGAACCGCCCCTGTTCCAAACTCTAATTTTCACCATCAACGGAGGATGAAATGCGGGACCTGGCCGAAATCGATGGCCATGTGCTTGATTGTCGTCATCCATTTGGTGTCAACCCGAGTCAAAGTTGCGCGGCGTCGTGACGAACTTTTTACTCTTAGATTGCAACGCCACCACGTCGGGAGTCATGTATTGTGACAACGACCGACAGAATCCGACTAGGCCTCAGACTGAGAACAAAGCCTAAAGAGTTGTTGACAGGAGTGCTTCTAATGCCCTTGGGATGAGAATTCGGCAGAGTCTGCACCGGTAAGGGAAGGCGAAAACAGGTCTTGAACAGATTGTCAAGTGGGAGGCTGAAAAAAAAAAAGGAAAATAGACTCTGAATTTCGAAGCATATACAGGTAAAATGGATACAGCTAAAGGGCTTGGAAATGGGCGACTAATGGGTTGCTTCGCTTTGTTGTGTGAAAAAAAAAACCGCCTTGAGAACTCTAGCGTATTTGGATACGCCAACTTGCTCGCGATAACGGCGTCATATATGAAGGCTATATAATGAGTAATAAGAACAGAGTTAACATCAAGTAATTAAGGCACTTTGGCCGAGTGGTCTAAGGCGCCGTGTTCAGGTGTCCAACCGGATTCATCCGATTGCCCCTATTCGCGGTCTAGTAATAGGCGAGGGTTGGAATCCCTCAGGTGTCATATATTTTTAACGATTACTTTTCACAACTTGGTTTGTGAAACAACCTCTTTTTTTCTTTCTTCTTTTTCGCCCTTTGTTGCTCTGCTTGGTTCCTGACTTTATAGTTTTGATTTTACTTGGCACCTTCACCATGTCTGGTTTTGCTTCAAGTTGTCGTGCGAGTTAGCGTGTCCCACAGTATCGGAACCTGATTGTATCATGGCTCAAGACAAGATTGGTTCTCGACCTTGCTAATGCGGTGATATGAGCTGCCAGCGCCTCGTCTAGCTTTGGCCTGCCCCTTAGTCTGTCAGTCTAACTGGGTGGCAGGACCCGGATGGGCCGCACCGAGACGCGATGCATCCCCACGTCACACGTCATTGAGTCTCCAAAGACGTCCAAGATCCAATGACACGTACCCTGGCTAATGAGGGGTTTTTTTGTAATCAAGAAAACAACCCGAATTAAACAAGTAGCATGCCGTGGTGGGAGATGTTCCCTTTCGGAGAACGCCACTGCTCCGTACTGAGCAGCATCATGACTTCATCTTACCTCAACTTCGCGTTCTGTTTATTTCTGGCTCCCAGCCTCCAGGAGAGTTAGCAGGGGCTGAACTGTTCAGGTCTAGGCATAAGAAGGGCACTTGAACTCCGAACCAATCATATTGGACTTTGCGGATGGGGCAATTGGCAATATCAAGGAGCCTTCTGCGGGAGGGACGTGCCGCCCCATTAAGTCGGACGGGGACATGCAGATCAAGATCCGGTTAACAGTGGGATTTTGGGAAATGGCGAGGCGATTATTCCAAGCACAGGCGGAGTAGTCAACCTCGGACAGGCGTTTTCCGGGTTGCTGGCGAGGGGTGGCCGGAAACAGGAGACGCTCTGTCGTGTAAATGAGTGGTGAGTGTCTCGTGTTTTCTACTACTCGCGTGGCTTGTAAACGCGACAAGTAACAGACAAGAGCACATACAGGTCGCCGATGATCCGATCAAGATCCAATACGCAAAGTAGTTTCTAAAGTCACTTACCGAAATTCCCCTGACGTACGGGGTAATATTACAACCAGCAAACGCAGCCAGAGCCGTAGACGATCTACCGACCCACCCCTTAGTGACGTTTCATTTTATGTTTTTACATGTCTAGATTAGCCTTTCATGTGTCTCTGATTGGTTAGTCTTTCGTTCCCCCGCTCGGGGCCAGAGGCAAACCCGAGTTTTCCCCATCCTCCGTCTGCTCCAACCTGCATCATCGGCAGATAGAACTTGGAAAGAGCTTCAACTCCTCCACGCATGGTGGTTTTTTTCTTAGAAGCCATGATCCTGTTTGGTCAAGGCAACAAGGTAGCATCAGGACACAATAGTAATTTTTATCCCTTTGGACCGAGTTGTCGGCCGCTGGAGATACATCGTGGAAATCGTAAGCGTCACACGTTCGGCTGCTCGCTGAACAGTGGAGACTAGTCTTTTGGTTACCACGAGTTATCATGAGACATTGATGCTGCAATGTACTTCTGCATGTCTCTCCCAGCGAGCACTGTCGAATCCACAACATCTATAGACATGGTCTGTCTTCCCTAATCATGGATGCTGATATGCAATATGTGACCTTTGAGAGCCTGCCAAACTCATTTCTGTTGCAGAAGAGTACTATAATGTTGTGCCGTCGTTCGTTCAAATAAATTGGACTAGATGTTTGACAAGCCGAGGTCCCAGGGCACACACTTTTCAAGTCTTGTTTGCCATCGCCACTCGTAATTCAACCACATAGATCTACTTAGCCATCTCCTGACTCCATTTATGCTTTAGTTCTTCACGCAGGTCTAACTAGCACAGGAAAGAGACATGCAACTTCAGGTGACAGGAGACGTCTACTCCACAGGTTGTGATAATCCAGCCTGATCCTCCATATTGCAAAACTTGACAGCCCATGGCTAGTATAGGCACCAAACTATTTCTGTCGATGCTTCTGCAGGACTAGTTCCGACAAGACTCGGCACTGTACAGGCCCAAAGGAAAATACTCCCCACAAACACCAAAATGCGCAAGATGAGCGCAGCATGTGCGTATACGTCGGCGGCAACCGCGCCACGTCCCGGAACGTCACAGGAAAAACTGCTCAATGTTAGGTCCCAGTGCTCTCCGGCTTTTGAATATAAAAAGCCCGCGATATCCTCCTTGTGCTTGTCCTGGATCCCCTCATCAAGCACTCAGTTCCCAACTCTTGTACAACTTTTCACTCTTCCCCCAAACTTTCACTTACCCCTAAGCTTTTTGACCTTCGCCTTCACCTTTCAAAATGAAGTTCACCTCTGCCATCCTCGCCCTTGCTGCCGCCGTCATGGCAGCTCCCTACGACAACCCACCCCCACCCCCATCCCAAGCCCCAGCTCCAGCTCCAGGCGCAGGCTCAGGCCAGTGCAACAACAACCAGCACCTCACCTGCTGCAGCAAAGTTTCAGATTTCTTCTGCCAAATTGATTTTTTGGGCGTATGCGCCGGAGGGTCTTACTGCTGCAAGGCCAGTCCCAAGGTAAGTTTTCGGAGCCGTCGTGTCTTCCCTTTTGGTCGAATGGCATTACTCATCTGTGGAATCCAGACCGGCATTAGCATCATCAACATCAACGCCGACTGCTTCAGACTTTTCTAAATGTGCGGAAAATGCATTCACGAGATGTGCCAATGTCTATTCACCATGTCTCACAATGAATTGGCCTGTGGATGGGAAAGCCAGAATCATTATTTGTATTTATCTTTTGTTGATACGCAAACTGCTGGTGGTGAAGCTATCTTTGCACAGTGGGAATACAAATTGGTGGCCAGTATACATCTTTCCTGTGCGGTAGCAAAAGGGGCTCGGCGCGAGAGTCTCTCACGGCTGCCTCCATAGACAATACCAGTTCATACAGATAACACACTTACAGTACGATGATTTATGCGACTGTGGCCTTGACGTCGTTCAAGATCAATGCATGTGCTAAGGGACATGCAGAAGTAATTATTAATAGTACCACCCCTAGCACCCAGTCCTGAAAGTCTCACCACAAGTGTCACATGGGTGTTACTCCTGAGCCCTTGTCACCACAAAGATGCCTAGACATGCACGCTGAAGCGGCAGGGGGGTTTAGAGTGTCACTACTTGAATGCATTTAACAAGAGCTAAACACGGGGCTATATACTCTATGCAGAGATGAAATGCTGCAATGTCCTGCGTAGGACGCAGTATTCAGTAGAGCGCTGTAGAAGAAACAACTATATAGATAAACATGATGGACGTTACACAAACCCTGCAAAATACTGCAATTTGGCCCCCCAAAAAGGAAGAAAAAAATTAACTTGAAGCACCCTTCCAAAACTCTAGTATTCAAAGCCTGAGTACTTGCCGACAGGAGAATCAAAACTCCAATTAGTTGCGAACAAGGAAAAGGGGGATATAGCTACCACTATTAGGTCGAGGGTACACGATACCCAAGACAGTTCGACCATGTGCATCACAGCTAGCCACCGGCGCTTTAACCGAGTCTCACTAGCTTCGGTGTCTCATTTCAATTCCTCGAATGAGAGCGAAACTTGCATTAGACAACGAGGTGAGTTCGACAAACAGAGGGCTCAGCTGCTGATGAGCACATCTTGACTCATGCAGCAAATATTGAGACAAGATACGAGCTGACATGCAGCACCACCTTGAATTAATGTTGTGTTGCTGACAAGGTAACAAAACAACTCAACCGTAGAGGAATGAATTACTCAACAAACCCTTTTCCATAGCATACCCAAGCCCTGTACGTTATCTGATATGGAAGTAAATGTATCCGATATCCTTGCTATGACAAGGGCTTAATAGAGGGCTTAGGATCAATAGCTTGATTCATCTAACAACATTCTTTAGAATTAAAGGTCCTTGGTTTTTCTTGGGCTCTTTCCGCCAGTGAAGTATCTATTCATACAAAACAGCGATGAATCTAGTGCCCCTAGGGTCTCGTGATGGTAGCCCTCGTGTAACATCCGTGTGGCACTTGCCTCCTAAGAATTGTCTTGGTTGGGTCACTAACCACGTAGCACATGATATTTTTCAGTAGATAATTGATCGCACTATAAAGGGCCGCCATATAGATTTTCATTTGCTTGAGCTCAGCTGCAATTCAGTCAGCTAAAAGTCTTGTGACTTGGCATAAACACCGCTCTATTTCGGCAACAACTGAGACTTGCCACTGAGAGCTACGTCTGAGAAAAGCTAAAACAAGGCGTCCCGTTATCTAGGCGCGAGAATATCATGGTGTCTGCAGAGCGTAGGTTTAATCACTGGTGAAGTTGTGGAATTAAACTGCATATATGATTAAAGAATATACCTAGGCCAGGACGAGGGTTCAGGCCGGCATAGTCTGCTAAAAGCGGGTTCCTCATGGAGAGCGTTGTTTTGGCGAACTGTACCTTTGCTTGTCTAACACGAAGGCATGGTACAATTTGAAATAAAAAGTTTTGGGGGCAAGAAAGAAGAGCAGGTTCGAGGCCGCCCTCGGATTACAACCATTTGATTTCTGCGCGGCAGATTAGGGGGGTGAAGTAGTCTACACAAATCAGACTGATACACCGAGTTAACAGTGGCCCCTGACACTCATCCCCAGATTAACACGGAATTGGGGGAACGTTCCTTCGGCTTATGTGACGTTTCAAGGAGTTTCTGTTTTGAAAGATGTCAAAGGTAGCAGGGCGGCTGAGAAGGCGAAAGGGATGTTGGACACTCCATCAAAGTGCTGTGTACACGCCGTAAATCTGGCCGAAGCTGGGCGTCGGTCTCCCCGATACATGAAGGTGATTGTCTGTACTTTAGCAGCTCACCAGTCGTTTATAGCTTTGATTTCGCCGCATCATGAATGTAGTCGGAGGCTTGTGTTGGCTGAATAGCAACGCGCCCACGTCATGTATACCCACATCTATACTTGGCCGACTCTACGTAGCCATCGGCATGACAGCCAAATCTCAGGCCGTATAAGTGAATAGAATGCTATTATGGAGGCGGGTAGCTATGTGACGAGCAGAGTCAATGGCCGCTATCGCTGCATCTTTTTACGGAGTACTTCATTGGTTAAGCCCAATACCCGTTGTGACACCAAGTCGCCAACAAACTCTCAAGCATCCTTTATGCCCCTTGCCGGCGTTGTTGCAAACACCCATAACTACGTGACTACCACAACAAGCATATTCGCACCGCTTACATGCATCGTACTCGCCCAAACCTCGAGATAGGATGCTGCAGATGTCTCATATTCTCGAAACGGTAACAAAAAGGCCTCCTTTCGCACTTGTGGAAAATTCTTCGCCCTCACTAAAGATATAAAGCGCGAAATGGACTGCAACTTTTTGATTCTCAGAACAACGCAGCCGTCTATATTTCAAGCAAGTCCATTTTCAGCTCCTGGCTAGAATGCTCAGTATCCCAAATTGTAATCTAAACGTGCCCACCGAAGAACAAATCCAACGCAGCACGCGGGCTCATCCTCACGTCATCACCCAGCCGCTCACTCGAAGCAGCAAACACCTCGGGCAAAAAGTCGCCCACATCAATACCAAGCAGCATCTTGGCCACGGCCTCGCCACAAGACCAGCAAAGCGGCATGCCGTACCCATTAAACCCAGCAGCGATCCACTCGCCGCCCTGCTCGCCTCTTTTCGTAAACTCAAGCGGCAGGGGTCCAATAATCGGGAGGCGGTCCGCGGTGAATCCCATGATTCCCGACCAAATCTTGCGAACTTCGGGCTTCTCCCCGTTTTCCCAGCCCTTTGTGAATATCGCAGGCAGAACGGAAGACAGATTCTCAACACACGAGGCATCGATTTGCGAATCGTCACTGATGAGTAACTCCCGGATATTGGCCTTTTCACCGCCAATGAAAATATCCCCCGTCCGTGGATTCTGGTTCGAGTACAAGAGGCCAACGTTGACAATCTGCGTCTCGGGGTCGTAGCTGCTTCCCCCCAAAACAGTCCAGGTCACTTCATGACCGCGTTTGCCAAACGCAGCAGTCGACTTTTGCGTCGACATGGTCCCACGGAGCGGGTAGATCTTGCCACGCAGTTCGGGCAGGAGGTGGCCGGTATGGCCATTGGTTGCGTGAACAATTTTCTTAGCGCGCACGTTTCCCCTCGGGGTGTGTAGGATGTAGGGATGCGCAGAATGCGAGGCCTTGTCGTAGGTGATTTCCGTGACGGGCGTCCTGGTCTCGACAGACACGCGAGCCTTGTACTGGTCGAGGATCTGGCCCCAGACCCGTGTGATGAGTCGATATGGCCAGAGTGCCCCGTTGGGGTACAGCAAGGCGCCGGCCTTGGCCTTGACGTCGTATTTCTGCTCATGTCAGATTTCCCTTCTTCCCAGGATTTTCTCCTCTGGCAAGGTTGGACCTACCGCTTCAGCCTCGTCGGTCGTCAGGAACTGAATCTTGCCCTTGTCTTCGGGCACATGCTCCCCGTAGAGCGCCCACGACTCTTTGAATGCCTCCCGGGATGCTTCGTCCTCGAACAAGAGCACGTCTAGTGTTCTTCTGATGTCGCTGGCGTCTTTGAATTCTGGAGACGAGTTGGCGAGCTGGTGCATCTTTTCGAGCGTTCGGTTGGCGTAGCGGGCAATCTTTGTGGCCTGCTCGTGGCCAAAGTGCTCGCTGAGCAGCTTGTAGTCGGTTGGGACGAAGGAGGTGAGAAGGCCTCCGTTTCTGCCGGTTGCGCCGCTTGTAAGAGCGCGTGCCTCGAACACGGTGACGGAAAAGGTGTCTGACGGCGAGTTGTCCAGCAGATGCTTTGCTACGCTGCAGCCGGTTACGCCTGAGCCGATGATGGCGTAGTCTGTTGTGGAGGGCAGACTCGCCGACTGTACTTCGGAGAGGGATGGGTGGGGAGGCATTTGCCAAAACGAGACTGTTGGGTTATCCCGCGGCAACTGGGGGTCTTGGAATGCCTGGGCAGCGAGCTCGGCTATGACGCTGGCCTCTACCCTGGGTGCCATTGTGGTTGTTGCTGTTTAGACGAGGAGTTGATAACGAGCTGGCGTGAAGCGTGTGGAGTGGCGAATGACTGGGCAGTCATGTGTCTCTGGGAGCCGCAGTATTTATCAACCATGGAATCAAATGTATTGGTCGTGTTGAGCTTGGCTGGGCGGGCCGCCGGCCGCCTCGGAATCCGACATGCCTCCATATAAAAGCTCTGGGCAACTTGTTCATCTCGTAACGCGTCAAACAACAGTCCAAGTCCATCATGATAGTCAATAATGCGGCCGCTGCAAATTTCCATCGACGAATAAGAGAGTACATATGTACGGAGTCGGTCGTATCACCACCACAGACACAGCCTGGTACCAACTAGGCCCTAAACAGCATGACAGGCAGGAATCTGTCACACCAAAAATGGGCGTGGCCACGCCACAGTCCTTTGCGACATGCCAAGCCGGCCTATTAAACGCATTATGATTGGCCCCCGCAAGTCCTGATAACGCGGGGTAGTGTCACTGACTCCCCCTCCCGATCCGATCCGAGCCCGGAGCCGCCACAACCACGGTGGATTCCGCGGGCCGTGCATGCATGTTGGCTTTAGACAGTGGCACGTCACTCCAAAAGAGGGTAAAGAGAGGGCATTTGGACTGTCGTGGACTTCCAACTCCTCATATCCCGCAGCCGGAATGCGGACTTGTGGCCCGTGGGCCGTCACGTTGGCAAAACCACGCTCGAGACGCCAACGTGACCGCCAGCCACTGCGCGTAATAACCCGCCAGACAAACTTCTTTTTCCATTGGCCTGGTAAAATGTCAAAGACCAGAATCGGATGAACGCTTAGCTGTCGTAGCTGGCGTTGCTAGTCGAGCACGGTCGCGCATAGTTGACGATTCCCAACTTCATACAACGGCATGAGAGGAGTCAGAGGACCGCCTTGGCAACATCGTCTTGCCTCGGTCAGGCTGGTTGTATCAGCCCATTGCCTTTTCTATTTTTCCCCCATCAGAATCATTTCGTCATGAAAATGTCCTCGGACGAGCCTCCTCCACATGGCGCTGATTTCTGGGTTCCCGGAACCATCGCCCTCAAAGACTGTAAGAAGACCTATTTTCCGCCCAACTTCATTTGTCACGCTCAGATCTAACGCCCTCCTTCACACACAGTACTTCTTCCTACCGAGGGGGTAATCCTGCACCCAGTCCCAACCACGAACCCCAATGATCCTCTCAATTGGGCATCGTGGCGAAAACACGTCAACTTTGGCCTCGTCTCGTTCTACGTGCTGCTGACCTTTGTCCAGCTGGACATTGGCTTCACCGCGTGGGAGCGGTATCAGCAAGAGCTCGGCTTCTCCATCGGTCTCCTCAATGCGGGCGCCGCCATCAACTACGGCGGCCTCGCCATCGGGTGCATCCTCCTCGTGCCCCTCGTCCACAAGTACGGCCGCCGACCGCTGTACCTATTCAGCACGATTCTACAGCTCGTATCGTGTGTGTGGTATGCAGAGACGCAGACCGGGGGGGACTTTATCGGCAGCAACCTGGTCTCCGGCGTCGGCGGCGCCATCAGCGAGACGATTGTGCAGATTACCATTGCAGACTTGTTCTTTGTACACCACCACGCCATCATGAACGGGTGGTATCTATTCTTCACCTTTGCCGGCGCGTATCTGGGCCCAGTTGCCTCTGGCTACATTGTCGAGAGCCAGGGGTGGCGGTGGATGTGGTGGTGGTGCGTCATCTTGTTCGGCGTCCACCTCGTCCTCATTGTCCTTTTGTTCGAGGAATCCAAGTTTATCAACAACGTCGATGCCAGGGACGGCATGGAACCTATCCGGTCCCGGTCAACCGGGGACGACAAACACTCTGTTGCGGAAGCTGAGTGGAACAGGTCCGTCATTCAGGTCGACCACTCGATCCCCTTGGCTAGCTACCGGCAGCGCATGGCCTGGGTCACAAACAGCAAGACGCATCTCTTGCACGACTTTTATCAGCCCGTCGTGCTGCTCTTCACCTTTCCGGCCATCGCATATGCCGCCATCACGTACGGCAGCATGTTGGCCTGGTTTGCGATTCTGACCTCTGTGACTCTGTCCAGGCGACGTACTTGTTTAGTGCGCCGTACAACTTCACCGCCGCGGGTGTAGGCCTGATGAATGTCGCGCCCTTTATCGGCACCTTCCCGGGTATTTTCCTTGGTGGGTGGATGAACGACAAGTCCATTGTCTGGCTGGCGCGGCGCAACGGCGGCATTTACGAGCCAGAGATGCGTCTCTGGCTTGCTCTGCCCATGTCGGTCATGACGCCTGCCGGCATCCTCGTGTGCGGCGTTGGCTTGGCATATGTGAGTACCGACGTTTCGAACTCTTTTTGTGCCCGTTCGTAGCTCTGCTGATGAAATCCTTGTTGTATAGGGCTCGCCTTGGCCACTGGTTGCCGTCGGATACGGCATCTTTGGATTTGGTCTCGTGGTCGCGGGCGGCATTGCACTTTCCTACGCCATGGACTGCTATCACGACGTCAGTTTTGTCTTCTTCCGTAGTTGCTACAATAGCTAATCATTCGCCAGATCATCGGTAACGCCCTTGTCGGAGTCGTATTTACACGCAATGCGTTCTCGGTCGTCGTTCTCTTTGCTTTGACGCCCTGGATCAGCGGCATGGGACTGCGAAATGTGCACATTCTTGTTTCTGTGCTGTGTTTTGCCATTTTGCTTATTCCCGTCATTTTGCTTACTTGGGGCAAGAAGTTCAGAGCAGCGTCTGCAGAGGCGTACAAGAGTTATGCTCGGAGACAGCCAACACACCGTCATGTGTGACGGTGATGTCTTGTCCATATAACATTCTTTTCACTATATACTTTCCTCGATTACAGAACAAATACACTGGCTTACATCTTGCCCTCAGTGTGGGCTTGCACATCATCCCTATAAATACACTCGGTACTCCCCAGCTTGTCTCTTTGCACATTCAAGGGATATCGGCGATGCCCCTTTGTTGGGCTTGTTGTTGTTGAGCTTTGACCGTGTAACAAGGGCTGCAAGCACGGGACCCAGGTCACAAGGCCCTCACCGACTTCTTGTATTTATAGAGCTTTTTAATCAGCTAGGCCTTGAGAGAAACCAAGGCCCTTTGATACCAAAGACAGTGCTGTTATTAGCTGAATTGAGTCATCACTCCAAGCCCTCGCTGAGCCCTAGTCACAATCCTCTACTTCGACCCCAATCACTTCTCATTCACTTGACCACGCTTGAAAGCAATCTTTTCCGAAACCGCAGAGACACAAGGCCGCAAAGTGAAATTCAAATGTCTCACCGCACCACCCCGCGACAACGGTAACCAGCATGTCCAGGCAGGACATCTACACGGTCAAACCCGCTCCCATGAACCCTCACAGCGACAAAAGCCCCTTCACCCGAGAGAGGCTCCGTGGCTCGTACGCCTGGCTCTATAGATACGCGTCGAGGCGCCGGTGAGGCGAGAGCCGGCAAGACAGTCGCCTTCAAAGCCCCCGTGTCGTTTCTCCCCGTCGAAAGCACGTCGCACCAAGGTGACCGGACCACGGCATTACTTGTCTCCTTCATGCTTTCCTGGATCGGCCTGAGGCGCGCCCTCGTATCCGGCGGCAACAGGATCTTGTTAATGCACGCCATAATCTCCGCCACCAACGTCGTCCAAGACGCGATGAAACTGATGATCAAGTCCCAGAATTCCGAGCCAGGCTGTTGCGCCGGTCCGTTCAGCTTGACTCGGCAGATCTCGCGCTTGACAGTCTGCATGTGCTGGATAGCATTGGCGCACTCCTTTGTGAGGCACTTCCAGTGCTGGATGTGCGACAAGGGCGCGTGCTTGCGCACGGCGCTTCGAAGCCCATGCGTTAACTGGCCGCCAAACGCCGGGAGGATGCGCAGCATTATGTTGGCTGAGTTCTGCAGGCACAGGAGAATCTTGTCGAATAGCCCGTCCGAGTCCGATGTGTCAAGGGTCAAATCAGGAGGTTTCAACTCCCCCGGCATCTCTCCGGGCTCAGGCCGCGGCGACTTTTGAATTGGCCCCCGGTTACATGAAGCATTCACGTCAGCGGCAGGATGGTTAGATTTCCGCATCATCTCCTCGTCTCGGAGCTTGTCCGAGGCGCCCGCAACGGAGCCATCTTGGGGATGGACGGTATTTCCGGAGCAGAGTCTGCTGGCCAGTGCTCCGTGCACTCGTTCGTTACAGATAGAATGGTGGCACGGAGCTCCATGACGCAATTGTAGAGCAACGTCAACAGCGTCCGAATATATCGTGCGTGTCCGTTGTCGACGGGCGCATCCGTGCTATCCGCAAGCAGAGCGCATATATGCCGGTACGCTCCCATGAGTGTCTGACACGCTCGGAGGACAATGTTCGTCTGAGTTGAATGGTCCTTGGTTTCCAAAGCTGTTGTGTCGTACTTTTGTATCTCCAGCTCCAACACCTCTATGTGGCAATTTGTACTGTAAATCACGATTTGCAGGCTGGGCTGACTATCCGCTAGTTCGCCGCGAGCCAATATCGCCAGCTGCTGGATCATGGGGTGGATTTGGAGAATAGCGTATAGCATCCCCTTGGCAAATGCAATAAATGGGTTGAAGCATTTCGATATCCGGCGCCGCTTGGGTACCGCAGAGAGTCGTCTGCCGTAGATGGATTGTTGGAGAATTGAGTCAGCGGGCGTAGTAGCGTTCTTGTGCCCAGTCCTAACTCCGTGCGTGGCACAGCTGAAGCTTGATTCTCGATCGTAATGATTGCATGCTCTGGTTTCGTTGACTTCTCTGTATCGGCTCCATTTATCTGGTTGGCCTAAGCATGACAGGGTTTCCGATTCACTCCGGAGGCGTTCTTCAACATTGCCAGTCGCTGAAGGCACAACGCCGGTCCTTTGGGTGCTTCCACAAGGATGAGACTGTTCGCGATAATGTAGCTTGGGAGGCATTGGGTGGAAACCCGATCCCATGCTTTGGTACCTCATACCGGAAAATTCTGATCCAGACACTTTTATTGGAAAGCGTCCACTTGCAGCTCGTTTCCGGCTTGGGCGCGGAGTCTCGTCACCCGGGCCAGTGCAGTTATGGGAGATATCTGGCTCCACGCGGCTGTTAATAGCCTCCTGCCTTAGGATGGATTTTATGCGTGCCGTCATAGCAACCTCTGTCGTGGCACTGCTACCTTCTTGAAGTGAGGTGGTGGCGAGGGTAGAGATGAGATCCTTTGGCGGAAAGGTGATCGGGTTCCCTTTAATTTTAAGGACCTGCAAGGACGCCATATTGGCCAGGCATAATGGCAACTCCCGTATTTGGTTCTTCGGGATGGAAAGAACCTTGAGTGACGATAAATTCGCAACCTCTGGGGGCAGCACGCGGAGTTGGTTCTGACCGAGGTCAAGAATCTCGAGGCGCTTCAAGTAGCACAGCTGCTCCGGAGTTAGCACCTGGTGCACAGTGACAGGAGTCGTGGTCTGTAGATTTGCCTTACGGGCAATGGGAATTCCCGAATCTTGTTTGCCCTGATATTCAGGTACCGTAGTGAGGTACATTCTGAAAGCCGCACTGGCAGAGACGACAGCTGATTGTGCGACAAGGCCAATCTGTCAAAGCATCGTCGTTTTGTCAGCATTGACGTTTGCCCGTGCTCATAATTTTAATTGTTGCACAAACTGACCTTTCTAACTTATCCTTGAGTATGTCCACAAGCTCCTCCGGCAGCTCGGGGATGGCACTCCGGCTAAGGTCAATGGTGACGCCGGGATGCAAACCAACGACTGCATCGCCAAGTTGCCCAGCCGACCCTTCGCTCAGGAGAGCATCTCGCATTGCCTTGCGAGCAATGGCAAGAACCTTTGGTGCAGGTAGGCAACGGCCAGAGGATAAATTCGTGGACAAGGACGCGTCTTTGGCGCCGGAAACGAGCGGCGGCTCAAGGCGATGGTTAGACATGGCTGTCAAGTTTGTAACGACGCACTGAGTCTCTGCCAAACTTCTCGGTAGGCTTCTGGAAATGGGCGTGCCATGCATCTGGTCTGAATAGTTCGTCCTGGCCGATTCTCAGAACCACTTGCTCTCTTGGGTGGAAATACGTTCAGATGTCGGGTTTCATTCGCGGTCGGCGAATTGAGAACTGGAGAAGATCTGCCGACAACTCCTTAAACCTGGCTTGAAGGAGTCTGCATAATCTTATTATCCAATTTTTGCCCAGGCCGTGGCTTCTGTTTGACTGATGATGAAGATGTTTTACACCTGAGCCTCGTCGACATTGGACGTTGGCCAAAACGCCATCGAGTGACTTCATGGAGTAATGTTGTTTGGCATCAAAAACAGCCTTAATTAGACAAAAACAGTAAAAACAGTGGTATCTGTGTCAGGTTGGTGAATTGCACGTGGTAGACCTGTTGGGCCTCTGCACGCCGAAGGCATGCTAGGCATTCCAGCAACCTCTGCGTTCCTTGTCTAGGTCGCGATTCGGGTCTCCTGCATGATAAAAAATGTCACGGAAAGAGAGCTCCGATGATATTGTTATGATTTGTTTCGCAGCCATTAGCGCCCGAAAGGCTAGTTTTTATTCTCCGAGCACGTCTCCTCCTGGGCTGCTGCGCGGAATCCCAACAAGGATGGCATAATGACAGCCTAATTGGGAGACACCGCAACGCGCCCAATTTCGATGCCATGGGAGGATGCCTGCAGCATCTTCACGCTGACCTTTTGATCGGCAAGCCGTCGACGTCGCTGACTCCAATTGACGCAGCTGGTCTCCCGAAAGTAGAAGGAACCGGCATTCCCAATAAGAATGTTTAGCATTCCCAACACTTTTGTACATGTTGACTCGACAGATGATGCCATTCTTCTTCCCTTTTCTTCACTCATTTCACAAGCTTGTTGACGGTGGTAAATAGGTTGCACGCACCTACTGACATGAGAAGGTCGGCAAGCACAGTTCAAAGCCAATCTATAATCCATGCCAAGCAAATCCAAGTATATTATAATAAGAAACGAGCGGTGTCTTTTAGTAGTAATTTCAAAACATGGTAAAAGAGACAGAAGTGGGGGAAGGGGGGAAGGGGGGAGAAAAGAAGAGCGGAAAGAGAGGTCAACTGGCAGTAAAGATAAAGGCTAGAGCAAAAGAATAACTCAGACTTTGGGGGGGGAAACGAGTAAAAGAAGAAGAAAAATAAGAGTTGACATATTACAATATTACCTAGCACCTAGTCGTTCGTCTCTACCTTGAGCAGACTTGGGGATACATGTACAATAAAGGCGCAATCAAAGTCGTAATAGACTCGTCAATCTCGTCTCAATGTGAAAGGAATGGTTGGAGGCATCACGCATCGGACCTATCCACGAAATGTCGACGCGCAGAGCTTGCCTCCCACGCCCCCAATGACGGCACTGAGGTCTCAAGCTCACGCTCGCACACCAGACAAATAGGGATTTCGACACAGCCGTGTTCGTAACCGCCGCTGCATCTACGGTCGCCTTTCTATATGTATACACACTTGGTATACCGAGTATGCAAAGTACCTTGCTGCTTGACCTCACCTAACTGCAATCTCTTGCTAGACTATGTGATGGATTGACTGCCAAGATTGATCACGAGGATGAGATGTCTGGTGCATTCGAAAAAGAGAATCCCCTTGGAGCAGCAAAGGCTGTATGCCTCTCCACAAGGCCCTGGGACCAGTCCTCCCCCCTTTTACCCGGCAGAACCCTGTAATGGAATTATTTTTGGGGTCTGGTGGGATTAAAGTGACATATAGACGCACCGTCAACGTCGGTAACTGCTTATTGGCCCTAATCCTTGGAAGATGCTTCGTTGGAGCCTTCGCTGCCCTGTCTGTCAGTAAAGAGTCTGGTCTGTTCTGGTGAACAATGCGCTCACCCCCTTCTCTCCCTCTTTCCCCCCAGGGCCCCCAGGGTCAGCCGCTGTGCAGATGTTGATTGAAAATCCGCCCGGGGGGTGGCCCAATAAACCGCCAGGCCTCCCTGAAAATTTCCCCGGTGCCTCAGTGCCCTCTTGCTAGGGAGAGGGCCGTGCATATCAAACATTGTCTGGTCTGGTGCTACTTGACAGTTGGCAGCCTTACTCCCAGCGAGACCACTCGAGGTCGAGCAGGGTCAATATCGATACTATCTAAATGTGCCTGGCACCAAATGTTTGTTCCAAAACTGCGCCACCCTAGTCCGTTGCAACATTGAAGAGATCTCTCCGCTTGCAGCCCTGTAGCCCTGCTTACAATCTCCCACATAATTACAGTGCGTTGCTGTTGGTACGGACGCCCGCCGACAGTCCAAGCACTTCCTTGCTAGGCCACAAGTCATGAGCATACAGGGGTGGATGGATTTCGGCAGTGTCTTCAAGATGTGTATCCCTTTGAGTGTGCGCAGGTGCCATTTTGGTAACGACCAAGGATGTTAACCAATTAAAGACATGAGATTAAAAGATACTTAAGTCACCTAAGAATATATATGGTAAATAAAGTGCCTTATATACTAGAAGTTACAAGTAAATAAGTGGGTACCCTGTTATAAACGATGTACTTAGCAAGTACTAGAGAAAAGTGGAGTATATACATAACAGGCACCTGCGCACACTCAAAGGGATACAGTCCCCCCCTGAATGTTTCTTCATGCGTGACCTAATAGGGGGGGTAATAACCAATAAAAAATAATTTTATAAGAGAAAGGTGGGTATTAAAAGTACCTGAGATTTCCCGAGATTTTTTTAGTAAGTTAAGGTCTTTATCGTGAACCCTGTAAGCCTTCTTAACATATTACTACTTAAAATATGTAGATCATAGATAGTGTACTACCCCCTGCTTATAGCTACCCTGTCAGGTCACTCGTGTAGAAACATACAGGGGGGGTATTGTATATTGCGCCTCCAACCCGAACCGAGGGCCGATGCTCTCATGCCCTCTGCTTCCATTCCCAAAGATTCACACTCGACACCCTTCTTTTCCAACTCATTTCTGCCATTTACAAGCACAAACCACGCAACACCTCCCAAGGAAAAAAAAAGCGAAAGAAAAAAAGGCAGCCCCATGGCCATCAGCACCGAGGCAACTCTGGCCATCATCGCCCTCCTCGTCGCCGTGCCCCAGGCCCTCGTCATACTGTGGGGCTGGAGACGGTGCCAACTTGGGCGCCGACGTCGGCGCACGTCTGACATGTCCGATGGTAATCTCAACCTAGATTAAGACGACAAAAAACAGCACAGCCAGCCTATCCTGTAAAGACACATGACGGTGGAATCATACTGATTAGTCTTGTTGACTCGCTGTAGAAGGACCCTTGATACCGCCCTCCCATGCCGTTCCATCCACTCCACGTGCGCTAGGCCCCGACATGGATCGATCAATCACACATGCACCCCTGTCTGTATCCCCACACCCGACCACCACCGCCATCGCTCCCGTGTCAGCCGCCTACCACCATGCACCCTTCGCTGCCGCACCACAAGACACCCCCGCTGCTGGCCGGCTCGTCTCGCTCTCGACATACCAATTCATAAGCATCCCGGCCCCTTGAGTGCGGCAACGTGCAGGCAAATTCTCTTACTGGGATGGTATCCAATGGGAACTGAGAAATAAGCAGGCGCAGGAATGCCCACCTATCTATTATATTGATAGAAGTAGTATTAACAGTTCTCAGCACATGAATTAGCGGCGTTTTCAGCCAAGATACAGGAGACTTGACAAGCTCTGGAGTTGCATACAAAAGCTGACCTTGCTGCACTCAAAAAAAAAAAAAGAAGAAAAAAATAGCGCAGCCGCCAAATGCACGAAACAAAAAGTCCGCTGAACCATTTTACAAGCCATAAATACAAACAAAAGTAGGCGGAAAATTGGAGGAATTTGCTACGATCCCTTCCCCGGTGGTGCTCAGGGTGCACGCAGCTGGTCTCTTCCCCCATCTTTCCGACAGCATCCAAAATGTGGTTGTTGATCGCAGCCCGACTTCGTCCCTCGATGAACAGTCACCTGCCTCGAGCAAAACCATCGCTATTCTGCCATAGAAGGAATTCGAGGAGGACGCACTTCTCAGGGGCACGTCCTCGATATAGAAGACAGCTCGAGCTCAGGTGTGCTTGCACAGCCCTGATGGACTCTTGGCCGGATGTGCATATAGATAGATCCAGTACTTATGAATGCCCATTCTTAAAGTGCATATGGTCATGTAAATGTTTTTGCGAAAAAAAAAAAATACAAGTCGATGCAATGCTGATTCAAAACGCCAAAAAAATGCCAACCTATTCTTACAGCTCCTTCTTCTTGTCTTTGGGCGCCCATCTATACTCGACCAAGCCCGGTCCTGGCTGCAAACCGAGAAAGTACAGCCAGAGACGATGGGCTTCCGTCACTGCAATGCGATATCTGAAACAAGACACATTAGCATGTGAAAATCGTAAACAAGTCCAAACAAATGGCCGCGTCTCAAACCTACATCAGAATCGAGCCGTGCAGCCACCCGTGAAGAACCACCTTCACAGATTGCCGAATGAGCGCAGTCTCGTGTGCCCACTGGTCCCGGAATGAACTGCTCTTGGGTCCACGTCGCTTCATGTCTTCAAGTTGACGCCACAGGTAGGATGGGTCACTTGGGTCGTAGTCGTTTGCCTCGGTGCGCTCCTCATTGACCTTCTCATCTTCGATTACGGCAGATTCGCTTGCCGCTGCTGGCTTCTGGCCGCTTTCTGCATCCATCATTTGCCTGAATTCCCCAACGGCTCGCATCGACGAGCTCAGTCGTGCATACGTGTTGAAGAGGGCGACAAGTTCGGTTCTCTTGAGGACGGGGATTTTTTTGCTGTGGTTGTCGGACTCGAAGAGGATCTTCAGGGCTGTGCCGTATCCATTGGTTTGAATCTTGCCCCAGAGCCTGCATTTGTCGCACCCAACACAGTCCATAAGCCGGCTCACGTTGCGGAATCGATTGCGGAAATCCTCCTTAAGGGATGGGCCCTCTCCATTGACAAACATGAGGCTCTCGTCGAAGATTTGAGGGATACTCCCTGCCTGCTTTGCCACCTCAGTCACCTTGACACGAGTGACCAAGTCCTCGGTCGGGTCGCCCGTGCAGAATGTGTACTCGGCTCCGGCCAGTTCTGGGCCAAGCTTGGCTACAGCCCGGGTGACAAGCGCGTAGTTGAAGTAGAGGTTGCTAATTCGGTCAGAGTATCCGTGCAAACGGTCCTTGTAGCACTGCAGATTGGGTTGCCACTCTCCAGTGGTCTGGTTCAGGAAGTCCCAGCAAAGATGAGCGCTGATACTCGCATGCATGCCGGACATGACTCGATAAAAGACTCTTTTCTCCAGGCATTCGTCATCAACTTCGTACCCAGTGTTGGCAACAAAGGGAGTGTTGGGGTGCTGCAGACGTTGTGCCTGAAGCTGGGCTTGCCGTCCTGCAGCATCCATGACTTGCTTGAAGTCCAGAGCGGCCGGGTTGAAATTGTCAGACATGCCGAGATTTGCAGAATGCGAAAACGAACTCTTCTGAAAGCAATTTTCACGATAGATGGCATCCCACACCTGTTTGGAGCCCTCTCCACCGTATCCGGTAAAGCGCTCGGGATTCCGAAGCAAGCTCACATAGTCGCCTTTGGATGAAGCGCTCTCGTCCTCAATGACGCAGTAATCTCGTTCATCGCACTCGTCGTCGTACTCAACTACACAGCTTTCACCCACATTTTCTCCCAGCTCTCCCTGTAACGGTCTTTGGGGATGTTGCTTGCGCTCTTGCTTGCCAGGGTGCTTCGCAAGAGGTCCCTCCAACTTTGATAGCTCCTTCGCTCTCCACACTTCAGGTATATCCTCTTCGTTATCGAGCGTCTCGACGGCACATCCTATGTTGCCGCAGAATCCATTCGAGTCGTCCCAGAAAGGACACTTTTTGTTGAAGAGATTGAGGCGGTAGTATGAGAAGAAGTCGGTGTTTCGTGTGAGGTCGTCAAGGGCAGGTTTAACCCGTTCATTCAGCTTCTCGAGGGTTGAAAATGAGGCGCAGGCATCTTGAACAATAGACTTGGGGGAAATCTGTCAAATGCAGCTGTTAGGAGAGCCCTCGGCAGGCGGAATGACTTGCATCCAAGGAACGACGTACTGCACAATCGCTATCAGTCCCGGCAGCGCAAGTTCCAGGCGATGCCCAGAGCGCAAAGATGGATAGATAAAATAGTCTGCTTGCAGACTTCATAATGACTTGGCAATTGACGAGAACAAGCCGCCAGAAAGAAGGGCGTGTGGTTTCTCGTTCTTGAAGAGTTGTAAAGGTGCCGTGGTGGTTCAAGAAGGCGACGAAAAGACCAGTTCCTCCGTACGCAAGCGACACTTATCTTATCGACAGCGCGCCACCAGAGTAGGTGGCTGGAGTGAAGGCTCAAATCCGGGCTCGCCGACAACGTATTAAGTTTAAAATCGCCGCAAATATAAAAGAAAGTACAAACTCTCTCAATCCCGGTGTCTCGCAAACGGAAAAACGATGTATTTGGACAAAGGGATAACCTGGGACACAATGGTATGATGTGAAGATGCTACGCTGTCGATGATGATCAATCAAGGCCAGACTAACCAAATCTTGGCTTCCAACTGCGGAGCCGCCTGCGGAGCGGGATGCGACCACTTAATCCAAGGCAGACGTCTGTGGAGAGGAGCGCCAGTGCTCAAGCAGGCGAAGATCCGATAAAACACAATCGAGGAAAAGTGACGAGCAGAGAAAAAGGAAGGAAGCAAACTGGTGGATGTCCGATTCATATTATCCATGAATTGGGTGGCCATTCGGACTAAAATGGAAGTGACGATGTGGCCTCTTTGTTTATTCTCCGCCGCGACAGGTGTCCAGTGTTTTCGTTCTGTCAAGCGCCTCCCTGCATCCCTTCCAATTCGTCCCATCATCATCTCGCCTGCCCCGTACCCGCTCAGCACTGTGCTGCAACGTCTCCAATGTCATGCCACGGCCAAGATGCTACAATGCCTACTTAAGTACCTAGCCTAGCCTTGTCAGGCACTTTATGGCATGAGACCTGATTGGATGTACAATCGATATATGGAACCATCTGGGCTATTGTCCAACTGTTTGATGCGGCTGCGCATAAAACTCCATCCACCATTACGACACGCATCGCCGGCGCGTCGCACCGTATCCCCTCTGGTGTGCGAAGGCTCCAGTCATGTATCTACGGGGATAATACGTCAATTAAAAGCCGTAAAATAAAAGGTACTTTATCCCACACTCAAATTCTAGTATAATAAACACAATAAGCATTTAAGTTACAAAAAGCTATATCATAAATCACTAGATTTGAGCCACTATTATATCGCTTGATGTCACTGATTATAGCTGGGATATTGTGGGTCCACGCGACCTGCTTGGAGCCTTCGCACACCAGAGGGGATTAGACGGTAACATGGAGCCGACCAAATCTGTCCTTTACATCATGCGACTGATATGACTTTTTTGCTGGAGCAGCTCTTATTTCCATGCACAGTGCCTGCGATTACACCTCGTCGCGAGGCTGCGCTCTGTGCAGGCGATGAGCGGACAATAAAGTACGGAGTACACTAGTACTTTAGTTTGTCGTGGCGTGACAGCCACGCAGTAGTGGGACCACCACAACATTCGGTTCCTGAGCAATCCCGGAATCATCATGTCGTTTCGTGGAGAGGGTCGATATATCTATACTGTAGACATACCATGCACGTCACCAAATATCAGATGAAATGACGCAACTTTACCTCGGGTATTTTGTTAATGGCATGAAACGAGTCTGACTCACTGCCAGGATCATAATTTATCTGATGATGCCAAGCTAACATCCAATCACGAGGGGCTCCAGGGTAGCAAGCATTAGGTACGGAGTACACAGACTGAGACCAACAGTCGCGGCGAGCGAAGCATGTTCGCAATCACGCTCAACAAACTTGAAATAGTTGACGTATTCATCAATTTCGTCTACATTCTAACTACCCACCAACTCCCGCGTGCTACTTGCGAAGCTGCTGCCTCGCAACGTACAATGGCAAATGCATATGAACCCTGGTAAGGGCAAAAAGACTTCCCCAAGCTGGCGCGGCAACACCTGAATCTCTGGGAAACTAACAAAAAGCAATCTCCAAATAAACTCACTTCGTGTCCGTCGCCATGTAGCAAATATCCGGCACGCCCAGAGGAGCCCCAACGCATCCAATCCGCGGCCCCAAAACATCCAATGAGGCGTCATCAATTGAGGAGCGACAGCAAGCATGCCATGAAGAGTAAAAAATGCGGAATGCCAGTGTGAGGGCAAAGCGTTTTCGACCGTGGTGTATTGATATTTCTATCAACCCAAATATCGTAAAGTGCAGACCGTAATATCGTGAGAGGGCATGAAACAAGAGCCGCACATGCAGCAAGCACCGACGGCGGTGGAAGTGGCGGAATTGGGACTATCGTACATGAGGCTTCAAGCTGAAAAAGAAAAATATGATGAATCGATCACTGAGGCGCTTGGTAATTGAGAGGACGTCTGCATCGGCATCTGTTAGCTCTGGGAAACGAGCCCAGCCGCTTCCGGTCCATATGACGAAGGTGACTTACTTGAACAACAGAATATGGGGCTCGGGCTCGTGGACCTCGTAATGTTCCCAGCCGAGACTCTGTGGTAGTGGTCAATGATTGGTTCCTGTGAAACATTTGTTTGTTCGTTTCCCGCCCAGAAAAGGAAGCCAGGGCCTCACAACCAGACAGGGGGGACACTGCGTACCTGGGTAATACCGATCGCTCGCCATTCCTCCTCCCACAAAAGCTTCAGAGTCCCCTTGGAGGTGTCGTGATAGTCCTTGGGAATGGCCTTGAGCATTGCCTTGGGTAGTTGCACGTGCCGGTACTCGTATTCGCTGTCAGAGTATCTAGAAGGAGAAAGAAAAACGCGCCCAGGTCAGCATTTGGTTTGCGGTACCCCCAGCAACACCAGCTAACGGCGGTGAAGCACCCGTGTTCAAACTGGAAAATTTACCTCGCAGAATAGTGAATTGAGTCAATGTACTCGTCGAGTCGCGCCCGTTCGGCATCTGACAAGGACCGAGGGACCTTGTTCCGGCGGCTCATGTCGATATCCATGTCGTCTATTTCGCGTCGGCGTAGGCAACGGCGGTTTGTTGACTCGAGTGGTGAAGCGACTGGTTGACCTTTGCCGCGCAGCTGATGCGACGGGCTTGATTGAAATGCGTGTTCTTCTCACCACTTGGGCCGGCGGAGAGGTCGGTTCTCTCCCCAGACTTTTGGGATTGGAAAATATTTGGAGGGGAAGAAAGCTCTCGAGCACGACTGGCGCGTGAAGGGCCAATGCGTCCAAGTTGTGGTGCGGGGAGGCAGGGGAGGGATTCGGAGGGAGGGGCGGATGGCCACTCTCTCTAGTGGATTGTGGGATGGATTTTGGGATTTTTCTAAGACACGATGTGCTTGTTGGAAGGATTGAGTGATGGTGGCGAGCTCTGGCAGGTGCTTCGGGCGCCAATATATAGCAATTTCACGCGTCTGAACACGCAGGACAAAGGGCAAGCACACAAGCCGCTCAACGGTTGAAGAAAGTTGTCCAGAGGTGGGATGAAAAAGGCACGGTCAGGTGTGTGGAGGGGCCAGCAGCAGTTGGTGCCAGGATTAAGGAACATTTGAACCGAAAGTCGGGGCGGAACGGTTTAGCGTGGGCACGCATCACAAAAACATGACAACAAGACTGGAAAAACATGGAAGGACGTCGAGTGGTTGCTGCTGTAAACACACTTGTGTAGTGACGTCTGCCGGTAGCAGGCTGAGCTTGCGCAGGACCGCTGATAGGACGTTGAGACATGGAGCGTTGGACGTGGCCTCTGAACATTTGAAGGTTGAAGCCGTGCAAGTGCCAGAACCACAACAACCAGCGCGCCCTGCAAATGTCAACTGGTTGCTTTCTTTCATGCACGCACTCTGCACACTTGCGGCACAGGAGCAAAATACTACTTACTGCACAGTGACGTGAAAACTTGCAATGCCGCGTTCGGGATACCACTCTTTTTTTTAAATGTTGCATACATGCACAGCTAAGAAAGTGCGTGGGCCATTCAGTTCAACCTTGTTGAAGCTTCAATGTTCCATGCACATGTGCTTAACTTGCGCTCGGCACGTCACCAACTATGAGCATCTGGGGAGCATTGATTGGCTCGCTCGGACGTTCAAATTGGCACAAGTGCAAGATTAGTGCATCACAACTACCAGACGCCTTTGAGATAGGCAGGATAAGATATTCTTCTTCAGACGACGACCACACACTTTGGTTGTATCAGTTGTTGGCCCTAAGCACTGAAGTGTGTATGCTTGTGTAGTGGTAGCAAATCATCGCCTGCAGGTCTCACTATCCTGGGAATCACGACCTGTCGATCGGAGCCCTCCTAGCCAAGGGGGTGCAATTCTCTGTGTAACAGTCCAATACAACCTGGCACAGAAAGCAGTGAACAAAGCCACTAAATCGACGACAGGATTCTGGTCCTTTGAATTGCAATTTTCACACCCTGACTCATGCTTGACATGTATATTCACAAATAAGAACCCGGCAGCCAAGCTTGCGGGGCCTTATCTCAGCGGTAGAGAGCCCGATTCCAGTCCTTGGAGATTCCGGGAGGTCGTCCGTTCGATCCGGGCAGGCCTCAAATTCGCATTTTGTGCATGCCGACCAGCGCACATAAACCATCCTTGCATGATGCTCAGTGTGCGAGAAGCATTTTTTTTGTTTCACATCTTTTTTGTTCTCTTTTGCGTCCACATGCCGTGTGGCGTTGCCAAGGGGTACGTACGTACATACACACTAGGTCGATATAGTGGGTTCCTCGGAATATAGACTGTACGAACTAGTTGTCGAGTTAGTTGAAACTGTGTTTGTCGCGAATCATCAGATCGTATGCATCGCCCGGGCTTCGAAACCCGATGAAAAAACGCGCTTCCTAATGTTTTGTTGAGCTTTACCATTCTATACCAACTCTTCTGTTACATTCCTTTTTTGTTCACGACCCGTATAGCAAATCCGCAAAATCGTCCTCATCGTCTGTTGTCTTCACATTCCCCAGTAAGGGTACATGTGTAACCACATTGCCAATCTTGGCCTTTACCCCATCCACCTTGACATTCCAGGCGTGAATATCCTTGAACTCCTTGTCTTGAAATAAGTTCAGCGCTCTAAGGCGCGCTTCTTCGTCGGGCGCCGCCAGGGTCCAGCCAATGGAGATATGAAACGCCGTATCCGCAGACTCCCCTTGTGACTGTTGATAAAGAGGAGGCTGATCAAAATGCGCTGCTACCGTGTTGCACCTCGTCAGTAGCATCATGAGCTCCGGATTGGTCGACGCCCGCAGATGCTTGGAATCATGAGTGGCGTTCGCGGAAGCAATGCGTAGGACGAAAAATGTCCGATCCGAGTCTGGGGATTTGTACCACGCCAACCCGGCGGGCTTCACTGAGAACACGCCCGTCCCGCAACTGCGAATGCTGTGCTTGACTTTGGAAAGATACTCGTCCTTGGTGGACGTAAGTAGGCTGAGCGGTCGCGAGAGGCTAATGTGCAGAGGCAAGTCTGTGCCAAGATCGCTGTTGAGAAAGGTGTGAAGCTGGATGTCGTCTCCCAAGTCTTGCTGGGCTCTTTTGATGAGCGCATCGAGCGTGTCGTGCTGCACTTCAGTCGGATGCCCTTTCCACGCAGTCAGCATACACGCAACCTACAGTTCGTTTGTCTGAGAAGAGGCGCACATTCGATGTAAAGATGCGTGGGCCAGTTGCCGGCCACATGAGGATTGAGCCTCTTCCGCCCCTGATGCAGGCTCGGGTCGTCTTCCACACTTTGCCGGACTGTGGACGCATACAGGTCATGGAAAGCTTCGGGGAGCGGGGGCATCTTGGAGTCCGAGACATGGTCTTGCCCCTTTAGGCGCTTCTTTGGCGGTGCTGGAGCTTCATCGTCGGAGGACGATGAGTATTCGACCAGGCCCATCACCGATGAATGCTGGCCCTGGTTGCAGGTCCACCGCCGTCAACGGCGTGCTTGTTTGCTGAACGTGGCCCTGTAGAGGGTTGCGCCTAATGATGTTGTGCATACATTGCTGGACTGGAATCAGACTGCTCAAGGCGCAAGGCAAGGCTGGCAGTGTGTTGATGAACTCCTCATTTGTGTCGAAGCAGAGTTGGTCGTTTGTTCGCGTATTATGTGGGTGGAGCATGTCTAGACCAGTTGAACTGCGGGTGGGTGGTTGGGTGGGTACCTCTACCAAGACAAGGAGTCAATGACAAGATGAACATACGGAGTACAAATCAACCAGATATAGTCCCTTTGGTCTCGGCAAAGATTTTTGTTCAATGGAAGCTGCAATTGATATTTTCATTTGTATGTCTTTAAAATAAATGGCGATCGACGCCGGGATCCTGCGTACCTAAGTAGGTGGCATTATGAAGGGTAACACACAATGCTCATGCTATATCAAGCTAAAGAAAGGAAATTCGGACAGTAGTCAATATTTCAGAGAGGAGATTCGACTCTTGGAGCTTAGCTGCGTGTTATGTCTATTCTTTCAAAGGCCAGGTCATATTTCTTACATGTTAAATTTTATTAGGAGTAAGCTGGAGCCCAAGACTAATACGCACACAAACATACAAATACCATCATTGCGTTACATACCTACCTAGGTAGGTAATTGTAAGGCACGTGCCTACATTGCCATTTCACATCGGGCTGGTCGTTGTCCTATCGCGCAGTGGCCGTTACGAACGTTAAATGGACCTGTCCGTATTATTCAATCTATCTAGCTAGAAGTTCAGGGCTCTTTTATAGATCTTCGGGGTAATTCAAGAGCTTAGTGTACAAGGGCTCTACCAAAAGCCTCCTTATCATTATGTGTAGTTTCCTGCAGAATAGCCCTGATCCTGGGGAGCGCCTCGCTCGAAAAGGCAACCCCATAACTCCATACAGAGTGTAAAGCCACATATATCATCCAACACGCCGCATTATCGACGAGGAGGGGGGAAATTCTCCATCTATTGTATAGGGCACGTCATCAGTCCCTCGGCATTAAGGTCTTGGACATGTGCGCTAAAAGTCTCCTGCAAAATAAAATAAACTAAAATGAAAACCAAAACAAAATCACATGCGCTACGCCATACACGCGACAAATTAAGTTCACACTGACATGCAGCAGTGTTTCTCGTGAATGGTGATGACGGCTTCGGAAATCTGGCCATGCCCTTTTAGCCTACCAGCTTGCGATGCTCGACAGTGTTGGCTAGACAATGAACTGAGTGGGCACCAATAGCGCCAGGCACGATGGCAAAATCATGTCCTTAAGCTTCAATGTTATAAAGGAGTACGTAGGTTGAGAAGAACAGCCTTATGTCGCTTAGGGCTACCACATGGGCACAAGAACCAAGACCAATTTTGAACCAAGTCTACCAGACCTTCATCCTCCGCCCAACGTAAAAAAAGTGTAAATAGGACTCAACATCAAATTCCACCCGAATTAGGCTTTCTGATTTGTTTTTTAATCTCGGCCCGTTACTTATCATGGCTGGATTTGCGTTTCCCTCTGCACGCAAGCCATGGTTCATAAATGAACTTGGCTGCGCCGCGCCTGCGTCTATCGCGGCCACTGGCGGGTGACGCAGTGCCCGATAAAATTGCTTGTCTGAAGTCTCATGGTTGGGTTGTATTCCTCCCGTGGTACCTTGGACGCTAAATACACTGGGCCAGATCTGGTCACCGCCATATTCAACGGCAAGTCTTGTTGGCTACACTTTAAATGACTAGAGTGTGAATTTAGCGCGGAAATATCCATGAGACTTTGGCTTGGCAAGGGTTCGGCGTCCCGCTGTCACCCTTGGTAACCCTTGAATGGGCGCTTGTCATGTCTCACCTGACCTTGATATTGGTGTTCCCCGCGCTTGCGTAGCTTTGTGGCGGGGACGTCCGGGGGTAGGTGTCGAGGGGTCTGTGAGGTTGTAGATGGGAGTTTTGGCGAGACGGTTTTGGAAAGGGAAGATTCCTCGTGATGCTTCTGTGTCCGAGTGGTTTTGAACATTCTCCCATAAACAATGGGAGGAGGCCATGTTCCAAATCCCCATCGTCCAGTGTTCTGGCTGAAGATTGCGGCTGTTTCTCCACAGCATGTCACCAAAGTTCCGCTCGGCGCCATGCAGCTCTGCCACCATGCCACAGCCGGGACCGCCTCCGCATGCACATGGACCCTCCGTCCTTACTCTCCTTCCAACATGGTTTGGTGGAGGCGTTGGTGGTGGTAAAGGTAGCTGGCACGAGCAACTTTGATGTGTCTGTGCCTAGGGAATTTTGACGCTTGGCTTGGACATGGCCGGCGAGTAAGTTTTGTGGATGGAGGCTAGCAGTTCATGGCCGTGTGCTGTCGGATAGTAATAAAAGGAGACTGGTGTTTGGATTCCTTTCCGCTATTCATTTGTCGCCTTTTCTCTTGCTATGTGCGTTACGGCCAGTTCAGTTGGCGCCTTTTCTACTTGTTCACTGACCTGAACTGCCGACAAAGCGCTTCGTTTCGACTACCAAAACCAGCAACACGCTCGAGCATCCGAAAGATAGTCAGAGCTCCCTTCCCACTTGACCATCGAGCCGGCAACATGGGAATCCAGACCCTGCTCCGCAAAGGGGGCAGGAAAGAACGAGATTCCAGGGCTCGCAAGGAGACGGACGAGTACGGGCCTTACTATGACAAGCAATGGGTCAGTTTTAATTTCGTCGTCGTTGGCTGCGCACACAAGGGCCTACCTACCGCTGGGGAGATGCTGGCCCCGACTCTGTGGCGAGTGCCTCAGAGAGAGTGTCGTCAGTCCGAGAGATGTTGTTCTGGTAGAATGAGTCTCTAGTTGGCACGTCGCGTCACTGACGGTGACCCACCCGGGTTCGCCATGATGATGGGTGCCGTGGTCGTAATGCTAAGCCATGGCGCAGAGCCCGGGATTAGTCAACGTCCCAAGGTTGATGCATGTTGCATCATGGATCTGTCACATGGGACCGATGGACGACGGATTGGACCCTGCACACTGGGTTGCGTCACCAGCGAAACAGACAGACGAGAATCGTCCTTGAAGGGACGAAACGACGCAAGGGTTGCCCTGTGGGGGTTCTTGGCAATCATGTGTCGACGTGTCCGTCACCGCACTTGACATTCTCTTTGCTTCCAAAAGCAGTGCTCGCTTACGTACACGGCCAATCGTGGGTTGGACACACTTGACATGTCACTGGTCTATCAGCTCATTTCCAAAGTCTTCATTTCTGTCATTATGCATCACACTGCCATCTTCACCATCTTTTTCTTGATTCTTGCCCGTATATGCTGACGTTAGCGACAACGACAGGCGCATAAATACCTTCTGGAACCCTTGACAGCTCCTGAACCCAGCCAAGAGACCGGCCTGGGCAGCTCTCACGTCAATCCATACATAACTGCAGCCAAGGAGAGGCTCGAAGCCCAAGCTGCTGCCGCTACCTCTGCTACCTCTGCTGCGTCTACTGCGTCTGCCGCATCACCATCGCCTCCCCCCGCGGCCAAGAAAAAGAACGAGAACAAGTCAAAGCTTTGGCCCCTGAAAGGCTTACAAGGCATCCCGGCGTACTGGCCCTCGCCCAGCGCTACGCCTCATCAACCATATCCCACCCCTCCATCTTCAGCCAGCCCCACTCATCGCAGCTTCGACGTCTCTCAGTCCAGCCCGTTTGCGACGTCATATCAGTCAAGCCATTCCAACGAGTCGTTCCACCTCTTCAGCCATCGAAACGGCTCCCGGCAATCGACACGAGCTTCGTCTGAATCTACTTCTACCGCTGCCTTGACACCTCCTTCCGTCGTCACCCCTCCTGCATCTCCATCGCATCGCAACAGCACCGGCACCACCGGCGACGACGACAACAACCTCTGCAATAACAACACTCACTCTCCACCCCCGCGTCACCAGCGCTACGCCAGCCTTTCCGCCAATACCTCATCGACCACGTGGGGCCGTGAGTCCTATCCGGTGTATCCGCGCAACCAGCTTGACAAAGCCCGTCGAATCCGCCAGAACGCCAGCAATTCTACCGACTCTAATAACAATAATAATAACCCCAGTTCAGAGGGTCGCCTTGCTGAGCGATTTCCTGGAGACATGTCTCACCGTCCACTTGACATGATTAAACGCGAGGCAAGGGCCGCGGAGCGCCCTCATCGCCATCGCAAGCGCATCTCAGACACGGACACAATTGACGCCCTCGACACAATTGGTGGCGCCTACCATCATGGCGGTCCCTATGATGCGACTCTGCGTAGCCGTAACCTCAACAAAAAGTACTCACCAGTCGCCGCTGTTCAAGACTCCAACATGGAGGCCATCCGTGCCACACCCCGAGAGCACATCATGGATTCATTGATAAAACACGTTCCCCTCCAAGGCACCGCCTCCATCCCCAGCGGCCTGCCAGACATGAGGGGCCGAATCATGGACTATGAAGAAGGTGCCGATCTGATGCGAGAGCCTGATGCCGAGGGTGGCGCGTACAAGCGATGGGATGGTATTGTCAGTCGGATTCCTCAATTGATGAGCGAGCAAAGAGCTAACATTGTGCGTAGCAATACCACCCAGACGATCTAAAAGGCAAGGGTGAACCATCCTTCACGCTGGAGCGCGACCTCAAGAAGGGAAGACGCCATCGATGTCACTTGAGCGAGGCCGATGCATTCGAGATGGAACCTGGCACCAACAGATTCTCCAGGTGGGCGGCAAGTCACCAGCGTAGCGTCAGTCAGCATTCTGCGGAGGGCTCGTCCAGCGGCGTCACGTATAAGAACAACCCAGATGGAGACTTGCGCCGAGCCCACTCTACCGGCAACAAGGTGAGCGGGGGTCTTAAGCGGCGCTTTGGCAGCATACGGCGGAAGAAGGACATGCCATCCGAGGCAGTTTCACGAATTGTTTAACTCGATTTTTTCCCCTTATATTTCCTTTGTGTTTTTTTCAGGTTAGTGGCGTATATGAGTAGAGACATCTCTATATTGGCATCTGGCTGTTTCTTGACAAGGGCCGATAAACTGCAATTTGACTCAGGCAAAGGTTAGATGGTAGCAAGGCCCAGCGCATCAGGACATTCCGTGTATCAGCTACCTAATTACCTAGGGAATAGAGTTATACCCAGCGAAGCTTGGCAACCAACTTCTGAAGTGTTGTCGCAAGGTAGTGCCCACTTGGCCATCTACTTACACCAGCAAAGCGTGAACGTGTATCAAAAACCTCGACTCGTTTATTGGTTTCAACGATGGGACCGGGCACAATATAATTGCTAACGGGATTCTCGTCTCTTTAACTGCAATACTCTGCATGTTTGAATCTGACGAAGAGGAGTGTAGCTTTCGGCCAATGGCCCTAGGGTAGCCCACCACTTGCCGAGGCATCGACTGGGCACAACATTATTCTTCCCAGGCTCAAACTCCAATATTTGGTTAGTCTAGCCGTAGAACCACACCATAAATCAAGCTGCGTGCGTCCGTGTATTTACCTAGAAAGGAAGAAAGTCAGTACATTTCCGAACCAAAAAAAATCATGTCGGCCGTCGACCCGCCCCGCCCGTCACGCAGCCTCAGAGGCAAGGTCGCCATCGCCCTCCTGCTGGCCGAGGACGGGGCCACGATTGTCTGCGTCGACCGCGAGGAAGCCCTCGCCCAGCGGACGGCGGAGCTGGTCCTCGCCGAGAACGAGGGGGCTTCCGCCCTGGCGGTCGAGGCGAACGTCTCCTCCGCCGAGGAGTGCGCCCGGGTCGTGGACGCGGCGCTGCGTGTCTTTAGGAGGGTGGACATCCTGGTGAATAACGTCGGGGTCCTGGGGCCCCCGGGCACGGCGGTCGACGTGGATGTCCCGCAGTGGGCGCGGGGCCTCGAGGTCAACGTCACGAGCATGATGCTCATGGCCAAGTATGCCGTTCCTGCGATGCGGGAGAACGAGCCCGAGGCTGGCGTCCGCGGGAGCATTGTCAATCTCGGGTCGGTGGCGGGCCTGCGCGGCGGCACGCCTAGTTTGTTGTATCCGACGAGCAAGGGCGCCGTCGTGAATATGACGAGGGCCATGGCGGCGCATCATGCCAAGGATGGGGTGAGGGTGAATTGCGTTTGTCCTGGTGAGGATCTTGCTCTCCATCTCTGGGGGAGTTTTGCGCTGACTTTTCAGGGATGCTGTTTACGCCCATGGTGTATGCTGCCGAGGGGGGGATGTCGGCGGAGGTGAGGGAGGCGAGGAGGAGGAGGAGCCTGTTGCAGACGGAGGGGAATGCGTGGGATTGCGCTGGGTCCGTGAGGTTTTTGGCCGGTGGTGAGGCGAGGTGGATTACGGGGACGGTTTTGACGGTCGATGCTGGGGCGACTTGTGCTTTGGCTGTGAGCGTGCCTGATGGCGAGTAGGTGCTTGGGCGAAGGGAGAGGAAGGGGTGGATTCGGGTGAGCCTCTGGCAGTTTTCTGCAGAGGATTGTATTACCTCGTGGCTGAGAGATATATGCTTATAACGTCACGGTTATTGGTTTAAACACGTTGGAGATTTTGTATATTGATAGGTATGTGGCTTGTTAGACATAGATTTTAATAAAGATGGCCTCTTATTATTGATAATGTTGAACCTCTTACTTCAGAAACTTTCTGATATTCCGCCAAACTCGATAGCCTACTGTCTCCTGATCCCTGGATGTGTAGTTGGCCTGTAAAATGTAGGGTTGGCCGAACCTAGGTTTCTCCTTTACTTCGGCTAGGACCTCGTCAAAGCTTAGATGACGCTTCTGCATATAACAGGCTAAGGTGATAGAAGCAGAATGGGAGACAGCTCCTCTACAGTGAATGAGCACGCTTACATATTGCTAGTAGGACTATAAGAGTGGTTATTAGTAAACTCGCTATTATCTCTGCTAGTACTAGAATAGTAGTTCTTTGATCAAGTCGCAGATAAAGCTTATAAATGGCTTCGGATCTATGGTAGAGCAATCTAGACGTCGAATATAGAGATAGTCAGCCTAGGAAGTACGCTTGAATTGACGGACCCTATTTCCTATAACGGGCATCTATAAGCGAAACGACTGCAATTGTTCTATTTGCTCCAAAAGTCTCCGGATCCAAGGTGTTGTACAAGTTGCCGATGATAGGACGCGGACGCATCTCCGATATGGATAGGTTTGCTAGGGGCGGCGTCTCTGAAACTGACGGGGGTTTACTCTTGCATTTGACGGTTTAAGATTGTTAGGTAGAACCGAGCTTTGTTTTACAAGCCTTATATATAATATGACCGGCATACTCAAACCTGCGAGCGAGGTGCTTGAATCTATATATGTAGGGAATTAACGCTTTTTATATAATTGAACAAATGACACTGAATCTTGCATGCTTCATTGAGCCCCTTAGATACACGGTCTGACTTCTTGAACCTACCGGGCTCACTCGGCGATATGCTTACTCGGTTGTCTTTGGACGAATCATGCAGTTACGGGTTGTACACCGCCTTGGCACGTGCAAACCCCCTCACGATAATTTTTCTGCAACCAACGCACCTGTTTCATTACAGCGCTATTGTATTGTCCCTCATCTGCATTCTCTACCATGGTGCATCGAAACTAACTTGCCATAGGAACCTGTTGTTTTGCGTGCCACTTGATTTGTCCTGTACAGTCAATATGCAGAGTGACCACGGCCCGAATACGGCCACATATGCTGTGTCGCGCTCACGCGGAAAACAGCCAGGAGAGTCCCTTTACAGTACCAAACTCAGGGAGAGAAGAATAGCGAATGGACAAGGAAGATCTTCCGACGAATCTGAGTCCGATGAGGAGCATGAACCAGGTTGGGTTGGCCGCAAGACCTTTAGTTTGATCATAGTTGCCGTCAACTAACTTTATATGCGAATTAGATGCTGTGGTACTACACCAATTGTTCCACCGCAAGGTTATCCGCCGCTCTGACGGCATTGTCGTCAAGTCTGGGAAACGTCTGGCCCTCGGCGAGGCCGAGGCAATGAGAGTGGCCAGGAACGCAGGCATCCCAGTTCCCCATGCCCACCAGGCTAAAACTCTTCCCGACGGCAAAAGCGAAATACACATGGACTATATTCAAGGCGAGTCCCTTGACAAGCTGTGGTCAACCATGTCGGTAGAGGAGAAGAAAGACATTTCCCGCCAGCTCCGCGAAATTTTGGAGCAGATGCGATCGATTTCCCCGCCGAGTGAGCTCATCGGCGCTTGTGATGGCACGGAAATTCGGGATACTAGAGTTCTCAAAACGTATCACCACCCCCCTTGTCGCGATGAAGAATCGTTTAATAATTTCCTACTATCGAGTCTTGTCAAAACTACACCTGAGATGATCCGGGAGGCGTTTTCTCTCCACTTGCGGACCGATCACCGTGTCGTTCTCTCGCACTGCGATCTTGCTCCCAGAAATATCTTGGTCCAAGACGGCAAAATTACGGGGCTGGTAGACTGGGAGGACGGTGGGTGGTATCCGGAGTACTGGGATTATGTCAAGTTCTTCCAGCGCCCTGCGAATTCGGACTGGAAAGAATACGCAAAAGACATTTTTCCCAGGCTCTATCACGATGAATTGGTTGCGTACACTGCTATATCTAGATGGCAGGACTCTTAACAGATGTATCTCATACAGTAGTCAGGAATTGCCATTTCATTGATCCTTGTTCAAGCTTTTAAGCATAACCTCTCACGGAGTGGTCGGCATCATGCTGGCAATTGAACTCTGGGGCGTTCTTGTTCGTAGGAACCGACTCTATGAAGTCATTAAGCCAACAAAGAATCGGGGAATGCCTTGTCTTACCTATGCTAGCTAGCTTCGGAATTGTTGGATATGTCGGATCAAAGACTTTCTGTCCTTCCTAGGTGAATTCAGCCGAAACGCCATGCTAATGGAAGTGGTGAGAGAAACTATTTTCAGGCTTACACTAGGCTGCGGGGAACTTACATTTCGATAGATCTATGCCAAAATCTGAGAGTCATGACATGAAAAGTCTTACAGGACTAGTTTGCTCAGTCTAGTAGTGCCACACGGGTGCTACACAACATCACGGACCGGCCTTTCAACTTGATAGTTAGATGGGGGCTACCATCACGAGACCTTGGGGAATAAGGCTCACCGTTGCTTTGTACAAATGAGACCCTTTAGTGCAAAGGGGCTGCAGAAAGCTAGGGACCTTTGATAATAAAGACTGCTATGAGCTAAATTGAGCCATTGACTCCAAGCCTTCTACTTCTACTGAGCCCTTGTCACATGAGGGGTCTTTCCAGTTGGAATCAACCAGCAGACTACCCAATATCAGAATAGGACATCCGCTATGAGGGGAGCAACAGAGAATTTTAACCCACGACTGGCTACATATCTACACGACAGAGTCAACCGTGATCTTCCAACCAACCTCGGCTTTGACGGCTGAAGAGTGGAATCATCCTTGGCATTCAATCCATCTAGCTACAAATTTAGACCCTTTGATAGATATTTAGAAATGTGCTTAAGTCATTCAATATGGGGTCTATCTGGATACCTGTACAAATAGCCCAGGTTCCTAGCTGGATAGATCGAATACCAAGGATGATTCCGCTCTTTAGCCGTCGGGGAAATGTAACACCAGAGATCAGGCATTACGAATAATTGCAATGTAAAAAACTTTCACCGCGGTCGGAAATACCAGCCACTGAAGCACATGTATGCAGCCATTCCTGCTGCGTTAATAAGAGAATGGAGATTCCTGGTGACGCATTTCGTATTGGATGAAGCTTAATGTTTGAAACCCACGCTGGAACACGACAGCATCCCATATTATGAGCTTTTAAAGCGATACGGCATGTAACGCATACTCTGTTAGCAGAACAGTACAAGGAGAAATTATTGCCAAAAATCTAAACTCTAGTATAGAGTCATGCAGTTAGTATAATTCCTGACATCTAGGTATCGTTCAGAATTGATGTACTCAAGCTTTGAAAAGCAGTTTGTGGCTTTTTAACTAGAAGACTTACGTCTTTTTTTTTTCAAGTCCCTAGCGAACATTGTACAGAGAATGGCATCTCTTTGGCCGACCAGGGGGCGGGACAAGAAGTCAGTGCTCTCTTTGTCCAACAAGACTCGTAGGATCTGCACAGGCACCAGGTAGATAAGAAGGCATGGCACATTGCTTTTACACAGCACCTGTGGTAAGATAATGGGCAATCGAAGAGCGGCGGAATATTTCCTTTGCTTCTCCTCACATACCCCACAGGTATGTGAATCACCCAAAGCTTTGCAATCCCATCTGATCCATTCACCTTCAAGATTAATACGGTCATCTCTACTTCCACAACCGGCAATGGAGCGCAATACTGAGATCACAGATCTCAGGTGCAATTTAGAAGCCCAAGAAGACCTCATCTCGAGAATATGCCGCATTGCCGGCGCTCCAGGACTCTCAGTCAGTGTCCTTCACCTTGGGGCTGAAGTCTACTCCCACCACTTTGGACATGCCAGCGTGAAAGATGGCAAGCTCCCAGATGGAGACACAATTTACTTTATTGGATCAATGACGAAAGCGATGGTGTCGGCTCTGGTAGGTATCTTGGTACAGGATGGAACTCTTGACTGGAAGGCGCCAGTATCTCACATCTTGCCAGAGCTGGCCCACGCATTTGACGGCAGAGGATGCGAAATCACTCTGATTGATCTATTGTCCCACAAGATCGGCGTGGCTCGAGCAGATGCCCTTTGGTTGCAGTGTGCCGGCGATATTCTTCTGTCCAAGTCCGAGGCGCTCGATGCATCTCTCAGCCAACAGTTCGAGCTTTCCGTGCCGACTTTCTTTATTCCAATTTTGCATTCGAGGCTGTTGGGCGAATTATTGATGGACCGCTAGGCATGACACGCACTTCTCTGGATGATGAGTTGTCAAAGGATCCAAACGCAGCCAAGGCTTACTTTCCTCTCCTAGACGGCACACCAGTCGAGGTTCCTATTCCTACCATCTCCGACAAGACTATAATGGCTGCCGCTGGAGGAGTGCGTAGTTGTACGAATGATCTTTCGCGCTTCTTCAAAAATCTAATGTATGCCGCAAATGACCAGTTTAATCACCAGCGTACGAGCACGCCCGGCTCGCCCTTTAAGCAGCTGCCTACAATCTGGAGCCTGCATAATCAGCTTCCCATGCGCTCAATGCGCGAAGAATCCTACGCACTAGGATGGGCTCGCACAGAACTTCCTTCACCTCTTGGGTCCTTCAACTATAACAAGCATCTTGTCCCTGCTATGCCTGTGATTGGCCGTGGGCTTTCATTTCGACTCGTGGTTTATCACGGAGGAAGCATGCAGGGTTTCACGTCGGCTGTGTACCTGCTTCCAGAGACCGAGACAGCTGTATTTGCTTTGCAGAATTCAACAGCCTTGTGTGATGCCTGTGACTGGGTGCCGCAAATGCTGGTGCACACCTTGCTCTCGGGATCGCCGCGCAGCGATATTGATTTTGTGCAGTTGGCGACAGTCTCGGCGGCTAGAGGTGCAAAACTGGCCGATGAGATTGAGGAGAAGCTGCAGCAATCGCGGGAAAAGGGAACAAATCCGCGACTATTGAAGGAGTATGTAGGCAGATTCTGGCATAAATCCAAGAGCTTCCACATAGACGTCACCGTCGACAGCAACGAAACGATGAGGATGTGTTTTCAAGGCAGGCCTAGCGAAACTTATCATCTTCGACACCTTCACCACGATGTTTTCGTGTGGAACGAACCTCATGACATGACTGCGAGGCGCGGGAGATTTCAGACGCGTCCTGTAGAATCTTGCAGGGTCAGGTTTGGATCTACTAGTCAGGGGGGAGCTATTGACCGCCTGTATTGGTTATATGATGAAACTCATGCTCCGCTCGGCATGTTTATAAAAGAAGAGGGCGTGCGGTCAGCAGCTGATTTCGACATGCGGAACTAGTTTGTTGTGGAGCGAGTATACGATGGAAGGGTATCAATGACTAGGTAGTACAATCAGAATGATGTTTCCATATCCCTCGTATACAGAACTAGTCTATTTGACCAACCAGCCTGTCGAGGCCTTTCAGGAAATCGGAACAATCACGCTCACTAACGTACGCAAAGTAGAGGCATCAGATGTGAAGCGGTACGCGAATATTAAAGTTGGTTTAGTTTTGACTGGCTTACTACCTTTTCGAGATCCATGCACTAAAGACCACATATCTGACAGTTGACGCCAAACATCTCCGCCAAAACATCTCTTGCTTAGCAACTGCAAGCAAAACGGCCTTGTTGTACAAGCTGTCAGAGTGGTATGTCGTGTTTAGCTACTGAGCCATGGAGCAAAAAGATCCAGCAATAGCTGCCCTCCGCGAATGTCCCCGATGTCCAGCTTATAAGTATGCACATCTTGGCTCTCTTTCTCTGGCCTCTGTCACCGCGATTGCCCGCCATATTGCATCTTCAAATAGAGCCTAGACTCAGCCAACTGATTGGTTATAAACTACGCAAGTACTCAGTCATGCAATGTAAGCTTGGATCCTGCCAAAGCTTGCCATGTAAAATGCCTTTTCTTGGGCTACCCAAGGCGGCCTGCTGGAAGCTCTCGGATTATGCATGTCAGCTGCGACACGTGAGCCTCTTCGAGAGTGGGCGTTCTTTAATTCTCGGTCCTTCACCACCAATTAAAGAACGCGGCAACAGGCCATAATTCAAGACCACCTCAGGCGCTGATAGTGACACTGCATTTCACTGACTTGCCCGTACGACTCACCAGGACGAAACAGATTTGCGAAGAAGTCATTAAGGGTGGAGTAAGGTCACGAGCCTTATCCCCGGGGTCAATAAAGACGTAGAAAATGTAGAGCAGCAATTACCAAGCTGGAATTGGGATCGAACCCTCGAAAAACAATGATATGGCCCACAAACACCGCTGGCGCATTTCAAACTCACGGCTAAGGATAAACATGAAGTTTACAGGCGTCAGAAAGAATTGCTTGCCGTAGCAACTAGTTCAGACAACTGTTGGTGAAACATGACTTTCCTGAGACAAACAAGGGAAACATGGTACAATTTCTGCCCAACGCTGGGTCGTACAATGTTGCCACTCACCACCATACGCCCGCTTTACGCAGCTAAGTCAATTTTGTTGAATTTCTGTGACTTGTCACATTCAAACCTAAAATAGAGGACTGTTTCGTGTCACACCGCGCCGTTCAAGCTCCACGTCGGTGCTAGTAGGTTTCACGGCTTGTTGCCCCCTCCCCATCATCACGACAAGCCCAACACTTCACCAGCAAGGTGAGAGCTGGAAATTCAAGCCTGGATTATTCAATTCCTTTAATTGTGTATTTTTCTCTTCATCAGTGGACATAAATTGCATGCTACTATTTTAGAGGTCAATGTGGAGTAAACGTGTTTCGGAAGCCGACTTTCTGGACCTCCCACAAAGGGTTTCGCGGCTGCCAGACCGGGGCATGAAGGCTGCACAGCCTGTTGTGCGTGCATATGGCTCGGGCCGGCTGGTGGGTCCCGCGGGCCGGTCCGATCATAGGCGGAGACTATCCTGATGCGTTGGCAGGATGAAACTTCAGTAGTAGTGTTGGATCAAAATTTGGCCAAGATCACGGCATCGCTCCAGACTGCGTCGGAATCGATAGTAAAAGGCTTAAACTGCGTTCCAACTCGTAAATTATGACATGAGGTGGGAGGAGCGAGGAGGGAGACTGGCTGGGCGTGTTGTGTAAGTTCTAGCCCCTCAGTACGTCGTGCGGCGTTCCCTTTCCAAGCCTTGTTCCTATAGCAAGGGATATTTTTAGGCATTTGTGCCGTCCTGAATCTAATGAGGCTTCTTTCCTATCTTTTTGCTGCCTGATGGGTGGCTGTCCTTGGGCATCGAGGCCAGAGGTCCAGAGGTCCTTTTGATCATTTCCGTCAACGAGGGGACTTACTACATCACTCCCCATCCTGCTCTATCTAACTGCAATATTGAGCCAGTACATCACCTTTTGCACAAAATATTTTGAGCCGTCAGGCTCGCTGCGGCTAGCGCAGATTCGAAATCCAGGCGCTCGATTGTGTTCCCACCTGCAACAACCGCCTCGTAAACAAGATGCATCGACCGTGCTAACGCAAGGATACAAAACAGCATCTATTTTGAACTAGCTTCGAAGAGACCTCCCAGAGATATTTTCGCCGAAGAGAAGGCTACGTCTATATTTTCATCAACTGCCCTGCCGGCCCAGCCGTTGAGCGAAAGCAGTGCCGTGCCATGATGGAACGTCGTTTCCAACTTCCTCCCCCGAAAGAGTACACAGTAGGATGGGTGTGTGCTCTCCCGATAGAGTATGCAGCAGCACAGGAACTATTGGACGAGGAACACACAGAACCCAGCCTGGATCCAAATGACGGCAATTCATATGCATTTGGCACGTTTGACAAGCATAACGTTGTGATCGCATGCTTGCCGGCCGGACAGACCGGCAACGTGTCAGCAGCTGCCCTTGTGACCCAGATGATGGCTTCATTCAGAGAGATTCGTTTCATTTTGCTGGTTGGCGTTGGAGGAGGGGTTCCCAGCGTGCGCAACGATATCCGGCTCGGCGACGTCGTTATCAGCCAGCCAGCTCAAAATTATGGTGGAGTAGTTCAGTACGATTTCGGCAAAGAAAAGCCGGGCGGCTTTGTGCGTACTGGCTCCCTTGCTTCTCCACCCAAGGCCCTCTTAAGCGCCGTCGCGAAGCTTCAATCTAATTACTTTCGACAAAAGATCCGTTCTGTGGAGTATATTACCAAGCTTCATCGCCTTCCGGTATTTGGACGCGACATTGATTGGGCTGATACTCTCTATGAAGCAGAGTACACGCACGTTGGGGAAGAGGGCCAGACTTGCAAGTCATGCAGCCAAGAGCGGGTGGTGAAAAGGGCGCCACGCAAGACTTCCCAGTTTGTGATCCACTACGGCACAATAGCATCCGGCGACAAGGTTATGAGAGATGCGGTGATAAGAGATCGCGTAAGCCGGGGTCTCGGCGGGGTACTCTGCTTTGAAATGGAGGCGGCGGGTTTGATGAACAACGCCCCGTGTCTTGTGATCCGCGGTATTTGTGACTACGCGGACTCGCACAAGAATAAGCTGTGGCAGGCGTATGCGGCGGGGACAGCAGCAGCATGTGCAAAAGAGCTGCTATCGGTTATACCTGCGACGGACATTATAAATACAACAACGTCGCATAAACGAATAGATGCAAGGCCTGGTTAGTACATGTCAAATGTCGTCAAGTTAGTTTTTCATCTGGACTAACAAGGTCTAGACACTGAAAATGAAGCCTCTGATACTCAATGCTCAACCGTACCTTTCTGCGAAGACCCGGACTTTGTCGGGAGGAAAGACATTCTCGAAAAGCTTGAAAGGAAGTTGCTGCGACGCTCGGTGCACAGTCGACTGGCTATAGTCGGTCGTAGCGGAGTCGGGTTAGTATATCCCTCTTCTGTGCGACGCAGTATGTCCAGAGCTTCTCTGACTCTTTTGTAGAAAAACGCAGATAGCGATCGAATATGCTAATCGCGTGGAGAAAAGCGCCCCGAAAACCCGGATATTCTGGGTCATTGCTAGCAGTGTTACGAGTTTCATACAATCCTATCGAGATATCGCCCACGTCTTAAAGATCCCCATAAAAAACGATAGCAAGGCTTATGAGATACTTTACCTGGTTGCTACGTCGCTTAAAGAGCGAGAGAATGTCCCCTGGCTTTTGATAATAGACAGCAATGACGATGCCGAGCTTCTTGTCTCGCCGCAAGAGGTGATTGTATCAGGGCAGTCTTCTCGTCAAGGTACAGCTTGGTTTCCTTAGTCCCACTTCCTACCGTCATGTCAAAATCTAGGAGTCGTTAGCTTCGTTGCCGACCTACTGTAGCAGACAAGCTGACCTTGTAACCCATCAACTAGTACTAGCTGATTATATTCCTTACACCAAACATTGCTCCGTGCTCGTCACGACTCAAGACGCGCGTGCTGGCCGGAGACTCTGTCAGAGTCTCGTTGTCGATGTTGAGGGAATGACCGTTGAAGAGGCCACAGAATTGTTTCAGACAAAACTACAGGAAAACATGGACGAGACTGTACTGCTTCCGCTTTTAAAGAACCTGGAATACTTGCCTTCAGCAATTACCCAAGCTATTGCATTTATTCTAGAGAACGGAATTAGTATGGCAGACTACCTCAGACTCCTAACGAGTAGTGAAGAGGAGTCTATCAAGCTATTGAGCGATGACTTACATGACCAACGACGGTACAGCCACGTCCCACACTCAGTTATTAAAAGTTTCAATCTCTCGTTTGATTTGCTAAAGCATCGCGAGCCTCGTTCGGCAGAGCTTTTATCACGGTTATGTTTTCTAGACAGGCAAAGAATTTCATACTCATGTTTTTCAAGGGGTAAAAAGCCTGGGATAGACTTCATCAAAGACTTAGGGCCACTGAGGTCGTTTCAATTGCTCACCGAAAACAAGTTCGGGGAGAGCTTTGAGATGCATCGATTGGTACAGCTATCTACCAAAGCATGGCTAGATTCCCACAAGGAGACTGTCAAGTATATCGCCGAAGCTCTCAAATTAGTGACAGAAGCAGCCGAAGGTCCTGAAGAAGAGCGCGTCTACTTGTGGAGCTGCTGTCACGCCGAGGCAGTCCTCAAAAATACGCCAAAGTTGCTCGAAAATAGGGTGACAGAGTTAGGTTACCTCGACTTGGATACGCTGGAGACAATGACGGACATAGCCAAAGCATATATTTCGGCAGACAAGATGGAAGAAGCGAAGACCATGGCACGTTGTGCATGGGCGCTAAGCATTCATGTTCTAGACGATGACCATCCCGTTCGGCGAGGGGCGGAGCAACAGCTAAGGATTCCGATGATATTTTCGTATTATCACGAAATACATAAGTTGGGGGGAAAGAGAGTTTCGTTGTCGAAAATAAGTAATGAGATTCTAACCTCTGATCGTCGAAAGGAGGAACAAAAGCTAATGTCTCCTGTGCATGGTCAAAAAATAACTATACAAGACTCATTTGCACTATCATTACAGAGTCAGCTCATTCTTTCTCATTGTTATAATTTTGCTGCTGGCGTGGCGGATTACTTCGATCTCAAGGTTCACGCTTCTGCGGAGAGAGAGCTTTACCTTCATGAAGCGAAGAGACTTCTCCTTGAGGCCCTGGACTTGTACAAGAATCAGGGTATCGATAAGCATTGTCCAATTGGGATACGGATAATGGTATCCCTATGTGATACACATAATCGTTTAAATGAGTTTAAAGAGGCGAAGGCGATTGGGCTGCGGGCTTTGAAAATGGCAAAGGGAACACGGGGAATCGAATATGACCTCACGCTATTAGCAATGGAAAGCCTGGGCCTTTCTCTCTACCACTTGGATGAAATACAAGAAGCGGAGAAACTTCTGCGTCAGGTATTAGAGAAACGACTGGAAGCATATGGGTGTAAGAATCGCGATTCGATAAGGGCATTGAGACACTTATGTGCGACGTGCGCCAAACTAGGTCAGAAACTGGAAGCTGGAAGCCTTCTTCAACAGACGATTGAAGGACATTCGTATCGAGTTCCCCCTATTCCTCCAGTTTTTGTGTGCGGAAACAGGACACATTACTTGCCGCTCGAGTATTGTCTTTGTTACCTATTGAGTCCGACGGAAATCAAGGAACAGCTCACTCGTGTTGGAGTCCTCCCGGCTGAAGGCACCTCGGAACTATGTAAAGCGTTGTTATATACGTTCAAATAAGTTTAAGATGCTAGGAATCTCTTGCTAAATTTACTATCAAATATGCTTTGCAAATATATAAATGAACTAATTGCTTTACTTTTATAATTGTGCACTATTTTATGATTATTTGTCTCTCATCAGATATTTTTGACTTGGAAGTCAAGATAAGAATTACGAGATAAGAGTGACAGTTCGTCAGGTATGGTGAGCTGGGCCTTGCCAGTCGCGATTCAATAATAGGATAGATGGATACAATACTAAACACCATCAATGAGCTTCCCGTCACAGCCTGTGGTAGTGTCAAGTGATAATTGGCCTTTTAAAACGAATCTACAGGCATAGCCTGTGAGGCGAACATGTCTGAGTAGGCCGCGTGGTCCTTGTGTTGGCTGGGGTCAAAAAGCTGGTGATATTTGGAGGCTGTTGGTCATGATGGTTGCTTTTTCTAGGACTCAAATTAGGGCTCGGATTGGGGGTTTCAGCAGGGGTCTTCAGGGGCTCTTCCAGCGTATAAAAGGGGCCAAGTTAATTTTCAGGGTTTTCAGTGTATTCAACAGAGATCTTCGTCAATCACCAATATCATTAAATTCGTTCAATTGAGGCCTCCAAAAGCCTCCCCAACAACGGAACTTTCCGCTGTGTAAATTGCTGTTGTATTTCCAACACCTTGGCCTGAACGTACTTGCCTCATCGTTCGTCGTACCGTCTGCCACAGCACCTCTTTTTAACGGCTCCACGATGTAATCTGATTGACTGTCTATGGGTAGCTGCAGCAGCTACAAGACCCTGAATCCAATGACGCGTCGACCGAGGGTAGGGGAAGCGGCGAGATCGAGGAGATGAGGAAGTTTAGCTGGAAAAATGGAAGCTGTGGAAAGTTAGCTATAGTAAATCGTGAATATAAAGCCTGTAGCTAGGGTAAACAAGGCCGCTGCAACCGCTACAGTACCTTCAATGTATTTGCATATGATTAGCTTACATTTGCTGAGCGTTTACCGATAATTGTCTTAGGTTAAAGTAGCAAGATGCCTGGAGATGGGCTTATGTCTTTCTCATCGGTCTTACATGGGCCTGGAAGTATCTAGATAAGTTATTTATATTGCCAACGGATTATAAGGGGTAGAGTTGCTGTTCAATTAGAGCATGGTGCCCTTTGTTATATATTACGTAAATATTCCATTATTATTCAATACGCATCTCAGCGACAGGTGAAGCAAATATGGGTCTGTTGAAATCGTGTTTGAGCCATCCGTGAGAACAGCCAGTGGATGCCTCAGCTATGAAAACCACAAAATTTGTACATAGCACTGTTGTGATTACCCTCAGAAGATTTCCAGACGCATACAGCACAAGATCTTGGCTCTTGCTCGAGAGGCAAGCTTTTGCAGAAGCTCGGTGTGATAGAAATCATACGCCACTCGCATTCGCAGCTCAAGAGTGGGCATCAAAACGCTGTCGTGCAACATTGCTCGTTGGAACGGCCAGGTTTCGCTTCCGAGGTTCGTGTCAGCGGACATCGCTATGACCTGCAGGCAGACTCAGAATCAAGAAACTCGTCCAGCTACCGTGGTAGAAAAGGCGGCTGAAAGGGCTACTGTTTGATTTGTGTTCGGGAACTGCAAGGAGCTGTAAGACGTGTGCCCGTTGATGTGCATGGTGGCTGAGAATGCCAAAGAAGTAGTCATGGTGGACATGTCATAGAGTGATATGTCGTCGTTTGCCGGTTCTGAACTGATGGGACGGCTTGTGCGCAAAGGTGTTTTGAGATTCTCCAGGATTAGAGGCTGTTCAAGTAAAGTTTGGGACTTGTATTTTTGGTCTTTGTTTTGGCGGCCTCAGGTTTTGTGTAAGTGGTGGGCGACTTTTCTTTGTTGGACGAGGCTGAGTCCAAGGCGCACATCTGGGCGTTCAGGAAGCCGGGCGTCAACGGCGATCGACTATTGAAACTTGACAGCACTCAGGCCCAGTGAATATTCAAGAGCAGAAATCATTCGATGAACAGAAGTTGGATACAGGGCAACCCAGGCACCCAACCTCGTTCGTAGTGTTGTTGCGCCAAGCATGGCTCAACCGTTGTACGACAGTTGCCCACTCGTCAGATGTCCACGTGACAGTGAATGGAGGCCCTTTCTCTGAGAATTGGTCGTTGGAGCTTCAGTCCTGTTTGTCGACTTGTCTGGGGGCAGTGTCAGAGTACAAACAGCAGTGCACATGTGGGCGTTGGATCAGACACATGGAGCCGCCCTTGTTCACGGCTTGATTTTCTTGGGTTTGTGTGACACGAAGAGGCCGTGTTCGCTCCAGCCAACCATATAAGGAGCCTTTTTGCCCTGGCTAGAATTTTCAAGTGCCAGGCTCATTATCCTTGCAATTATTTGCCAACCATCATCAACCATGTGCTTCAACAAGCCTTTCGAGCCTGCTAGACTGGCTTTGAGCGGTAATGAGCTGCGTGCGCTCCATGATAAGCAGGCTAGTCGAATCCTCGTCGAGGATGGAAAGAGAAGGGAAATGAAGGACAAGAAAACGGCCGATCTGACCAAATACGAAGTGCATCCAGACTTCAAGCACACTCGAACAGGCGTGTCTACTCTCGTAGTGAACCCGAAGACTGGGTTCATTATAGTCGGTCCTCGCATGGGGAGCCACGGAGCTGGTAAGTCACCGCAGACACTTAGCACCTTGTACCATTTATCTACAGTTTCGCTGCGTGGGCTATCAACAAATGTGATAAACTAGACTAACGTGATGACTTGCAGGAACACTGGCGGTGCCAGGAGGACACTTGGACACGGGTGAGAATCATGGTCAGACTAGCGAGAGAGAATTTCAGGAGGAGACCAAGCTAGGAATAAAAGACGTCGGTTCCATTGCGCAGTCGTATGACAACTTCGCACATCACTCGAAGGGCATCCGATGTTACGACACCAATCAGCGCTTGGGATTTCAGCTGAATCCAGATGCACAGCCAGAGGTATGTATAAGCCGACAGCCGACAGCCAACATTAAATAGCTCGCGAGATTCAGGCTAATTGCCGATGGAACCTAGACGCGCGAGAAAAACAAGTCCGCTGGTTACGATCCTGTCCATCCAAACCTCGTGGTCGCCGTAAAGCTGTGTGCGGAGCCGGCGCTTTTTCCAGCTCTCTCAAACTTACTTGATGAATGTGGGGTTGCCAAACTATTCTTGAACCTTAAGAAGCATGGTGGCCTCCCTCTGGACGACTTGATCCAGGGAGATGGCAGTTTAAAGGACCAACACAAGATTGTCTCGGCCTTACACGGAGCCTTGTCTTGGATGCAGAAGAAACTCAAAGAGCAGCAGAAGCAATTCGATCAAGCACACTGGGAGCCCTTGCAGTGGAGCGTGTCCGAAATTGGATACGGTCTCCAAGAGGCGGAAAAACACTTATCCGTCATGCAGAGGAGGCAGAGAAGACACAGGAGGCAGAGGAGACAGAGGAGGTAAAGACGACGGGACGGAAGAGGCAGAGAAGACAGAAGAGGATTAGGCGCTTGACGGCTTTTGCGGAGGCAAGGGAAAGGGGATTCTGAGCAAGGATGGAAGTCGAATCGTTGAGTGCGACATTGAACTCCATGGTCAAAACCATGTCGATTACATGTTCATTGGAGTCGTTAGAGTTGCGATTTTAGATGGAATAAGAAAACGCTGGCCGTATTATCAAGAAAAGACCATGAATGACATATCCCTGTGGCGAGTGAAGAGTGGCGTGTGCATGTGGCGCCAACGTCAAATCGACTCGATGTAAAGCCAGCTGCCAATGGCAACACCAAACAGCCCACATGTCTCGTGAATACGTGGCGGCACGCGCAACCTCGAGCCAAACCCGCGACGTCCATCACAAGCGCGTGGCCTCACCCCCGTCCCACCAGGCATGAGCCATCGACAGCGCGGAGATTGCGCCAGCATGCGAGCATCATGTCGACGCTCTCCGAGCCCCGCCGGCCTCGCCTGCTCCCCCAGAACCGCAAGCTCCGCCATCTCAAAGGTCTCTCGTTGCGAAACCTGACCTTTGCCCTGGCCACCTCGCACTCCGCCGACGATGCAGCCATACTCGGGAGCCCCAGCAAGCTCGGCATGCTGCGCGAGGCCGCACACCTGCACACGTCTCGCTCGTCCGATAGCCTGCGGCGGGATGGCCTGCGCGCTGAGAAGAGGAGGCCGCCCGCCCAACCTCGTAGGACGAGCTTGAGTCTTTCGCATGCGAATCCCTCGACGCGCCAGAAGAGGCTGGAGAGTCTGGTGCAAGCCTCGGTGGGAGACGCCTTCTTCTCGCTGCATGTGGCCGAGTGCGAGGAGCCCATCTACATTAGCGAAGTCCGCAATCAATCCGCGGTACGATATCACGCTCCAGCACGCCCTGCTGTCTTGTCCGCCACGCGCCTAACTCTTTCTGTAGAACTTCAACTTCCAATTCTTCGATCTCTCGGCCGACGGACCCCTTGTTTCGAGATCATGCACCGTCAGCATCCGCGTCTGGGCAAAGCGGCCCCAGCAGACATGGGTCTTTCTCCTCCAAGAATTCATAGATTTACGACGACTCAACTTTATCAGCACATTAATAGACCGTCAATTCCCCCCCAATGCCATAATACTACACCTCGAGGACGGCGTATACTCGCTCGATTTCCCGACCAAGACGGCCGACCCGAAACATGCTCCCCCGGCAGCCGCGACTTCTTCGTACAACGCACTCATGAAGCTCGCTAACCTCGAAAGCTCCATACAAGATGCCATCGACACCCAGCACAGAATCACCCAGCAAATCAACCAAATCCTCGAAAAATCCCCGAGCGACCCGACCCCTGCTGCCGATGAAGAAGTATCCCTTGCCGACAAGTTCGTTGCCACACAGCAGCGAGCAAACAAGACGGCCCGAAAACGACGGGACGAGCTGTTGGAGTCACTGCGCAGCAGGAGGGAAGCCATTTCAACAGGCAGGGACGCCCAGGCGGCGGCAGAAAAAGACATTGCCAACAACAAGGAGAAGCTGGCCGCTTCCATTGCGCTGCTGCACAAGACGGAGCAGCAAATTCGCGGCCAGAGGCGGAGGATATGCTCGGAGCTGTCAGACATTTTCCCCATCACCCCGATCCCAAACGCGCCTCCGTTGTCCTTTCAAATCTGCAACCTGCCACTGCCCAACTCGACATACGACGCCGCCACGGCCAGGGCAATCAACGAGGACGTGCTCTCCGCAGCGCTGGGCCTCGTCGCGATGCTCACGCGCCATTTGCAGTTTTACCTATCCTGCCCGCTGCCATACCCCCTGTCAGCCTGCGGCTCGCGGTCCTACGCCAGAGACGACATCTCCCACATCCCCGAGCGGCAGCCCCAGCGGCGCGAATTCCCCCTCTACCTGCCCCGGGGCGGCTCGACAATCGCCCAGTGGCGCTTCGAATACGGCTGGTTCCTGCTCAACAAGAACATCGAGGCCCTCTGCGCGTCTCAGGGCCTCAAGGTCGTCGACATCCGGCACTCGCTCCCTAATCTAAAGTACCTCCTCTACGTGTGCAGCGCCGGAACAGACGAGGTTCCCGAGCGCAAAAAGGGCGGCGTGCGCGGTCTGTGGGCGGGCAGGTTGAAAGGCCGCATGGGCGCCGTGGCCGACGCCGAAAGCAGCAGCAGTGCCGGCGGCAGCAGGAGGGGAAGCGCAGACAGCGAGATTGCGAACCAGCACGGCGAGGCGCTGCGCAACGCGGCCGCACAGGCGAATGGCGACGGGGACGGCGGCTGGGGAGCGGACAGTGGTGTCGGCCTGTTGCCGTTTGGGGACGACGCGAGGTTTACCTTGCGCACCAAGGGGCTGAGGGAGAATGTTGCATAGCCCGTGTACGATGCGGCGAGGCGTGGCTGGGAGCGGTTTCGTTTGACCTCGCGACCGAGTCCTGGTTGTCAGACTGGCGGCACTTTGTAACATCCCAGTTTTTACGTTGGTCGTCCACTTGTCCTCGCTTGTATCCCTGCCGTGCAAGTCTACACCTTGTTTTAGATGAACACTACATCTCTTAATCCAAGTGTCCCGCTGTATAGTGCAGACTTGATTGCTACTCTCGCATCATCCCCTGAATGTGCGTGATGGGATGTGTGGTGTTGAAGAGGGGAGCTTGGGCCGAACGGGAACGCAGCAACGTAGCTTCAGGGGATGAAGGGCGCCATCATGTTTATACGATAGTCAACAGATAGGCATCATGTCATTAGTATAATCATCGTAATTTCTACAACCTTGCTCTGCGCCAAAGCATCAAGTATCCTGCCGTCGAGCACCCAGGATAAATACATGGGTCCGCTCTATGAGAACCGGGGGTATTGTAAACGCCAAAAGAAAAAAAAACAACAATCAACGATCTGTCCTTGCAAACTTTACACTCTTCCTTCGCTCCCTGTCTCCCGCGCCGCTTGACCTCCCCGGGCTCGAACTCAGGATGCCCCCGCTGCCCTTGTTCAGGGCCTCTCGCGCCATGCCAACGGCCTTGCTCTGCGGAACATCGTTCATGTCGCTCTTTACACTGCGGTCATACGGCGCGCCGGGACTCGATCGCCTGCTGCCGCCGCGGCTCGCGGGGCCATCTCTTACGCGGGACGAATCCACCGCCGCGCGACCGAGCTCGTCTGACCGGGCTGTCGTTGTCTCGCCGCGGTATTTGCCGGGCAGGCAGGCGTGGCCGCAGCCGTCCGAGGGACAGCACCCGTCGCTGTACTTGGCGGATGGATCTGCGGCGGCGACGGGCTCTGACGCGCCGTGCCATAGCTGCAGGCAGGAGGCGTGGCCGCCGTGTGCGCAGCCCGGGCAGTACCACCATTCTGACAGCCACGTTTCGGATTCGACGTCCGAGGCAGAGGGCCTCGTCTCCGATGGGATGAAGGATGGCCGCTCTGCTTCGCGGTGGCCGCACACCGGGCATGGCGCCATGACACTTCGGCATCGTTCGCATGTCCACACTGCGTCTTGGCCGGCCGAGGGGTCGACTTCTCGGGGTTTGCGGCACGACGAGCAGAATAAGCCCACCTTGACGCCTTGTTGGGCACCGCCAAAGATGGATACGTAGTTGTCTCCCCAGTCTGGCAGGCCGTCCGGCCATCCCTGTATGCACAGGTTCCGTAGCAGAGCTGCCTCGACAAAGAGGCCCATTCGCATCAGTCGCAGGTGGTGCTGGCGAAGGATGGCGCTGGCCCTGTGGCTGTCGATGACAGGAGTGGGCACGAGCGGTCTTAGCAACAGGATCATTGCTGAGGCATTCAGGGCCGATGTTTTGGATTCAAAGTCCAACGCGCTGAGCAACAAATTGCAGGGGTTGAGAGGCGAGATTGAAGCCGGGCTCGCTTTGGAGTTGTGGGCGTTTACGGGATGAGGGTAGGGCGGATCATTGCTCCATGGGAGATAATCTGTTTCGACGACGTGAGGCCGGGGGTCGTGCCGAGGTGATATGGACTCCTTCTTGGGGCTGACTGATCGGCTGGTTCTGATCTCCGGCACCGAATTGAGAGGCGATTCCCCTAGACCCATCCCATCGGTGTCCTGTGAAGTAAAGGATGGTTGAGATGCATGGCTATCCTCAGTCTTTGTCGTCTGTGAAATCATGAAAACTTCCTCTTGGGAGTCATTCGAGCGTGGAGACCGGCCGTTCCTCCCCGCTAGCGTATTTGCCATGGCTGGGGAGTCTGCACTCGAGGCACCGCTTTCTCTCCCCTGGTCAGACTGTTCCCGGTTGAGCGGCTTGGCAAATGCATCGCCACTAGATCCCATCCTCCCAGATCTCTTAGTTCCATTTGAGATGGAGAACATCTGGCCAAAGCTTTCGTCTGAATCCTGCCTGACGTTCCTACCGCGATAAGGCACTCCTCTAGAGCTGTTCTTTCTCCTTGGTACGGGAACATCGATCGCCTTTGCTAACACCTCTGTATCATAAAAGTCATAGCCCTCGGTGCATGAAGTTGCCGAATCATCGGTTTGCTCACTCCCCACTGATATAGGTTCCGAGTCATGACGTTGCCGGGGACTTTGGGACTCTCTAAAGGACCCATGAGCAGCAGGCCCGATAGTGAGCGACTCTGGTTCGACAATGGGTGACAATCGTTTGCCATGCTGATGTACGGCATCGTCATGACCGGGACTGGCAGTGTTCGTGGCACTATCAGCTGGCCTTGCCACAGGTGTTGGTACATTCGATGTGCTTTCAATCTCTTCCGCGAGCAATGACCGGATAGAGTGGAACCGGCCGTCGATGCTGCTTCTTTGTGCTGACGGTCGTCTAGGAGTATCTTCCCCATTGGCATACATTTCCGAGGCTTTTAACTTATCTGCGCCTTTTATGACATCGTCAACTTGAACTTTCTGGAACTGCCCAACTCGAACCTCAAAATGGTATTGTGCCCTGCGTTTGAGGAGAAGATTCATGGCATATGCTAAGATTCGCCATGTCTGTGCCAGACGGTACAAGTTCGCTACTTCAGCAGCTTTCGCATACTGTTCCATGATGATGCCCACTCTCTCTACTAATGGCTTGCCACCATCAGAGTATGGAAGTTCTCGTTTGAGCGTCTCCAGGTACGTATTAGATAAAAAGTGATATATCTGCACAGGCTTCGCTGCAGGAATAGGTCCAAAAGACATGGCTTGCTGAGACCTGAAGATTCCAGTCATATTGATAGATTGTTCCAGACCCATATTCTGCTTGTTATCGTCTGCAAATGGTGCTCCGCCGGAAGGCGGGGTGGTGCTTAAGGGAATGGTACCTCTTCCACTGGGTCTCCTGTTTCGGAGGATCCTGCGCCGTGATCCAAGAAAGGTTCCTATTACATCATCTTCAGAATCGCTTCGGCTTATGCTTAGGCCCTGGTTGCTGGGGCTGGAGCTGTATGTGGCGCGATGCATAGCATCAGATTGGTGTACCACTGGAAGCCGTGGTCGATGTGATAGCGGACGCTCATCAAGAAACATGAGCAGATCTCCTCTTGGAGAAAATGCCATGGCCGAAGTCGATTGGCGATCAATGACCTTGGGAGCAAATGCCACGTCGCATTGGTTGAAGGTCCCATCCTGGCCAACAGTCCATAGCATATCCTGGTCCTGCCACGCCAGAGCTGATGGAGATGTTTCGAACCTCTCGATTTCTTTATACGGCATGGATGGCCTCGCCAAGTCCCAAATGTGTACTGCTGATGTGCCATATCTTCGACTGCTAGTTTCATCATAGGTCACAGCAATCTGCGCAACTCGCCTGGCATGGGCACTCGCCGACCAAAGCCCCGGGCGCCAGGCTACAGCAGCCACTGGTGCAGGTGTTGATATGGTCCATTTCGGCTTCTGTCTCTTGTCCGCCGTGTTGCCCAAGTCCCAAGTGTGAATCTTTGTGTCCATTCCGGCACTAATCAAGTGAATGCCGTCATGGTGCCATGCAATATCTGAGCACGATTTCTCATGTGCATTGATTCTAAGAACGGGGCGTGAGGGTTGTCGCACGTCCCACTTCATGATGACGCCGCTTTCCGTACAGCAAGCCATCTCGTGGCCGTTGGCAGGAGACCATCTAACTTTTCTGATCGGATCGATGCATCTGAGTGGTGCAAAGCGTTGCCTAAAGCTGAGACCGTGTCTCGCCGGAGTGGTGTTGCTGCAATCAAAGACGCGCGCAGTTCCATCCTGTCCACCAGTCAATAACCAGGTCTTTAGGTGAGGGCTTATGTCCAAGGTGTTCATCTGCCGTGAGTCCTCTTGGGTCAAGATGTATTCCAGGGGTTCATTGTCGCCCGCACTAAATCGCGTCAGATCGTATGAGAAGACTTTGCCGCTTGCACACGCAGTGTATATGTGAGAATTGCCGTGCCATTTCACGTCGCGTATATTGAGCTGATCGGCCACAACATTCTGCCGAGACACAGTCGACTGTCTCGTAGTGATTGCGGTGCGTACATCGATGCCGTCGTTAAATTTGAAGCTAGAGGCTGTCAGATCGTCCAGAAGGATGGTCTTGAGAATATGCGCCCCTCCCAGCACGACGGCGCGGCGATCAGCAGAAACGTCAAAGCACGATATCGGGGCTCCCGCATCATATACGGCATTTTGCGACTTGGACGGGCGGAACGAGGTCGGAATAGGTGTGGTCGTGCCGGTGATTGAAGCCAAGTCACCAGTCGCAGAGTCGGGCGCCGCCTTGCCGAGGAGCTTGCGCATGATCTTGGACTCGCGATTATACATGATGGCGGCGGTGGCGGTATATCAGAGACGCCATCAGGGGCATTCGAAGCAATAGACTTGCGGGATCATTTACTGCGACGGCGCAATGCCCATGGCTGTGAATCAGCGTCGGGTGTAATTGAGATGGTTTGGGAGAATGCCAATGCAACTCTGTGTCAAGGCGGACCTGCAGAACGTACGTTGAAGGGAGATGGGACGGTATTACGTGGGGAAGGAGCAAGCAAGCTGGGTGGGGCTTCGTGGCTTCCTCGGCGAGTTGGTTCCGTGGTCTGGGTCGGATATCCAACTTCTAGGCGTCATTAGGCTCCAACCGATCAATGTCAAACTGATATGTTCCAACTTGACACCTTTGACGGCACCAAAGCAGGTCATTGCCTCGCCATTTCATACATTTGCTACCCAGCGCGCTGATCATGAAGTCCGAGTCCATGGATCGGCTGACGACGCGGCAGCACGCACCAACATATGCGCTATATCAAGCGAGTTTTCTTTGCCAAGGGCAAACGCCCAACTTCAGCTACAGCCTACGAGCAACAGATTTCTCCGACGGCCGAATTATCGTTTCACAGCATGGGGCTGGGATTTCGCCGTGCCAAGGCCCCCTTGTTCAACTCAGCCGCATCAAACAGGCAGCTCACTTCTGTCATGGTGGAATCTGCCCGCCGAGGCCTCCCAATCAGGCAATTATTAGATGCGGCTCACGGTCATGAGGCAAACCCTGCACGAGCTGATCCTCCAGGTCAGCCAGGGTAAAACCTTTATATTGCATGATCAGACACTAACACTTGGGAGGGTCGTCCTCAGCCATGTGTCTTATTGGAGCAGAAACGTACGTCCTTTGTTTCAGTCAGGTCCAAATACTGCAGCCCGTCAACTCCGTCTGCGATCAAGATGAGAGATTACCAATATGAGGCACTTCAACCTGGTGAGATCCGTCTGTTGCGGCTGGATGCTACTCAAAATTCTCAACGGCTCCTCTCCGGAAAGATCATCCATCACCGGCTAACAAACCCAAAATACCAACTCTCCGAGGCTGGCGACGGTTACTTGGAGCATACTCTTTCATACGATGCAATCTCCTATCATTGGGGAGGTGACACCAGAACCCCATTTCAAGTCGTTATTCGCGGCGACAACGGCGAGGAGGCCGCGATAAAAATTACGTCTACGCTTCACACAATTCTTCGCCGATTTGCATTGCCCAACGAGGCTCGAGTTTTGTGGGCAGATGCGATTTGCATCAATCAGATTACCTCGGAATCGAACACGGAGAAGGGAGAACAAATCCAACTTATGCCTGACATATATCGCATTGCAGCTTGTGTGCAAGTCTACCTAGGCGATGAAGCTGACAACGTTCCCGCGGCTCTGGAGCTCTTGTCTTCAATAGCCGACTACTCTGAGCATCTGGATGACTCTGTACATCCTCACGGCGAGATAGGAGTTGGTCTTGCGAAGCAAAGCGGGTTTGTACTCCCTCCAGTCGAAGACAAGAGTTGGCCTGCGCTGCGTGCGTTCTTCCGACGACCTTGGTTCCGTCGGGTCTGGATCATACAAGAGTTTGTATATGCCACAGATGTATGCGTCATCTGTGGTGACCTGCAAATAGATTGGCATAAGCTCTGGCTGGCATCTAAGGCATATATTTCCAATCGACAGCTCATGTTCCATGGTTACTCGAAAGATTTGTTCACGACCAGGAGACTGGATGACTACAGGGAAGCTCACGAAGGGGCTAGATCTCTGCACCTTGTCACTGATTTGCGTATGCGCGCCCAAGGTTACATGTCAGGACCTTACATGGTGTTCAATCTTGACAAAGGCGTGCCGTCTGATCCTTCCGGATTGTCTATTCGGAAAGATTTAAGCTCCATTAAAGGCTTCGAAAAGTTCACACGAAATAAATGGTTATCGGACCGTGCCGCAGGACAAACCTTCCCTTTTCAAAGACATAGCCTACTGGATCTCCTACATCGAACAAGTAATTTCCGGGCAACCCAGCCTATTGACCGACTATATGCCCTTCTCGGTCTAGCCGAAGATGCGGCCGGGTACAAACCCATATACTCAGCGGAACAAAGCCTCGCGATTGTTTCGACGCAATTCGCGGCTACATTTATCAACAATGGGCATCTCCCGCTAATCCTCTCGACTGCTGGCATTACATCAAACAATATCTATCCACGGGACTGGCCATCTTGGGTGCCAAATTGGACATCAGTGCGGTATTCGCAAGATTCAGACCCTGGATTTACTCGTTTTGCCCTAATATCCAACGAAGAAACAACACACGACAGAAGCCAGGAAGATAAAGAGGGACTTGCGCCACCTTCGACAGCCGTAGCTTCAAGCAATGCGCAGAACACAGCCACTGTTTCCAGAGGGACTCAGGGCACAATAGCCAACGCAAATGACACTAGAGAGAGGCAGGGGAGCAGCACGAACACGAATACAGAAACCCTAAATAATCTCCCTCGAAAACTTTACAACGCTGCTGGAGGCACTAGTGTGATATTCGGCGGTGATGTTAAGCAGGGTCTGCTACACGTTCGTGCCACACCAGTCAGCCATGTAAAGGTTGTGCTGCCGGGCAAATTACTCCTCCCTGTGAGCATGTACGAATCTATGGTCTTGAGGCTTGGAAACGTCTACGACACAGGGGAACCAATGATTGAAGCTTTCTGGCGAACAATGGTCGCCAATCGAACCATGCTGGGCGAACCAGCGCCACCGGAATTCGCTTTACAATATGAGAACATGAAAAAACATGACCAAGTTTTGTTTTCCAAGGCTGTTGTTCTACTTCTTGTGGGTTGTCTAATGGCAATACCTTTGATTGTCATCGGAATTCGATATTTGCCCGTTATCGCTCAGGTGGTCGTCTTGAGCGGCCTGGCATGGATGCAGTACATTGCAGTTGAACCGGCTGTAGTGTTCATGGTTCTTCTGCCCATATTCCGCTGGATACACGTCTTGCTATTAGTACCGGTGCTTCTTGCATTAGCATACTACATATGCACACATGCGTACCCAGTAGCAACGTTGGACCTCCTCGTACACATGGGCGTCGCCACTGCAGGATCCACAACCGGCCTACCAGAAGATTGTGCTGCTTACGCGTCTTCAATTAGCCTTGTCGCTAACAAGCATTCGCTATGTTTCACGGAGGATCGCTTGATTGGATTAATGCCACTGTCGACACAGGAGAGCGATGTCGTAGTTATCATCCATGGATGCGATGTCCCATTTGTGATCCGTCCCACTGAAAGAGAAGCACATTATTGTCTAGTGGGCGAGTGTTATGTGCACGGTGTAATGAATGGGGAAATGATGTTTGACGTCGCAAAGAAGTCAGTGGACATTATACTGATATAGAAACAAACTGAACCATTCAGCGATTTCCCATGGTAGCCATGCTTGAGTCTTTCAATATGGCCCCAAAGAAATTTTGACCGAAAAAACAAAGGTTGGACAATCGAGGGACAAATTCAGTTTTGCATATGTCTACATAGCGACATTGTTCTCAAGCCCAGTCGCCCAACTATGCAAAAACAAAAATCCCCAGACGGGGTACAAGATTAGCCCTCCTGTCAGAAACATGGCGACCATGTCTGTTTCCTGCGCCAATGTTCCATTCTATTGTAGGTTAGCCAGGCGTCATTCATGCACCGCCTCGAAGCTTAACATACCTTATTATTATCGAGTACATGTGCCGACGTCTCTTGATCCCGCCTAGATCAAAACATCGGCTTCATGGCTTTTATATCCCGCGTTTTCCCTCACGCCCATCCACCCTTGCCGCTTCATTCGTCCTTTGCAGCCGGACTCCTACTACGGCTTCGTTGTCTTCGCCCGCCAGCGCCGCTGCCACCGCCCGCCCTGCCTCCCCTACCGCCCTTGCCAGGCGGCGGTCTCACAAAGGCAAAGTCCACCGCGATGGTCTGGTCCAGCAACTTGGTCTCGTGCGCACCGTCAATCGCAGCCCGCGCTTCTTCCAAGGTGGCGTACTCGATCAATGCGTAGCCCTACACCAGGTTTAGCCATTCCCGCTCTCCTGCATTTTTCAAGTAGGCAGCACGTACCTTGACGTAGCCGCTTCTCCGGTCCAAGTTCAGGTGCAAGTTCTTGATCTCTCCAAAGTCGCCGAATTTGTCTTGTATCGCCTCCTCATCAGCCTCTTCATGGACGTTTGTGACGATGATGATCCAGCCTTCGATGGATCGGACAGCCGTGGCTTTGGTGTGGGTTTGCATTTCGGATTCGTTGCGTGCCGGGGGCGACGCAGGTCGGTCGACGTCCATGTCTACGTCGGCCATGATTTCGGTTTGGAATTCGGCGAACGACGCGGGAAGAGATGGTGTCTTTAGAGCGCCAGAGAGGGATGTGCGGCCCTTGCAATGAAGCTACGGGTTGACTATTGACGTGGGGCAGAAGCTCGGTATAGGTCACGTGATTGTGATTTCTGAACGCCGGACCAGAAGGGCGGCATGTTTATGAAAGGAACAGTATTACGAGACCTAGGTGATTCTACGTTCTAGGTGTTGATGATGGCTTGTATATATGTATACCTGTATTCTTTGATATCTGGTTGAAAGGGGATGCTAAATTGGTTGTGGCACAGGACGGATAGAATGCAGACTGCTAGCCGGTGATTTTCGTCCGACGAAGTCAATGATCATTTTCCTCATCAAAGGTCGCATCGGGGTCGTTTTGACATCACATGGTCACTGATTATGAGGCAAACTGCGGATGAATGTTTTCTTTATTGACGAACGACACCAAGACGCCCGAGAAAAGTCGCCGCGCTTCGTCGCACCCAGTCGTCACATGCAGAGGTGCTCAGCTTCCTGATCGACCCATATTCCGTCCCGCCGATTTTTCTTCTCAAAATAACCATGAGGAAACGGCGTTCCACCCTGTACATTTTTTGACGTTCACTTCATCCCCTCTCCTGTCGGTATATCCTTACGAGCCGGGGTTGGGGTTCATCTAAGCCACCATGGTCAGCGCTTCCTCCCCTCTCCAGATGCCGTGGCTGAGCGTTTTTCGGTCCTCACCTTTCTCTTGCCACCAGTGAGGGTGACGTTGACGAATCGTCGGATGTACTTGAGGCGCTTGAGAGCACGGCCCTTGGGGACCTTGGCCTTCTCCTGGGGCTCAACCTAAACGCAGCAGGGAGAAAAAAAAATAGTCAGTCATCGTCGTTCGTGATCGTGGTCGGGGGGGAGGGGGGTGTGTTTCGCCGGCAGGCACAGCATCGGTGGGTTCGTACTTTGGGGGTCTGAGACTTGACCTTGCCTGCGAGATGATTAGTCCAAGTTCGCCGTGCGACGTTATTGATCGGGTCGAGGGGGCGAGGACGCACCGGCACGGGCGAGAGATCCGTGAACTTTACCCATGATGATGGATGGTGTTTGGCGATGCTGTGGATGAGGGAGTCGGTCGGCGGAGAAGAGGCGAATGAGTTTTTGCGGAATTTGGCAAATGGTTGTGTGTGGGAGGCGAGGCTCACGTGAGTGGGGACGGCGATTTGCCCTGCCGGAAAAATATTGGCGCGCTATGACTCTCGCCCACCTTGGTTTGTTGGGTTAGTCAGCTTTTTTTTTTGGAGGGTCGCTCATTCATTTGGATTTGCATCCACTACCTACCTGAGGTACTAATACTTGCATTTATTGAATCATAGAAAAAAAAAATGGTAGTAAGCTATATTCCATGGGATTATACTCAAATTTCTGTTATACGAAAATAGCTACAGAGTAGTAGAATAAGAGCTGCAAGTACCTCGACGCGTGACTTCGATAGGGAGCTTAAAGCACAGCCAATGGCTGGGAGTCTTGAAAACCCACTTCACTTTGCGTGGCCAAATAAACCGTTGACGCGCCCAGATTTCAACGTTTTCAGTGACCAAGTGAATTGGTTGGCTCAACATCACTCGGCTCCAAGAGTAAGCAGTAAGGAATCTGTGGCCCGGCTCAGTTGCTACACATGCATCATCCTAACGGCAAGGCAAACGCCATGAGTCCCAAGTAATCAATGGCCCGATCTCATCGACGATGCAAAGCGTGCGCCGATGCATGCGTGGCTTCCCTCAAACCGAGTCGCGCAGCCAAATGTTGACGTCACAAATTCTCGCTCCTTCCCATCAGTGCCCACGATCAGCCCTATAAGTCCCAGATCCCTGCCTCCCGACAGCCCTCCCTCAAAATGACCAAGACTCCAGATTCTTTGCAAGCAAGACCAAAACCCTCTGTCGATACATGAAATGTTTATTCAGTTTTCTCCAGTGATATAGTCAGAAGCCTCACCATGGTTCACTTGACAGCGACGCCTACTGAGACCTCCGGACGGTCCGCAGTGATCCCACGCAAGACGCTGCGGGAAAGATTCCTCCACCGTCTGCCCAACTACAATGGCCCGTACAACGTCGGCTACATGGACGTCGAGGTTCCGGCCCGGAACCCACGTCCCATATCTAATTTGAAACGCGGGGGGAAACCAGTGCTGCGTCTGGACACCGTGCTTATGGGTATATACTACCCATGTGACGTGAGGGAAACCATCGAAGCCTCGGATGGTGCACACAACCTCCGGCGCGTCAATTGGATGCCTGCGCCTAGAATTGCCACTTCAAAGGGATACGCAAAGTTTCTCAATATCCCGGCGGCACCCGTCACGGGATATCTGGCTTGTACGTCGCTTTTTACAAAGCTGCCTGCGTTTCGAAACGCCAAGCTGGCAGACTACTGGGCGAAAAATAGTTCCAAGGAAGATATGGCTTCCGACAAAGAGGACGGTGGAAAAGACGATAAACCTACGTTTCCCGTCATCATATTTAGCCATGGGTTGGGAGGCTCGAGGCTGTGCTACAGCACAATATGTGGCGAACTGGCTAGTTTCGGCTTCGTCGTGGTCGCGGTCGAGCATAGGGACGGAAGCGGCGCGAGGACGCTAGTGAACCTGCCTGAGAATGTCAGCGCAACGGAGATTGAGTCTTCAACAGCGGAAATCGTGTCCGGAAACGACGAGGAGCACGGGTCCGGGGCCAAGAACAAAAAGGTTGAAGGTCAGAAGAAGCGCGGCGTGAACCCGTACTACATCATGGACTACATTTTACCAAAAGACAATGCCCAGGATACCTCTCCACACAACCCTCGCGGCGTAGACAGCCACCTCCGAAACGCCCAGATCGAGCTCAGGCTGCAAGAGATCAAGGAGGCATACCATGTGCTCTCGCTCATAAACAACGGCAGGGGGGACGACGTCGCGCGCCTCAACTTGCGGAAGAAGGGCAATATCGGCTCCAGCTCCAGGGGACTCACGGGGATAACTTGGGACAGCTGGAAAGGGAGCATGTTTCTCGACAAGGTCACCGCCATGGGCCACTCGTTTGGAGGAGCAACCACGATCCAACTCTGTCGGGACCAGTCTCTCCCATGGCTGGGCCAAGGCGTCATTCTCGACGCGTGGGGTCAAGGAACTCCTGCTCGAGGCGACGGCCCCGATAACATTGTAGTCAAGCCCATCATTGCCATATCGTCAGAGGCATTCATGCACTGGAAGGAGAATTTCGAACGAGTCGTCGGGTTTTGCCAAGAAGCGCGTGAATCCAAGACTCTGTGCTGGATGCTCACCATTGTGGGCTCCACGCATCTTGCCATGACCGACTTTGCTGTGTTATACCCCCATTGGATGTCGTTCTTCATGAAGTCAATGGTGAACCCACTGAGGGCTTGTTCCCTTACTATCGCGACTTCGTTGGAGTTTCTCAGCCTCACTCTGCCGCCCGGGCACATCAAACACAAGACTTGGCTCGACGAGGATCTGTTGCTGTCGGCGCCGGCACCGAGTGAGCCTGAGGAGGCGCTGAGAGAGGACCACGCCCCGGATTACAAGTGGGTGGCAGTGAGACTCAGGATTCCCAACGAGTTTTCAAAGAGATTCAAAGCATGGTGTCGAAGGCTTTGGCGGACACTAATCTGTACAGCTGTCGAAGGCGACGCCCTGGGCAATGGACTCCATGATTACACTGAGCAGGATGAGTTGTGGACGCATATTAGTCCGAGATGTGCAGATGTGGCTTCGTACAGGAGCTCCCTGACTTGAGTGGGCCAGCCGGTCATTTGATATTACGAATTGATGCTGTCAATGTACGGAGGTATGATTATTTTTTTTTTTTTTTCATTTCTATTGTGTCAAGTAGGAATTACCAAAGCGAGGCGTTTGTTTGCATGCGGTCATGCCGCTCCTGGGGACTGACGGGATCAGAAAGATGGAGGCTTGTGCCAAGGCTGATATTCAGGTTGGGAAACCTAGTCACCGCAACTAGTCAAAATCTTGTGAGGGTGCACAATGTAGCCAGTTTTCAGATGAAGGCACAGCAATCACCAGCTCGGCTTTTCTCTGGGACAAAAACAGAACCTCTCACATATTTCGAATAGTTTGATTTCTTGTGCACCACAGGACCGGAGATGCATATTTTGTCTCAAGATACTGAAAAAGTATACTAAGAGCACGGTGCAGCATTTCTTCTCAATTTGAGTTTGTCCAAATAAGTACATCCTTGGCCAATTAATTCTGAATTTGCATACGCCGATCCACCAATACGTTAAACCATTTTCCTCAAAAGACACGAGCTACGGTAATGTGTTTCGTAAAAGCTCGTGCGGTGCTCCAGCACCACCTTGCAAAGAAACGCCCTGATTTACCCTCGAGGTGACACGGAGTCAAGAACGAACCCATGTGCCTGCATATTCCCTTCTCTTGAGGCTATATCGGTCCAAAAAGTTCCACAATCCTCCCTGCTTCCCTTTGAGCCTTGTACCTGTCCGAAACCATCTCGGTGCAGCACGCATGCCTCGGGTCATCCGCGCTCCCAAGGTCTTGCCAGATCCGGTCGATGCCGCTCGCTCCAGTACCCTGTAAGCTGTATTCAGCCATGCAATGAGGGCATTTTCCAATTGAGCCGTATTTTGTCCTGGCCGCGACAGACGTCCAGTGAACAGAGTCCGACATCCACTTCCCTTGACTCCTCAAGACGACGCACGGGAAAAAGTGCAGAACAAATAGTGCGAACCTGTCATCCTTGGAGGCATTCGCCCATCGGAATTTAGCCGACCAAAGACCCCAGTTTGTGCCTTTGATCAGTTTGATGACTCGCAGACGACGGAGGTCTATTGGCGCAGCAAAGCGCCGCATTTCAACTTTTAAAAATCTATTTAAAACTATTGAAAAATTTTACTGATTGTTTTTACTTGAATTGATTTCAGCTGTTGGCCCATCTCAACCGGCACTGCGGTGTCGAGTGCGAATAGGTCGCGATTGTGATATGACGCCTTCTGTCAAGGAAGTTGGCTGACCCTAACCCTGACCCTGACAAAGGTATCATTGCGCATGTCGCAACGCAATACCCTGGGCGTTTGTTCACCAGGAAGCACCTTGGACGTTCAGTGGACAAGGAAAATTCATCACTGGCACACGCCACGGACATGGCAATACGCCGCGACACCACCATTATCCCTTCGGGATGCCAACGTGGAAAACCCAGGACCAATCATAGCTGCCTTGCGACCACCACTATCATGTGTTGTGATTGGATACGCGAGCATGTCCATGTCGAATGGGTGTAATGGCGCGCTGCGACGAAGGGAATCGTGGCGATTTCCCACGTGAAGGCACATCCTCTGCCCATTCAGTTATATTATACCCCGACCTAGCCTTTCCTCCAAAAAACATTCATCGCTTCCCAGGCGTGGCATCGGCAACTCAGGCGCGATGGAAAGCTCCCACCAGGAAAAGAGGAACTTTCCCAATCAAGAGCAGCAGGCCGTCAAGCGCCTGTACGGAATAGAACGAAGCAAACCACGCCTTCTTCACCACCAGCTGCAGGTCAGGCCTTTCGGGCGTCATCTTTGACATTGCCCAACATCACCGCCCGGCTGCTCAGAAGCTAATGTTTTTTTTCTTACGTGTGTTTTTGCGATAGGGAAGAAAGTATTTCGATTCCGGCGATTTTGCCCTCTCCCAAGCACACCGAGCATCCAACATCGGCGCGGTCGAGACGGGGACTGAGCATCCGCTTCGGAAGGATATCTCGCACCCGTCGTCCGCAGCGCCGGCGTCTAGCAACGTCAAGAGCGATAGTAACGAACAGGGCGGGCATGCCGAGCAGTCTACAATGGTCGCGTCAGCCAGCCATCTTCAACAGCAAATGACGCCCAAAGGAGGGGTGGACGAAAAAAGGTAAGCAAGGAAAAGGCAAAGCCGAGATCAGAGAGCATTATGTGATATGGGCCGGGAATTTTTACTTGAGTCCATTATAAATTGCAAGTCGAATACAACGCTGCCTACGTACGGTTAAGTGGTTATCGGGCTCGACTAATGCGAGAAATGCGGTGCATGAGCTACTGAGGGAGCATGTTTTTTATAAACCGACCTTGTGATTGTGAGGGGAGGCGGGTTGGCGAGATTAAAAATGAGGGCTGGGATGGATTAAGGCCCCGGTTTAGCAGCCACGGATCGATTGAATAATGGAATTATCCTTGGATTGAATCTGTCTAGCTTGGTCGATTAGAGTCTTTTTGTGGATATCTAGCTAGAGGCTCCAAGTCATTCAATGAGGGATTTACCTATATTAAGAATGACGGTTCCAATAAGGCCGTGACCTGAACCTTTATAAGTCTTCTCGGCGATACTAATGAATAGCGGTTTCCCGTTGACAATTAGCTACATACCTTGCTCTAGCTAGAACGGGGCTACCAATAAGGCGACATAGCCGATCAGAAACTAGTTTTTTTCATAGGCTACGTGACTCCAATATACCTAATCAAAGTCCTCCACTGCAGCCAACAGGAAATACCAAACAACTTCATTTCAACTACTCCGTATGAACTGTAAGGCTTGGAGTTGCCTCAAGAATGCTCCGTCATCAACAAAATCCCGCAGTGGGAATAGCCTTCAGTTTGTCAACCTCGGCACCAAGTGACTCGACACCCAGAGACTTCAGTGCCGCAACAACCTCGCCGAGGATACTCTCTTTGCGAAACTTGCCTTGGTGTATGTGCCGTCCTACCAACAGGCTCTGACGTCCCATTGATGGCGAGCGAGCTTGGTCTGAGCGAGCATAAGCCCAGTATGTGCAAGCGACAAGATGAGTGCAATGGCGACAAAACCCACCCAGGTTAGTCAACTTTGTTATGAAGTTGCCGTTTGCGCCTTGGATGTTGGGATGCGAGCCCCAGGCTTACTCACAATCACTCCACCCAAGTTTGCGCCTTCTTGCGAATAGTCTACATGTTGTGAAAAGAACAGCCCCGATAGTCATGATGTCGCATATCGAGATCAGTGCCGGGGCCAGAGTCTGGGTTTTCAAAGTTGGTCATGGTACCATTGGGTGGCGTCCCCGCAGGGAACATGCACAAGTCGATATCTAGACCAGGGGGAACTTGATCCATCCTAGGCGAGGCGTTATATATCGTTAATGACAATTATGACACTTGACTGTTGGTTGAATAGGGCATGGAAGGCGAGCAAGAATTCCTGTGAATCCTGTCCATCAGGTTGAAAATGAGTGGCGAGACTATTCAGACAAGCATAACACGTCTTGTAAGAGAAGGCTCAGTGCAAAATAAAGAGCTCAGAAGGTAACGGTCAAAGGCCAAATAACATCCAAAGAAAAGGGTTCAACAAGGTATAAGATCACGCTGGGGAATAATCCTTTTAAGAAGGCTAATCTTAGGAACCATAGAAAGCCGTGAACAACTCTTGCCACTTTGTAGTATCATGATATGCGCGCATGGCTCGGTCTACAATTCGTCTACACCGCAGGCGCAAGTAAGGCAGGGATAAAAGTAGTGCCTCCAGGTATGCTGGTAGCGACACGAACTTGCATTTTTCTTTATGGCGTTCTATACACCGCAACAGCAAGGTCGCCGTTTCCAAGTCTTCTACGGGACGTGGTGCTTTTGTGCCACCTATTTGACCATGACCATTCGTGGAGCACTCTTTATAAGTCGTTTTTTTATCAATAACGTGACATGTAACTTTTGAGCAGCGCGATTTTGCGGCCTGATAGCGACCCAGAAGAGCAGGCGACAGGTAGGCCGCCTACTGGAACTTGGCCAATCAGTTACTTGCCAGACTACTTTCTCCACGAGGTAGGATTCAATGTCGTCTTGGTCTGGTGCTGGAGGTACACCGCGGCAGACAAATACAGCCGACCTCGCTCCGGCCACAAACATCGGCAGTTGAAGCCCCCTATCGAGAGCCTTACGCGGACCAATGGGCAATACAGAGTTTAGAGGCAAAAGCTTCCATGAGGCGGCCCCAAATCGAGCGTATACCAGCACTTCAGAGACATTTTCCTCTAACAGCGAAAGCGTTGGGTGGTATGAGGTGCAAATCGGGTGCGAAAGCGAAGTAAGATGGACATGAATAGCATTTTTGCCTATATAGCATCAGAAAAGGGCCTTCATCTTCCTATACGGAAAGACCAGTAATAAACATCATCGTGCGCTTCTCGCTCTAATTCAAAATGGAACAGCAGACTTCAGCCCTCCCACGCCAAGCCAAAACGTCCACGTATTCATCTCAGTGAAGATTTCGATATCATAATCTCTAACTAGCAGAGCACAGGTAAACAGGATTACACGCTTAGCCAGAAAGCGTCCTGGGCAGATTGAGTGACCACCTGAAAAGAGTGCTAGTCGAGAGTGTTTAACAGAATTACCAACCTCGTGATGGAAACACTTACCTCCATAAGGAAACCAGGACCCCTCTGTCCCATCCAGAGAGAAAAATGCATTTTTGCTCATGCCTCCCTGCCCATCATCCATCCGCCTCGGTCCCGCCCAGTCGGCAGACTCACGCACATGGGCTGCCACAGGACCACTCTGGGGGTCTGCTGGGTCAATTATAAACCTATCAGCCCAAAATGAAGCGACTGGGTGCTCGCCATCGCGCGAGTTCCAGAATGCATCATCCATGTGCGATAGACCTGCATTCATGAGGCCGATACGACCCTTGGGAAGCTTCCATCGGCCCAAGTGGACATCCACATGTGGCGAGCTGACCATGAAGTACGTCTTGACGCAGAGACGGAGAGCCTCAGCATAGACAGAAGAAAGCAGTGGCACTCTAGTAAGCTTGTTAGGACTTATTTCTGCCAAGCGTTGGTGACCGAAAGAGCCCTCGACCTCGTTACAGACGCGCTCAAGGAGGACAGGCTCCTTGAAGATGTGAAAGACACAGAGCATGGCGCAGGGAACAGTGTTTCCGACAGCACTAATGGGAATGCAATTAGTCGACATAGTAAGACGCCGCGGCGCAATCATTTCAATGTCAAAGGAGAAAGAGCTTACCCCCATGCCAACCCAAGATCCATTCTCGCAAGGGCGTCGTCGTCGTGGTTCTTGACTGCTAATAGCTTGTCCTGTCGATACCTCGTAAGATTCGACCCCCAGTATGGATCTCCATCTCCATCAGGACTAATGCTCGGCTCGTCAAATTGCTCCCTGGCGTATTCATACCAGCGTTTCAGCTGGTTAACGCAATTTTGACGGGGCTCATGTGTCAATGGACTGATGAATGACGGCAGTCCTCTAGCAAGCCACGGAACGCTGGCATCAAAGCCCCAAAGATGTTGCACAAAATTCGGGTTGAGCCGGAGCATCGTTGGACCGTATATGCATTCAACAAGGGAAGAACCAGCTACATCTTGGAAGAAAGTGGACAAATCTGCGACCTCGGTCCACTCTCTTGAGAAGCTTCTCTCCTCCACCCTGGCTGATAATGCGCTCATGTATCGCCGGGTCGTCGGCAACAGACCGGGACCGCTCAGGGCGCGTAGGAAGCCATGGTGCGTGATGTGGTCGACACGGTCTTGGGGCCGAACATTGCCGCCCACATATGGCGTAGGGAAAGGACCGGAGTCGTCGGCGCGGTAGACGGACACGACGTGCTCAGGAAGCCCAAAGAAGTATTTGAGAACATATAAAAACATTGAGATGGGGCTTGAGAGTGCAGGCTCCTTCCATATGTTGCTTGACATTTTCTAGCGTTCTGGTTGCTCCTGATGACCTCCCGCGTTTCTGGGTATTCGTCTACCGAGCCTCTCCGCTGACATACCTGATCAACGGGATGACTCAGGCCGCTCTGGCCAATACGCATATCGCGTGCTCTGATGTAGAACTCGTCCATATCAAACCCCCTCCGGGAGCCGTCCGTAATGATACACGTGGCGAGTATCTGGGACCGTTCATGCGTCGTGCAGGAGGGACGCTAAAGAATCCAGACCATACGACGAACTGCCAGTACTTCCCCGTTGACGAGACTAATCGTCTGTTGCTGCAGCTGGGGATGAAGCCAGGACAGCATTGGAGTGCTGTGGGGTACATGATGGTTTATGTCGTCTTTAATTTGCTTGTCATCTATGCCATTTACTGGCTTGCGAGAGTGCCAAGAGTAGGAGGATCAAGAAGGCTTAAGGCGGCAGACATTGACATTGGGCCTTGATTGAAATACAATTTACTATCCCGGAAGTGAATGGCGTCAAGTCTTCTCTTTGCCATCAGATTCAAGGTCTTCTTGCAAGGTATTTTGCCTGTAGTGAATGAAAGTGAAGGGAACTAACTGCACTGTCAGCGTAACAAATAAATCCTTCCCTCAACACTACTCTAGGCGTGAAGGAGCATAGGCAAAGAGATCAATCAAAGTACAAAATGTACGCGGTAACTGTAGTAATCGAGGAGACGACGTGCTTCAACGACTGACTTTGAGTACCAACTGAGAGCCAACATCGGCCTACTACGTGTAGAATTGGGGCGTGTTTGTGGTCGTGATGAGGAAATAATGCAGGGCTGGGCTGATCTGGAAGCTATGGTCAAGTAGATGCGCAATCGCATATTTGTTCAACGTCGTCACTTTGTGGTGTTGTTTCATGTAGCTCTGGATGCGAGGCCATGTGTATATGTGTGTGTATTTTCCGTCCAGCAACTTCAGCCGCTCAGGTCCCTTGTCAGGGCGCAGGACGTGCTAGGCTAAACTATTGAACTATCCTGACCGCTTCGCGAGAAAATGTACCAGTTCACCTTATAAAGGCCTCATGGTTTCACATAGATGGGGTTCCTATGACAGCAGCCTACTGCCTCTCGTCCTTTCTTTGTTTCCCCCCCTATTCTATTTCCTGGGACCCTTCTTCTTTTGGGTAACACCCTGCCTTCTCTTAACACGTTTAATAAGTCTTTTTTTTTTTTTCAGCTTCACTATTTTTAGTCTCACTATCTACCTCAAACGAGGCAACGAAAAGGGCTTTCGTAATACTGTTCGCCGGTCTATCCCTATTTGCCTTGTCTGCGCTATTGCGCCAAAGCCAGAAATGATGTCATAAAGCCGTCATGTGATTCCGGTGTCATGATTTAAATTACTCCCCACATAGCTGAGGCAGGCTATGATGATGGATGAGAGGATGTGGACGATACAGGCCGCGAGGAGGAGTTCTAGAAGCTCTGAGCGGTCTTGTATAACCTGAGCAGGATACGCCACAGCCTTCAGGCTAATAGCATTTTTAACAGGCATTTATCACGTCGTCTAAGCTAACTATGACATTACACCTTCTCTGGAGCAGGGTTCCTCTGCGCTTCACCCATGCTACTAGTGCCAAATTCAGCGACTCTTGATAATCTAATTACCTTAAGGTTATAGTAGGGTGGGCATTATTGGTCAACATCGTGTATCGTCGTATTAGCACTAGGGACTCGAAAGCGTATCAAGAGTCTTATTTAGTAGATCCACCTATAGTCCACGTAATATTTGATTTCAATCATATTCACTTATTCTTCCGTTGTCTAGGATTATAGAGAGGATGTGACAACTGCTCATAGTAGCTCTTACTCTCCTTGTGAACAACCGCTTTATCCAAGTCGCACTCGACCTTGCTCGTGCCCTCGTACCGTCAGATGAATAGACTCCAATATTTCACTCTTCGTGCGTCAGCCCGGCACTCAAGTGTAGGATTAGCTATAGCAATGGAGGCGTGTGACGGTGTAACCTGGCAGGGTAGAGAATGTCTCCCCCCGTCGACAGGAGCGCACGGGAGATACTCCGCATAAGCATCAATGTATATAATCATTGGTTTTTGACCTCGATAACGGATCACACCCTAGTAGTTGTTCAAGCATCCCCGGAGTATTCGTGCCATGTCCCCGCTTTTTGAGTTCCTCCTTTGCCTACATCCTTCAAGATGGGTACGAAAAAAAGTGACGGCGTGGCACAGGTACGCCCCTGACTTTATGTAGTAACTATATTAGTACACCAGATAATGCTGGCGATGGCTACGCTGCCTTTTGCAACTTTACATTACAAAAGCAAAGAGGCACTTTCAAACTTGGGCATTTTTACCAGCGCCACCGCGCCCTGTTGTGATAGTCATTTCTTGGAGCATTCTTTCATGATGAAGGCGAGTCTCTGGGTCCCGATAACCACGCTGCTGCTGCTCCTTGGCTTCTGTCACAGCCACTTGGAGCCGGGACGCAACATCGAACCGAGACTTGACCGTCGCGGGATGGACGCTGAATCTGGTGGGTTTGATGACGAATTTCCGGAACATGTCTACCGCGGCGAGATACAGAGAACCCCAGAACAAGTTCAAAAGGATGGGGGCTTCTACTCGCGAGGTATGCAGAGAATAATCTCAGGTGATACACTGTCATGGAAAGAATTGGAAGACGGTAGTAGCCTGTTTCGTCATGCGGCAGGAGACAGTGCTCAATTTACACGTTATGTCTCGACGAGCGCTGACCCTGCAACATCACTTACGTTCGCTGTCAATGACGAAGATCCAGGCGAGAAGGGCCATGTCTACAAGATTCACGCTGATAAAAGGATGGTTGATGTGAACAGATCTCTTGGAAAATATTCGCCATACCCCGCGCAAAACGAGCAGCTATTGGTTTTGTTCCATTTGAGCAGATTGAAGGCTGGTGGGAAGTCACATATGAGCATGACTTTTCTAACCCTCAAGTTGGAAAGAAAACTCAGGACAAGCTGCAAAAGCTAGGAGGTAGTGGCGAAGCACCACAGCTCGCTGGCTTCCCTCGACTATCTACAGCTTGGGACGAGGACACTTGGAAGCAATTCAAGGCACTGCCTGTGAGCAAAAGTCTAGACGACATGATTGATGCGCTGTGTACCGGCAAGGACAACTGCATCAAGCAGCTTGGCCAGCAGGAAAGGAAACCGACGGAGCCACACGCTTCTCTCAATGGGCAGACATTGGTGGGATTTAATATTCTGGCACGATATTTACGCAATGTGCTGAACCAGCTGCGAGAGTGGGATCACCCGATTGGGTGGGCTGTGAAGGAGCTTGATGATAGTATTAACGGATTCCAGAGTACATTGGAGGGCCGCGACGGAACGACATCAGCGGTAATGACAGCGAGGCAGCGCTGATCAACTTCTTTAAGCAGGTCTTTTGGATACTGGTGGGCCCGAGGATGCGGCCGCAAGACCTGCAGCTCCTGTCATACGGGAAGAGAGATAAGATGCGATTGATTGGCGTCAACGACGTTCTCCGCATCTGCGAACGCGTTGAGGGGACCCTGCCGGACCAACAGCAGCTGAGGATGAAACTGAAGAATGCTTGTACCGACGTCCGTACGAAGGCAATGGAGGTGGAGATGCCAAAGGCAGCAGAGCTTGAGATAGGACGTGCTGCCTGTAGCGTCTGCGGGCTGAGCTGGGACCCTCGAGATGGTCAGTGTCAGGACAAGACGGGGGCAATCCTCTGGCCACGAGAGCCGCCTTCTGAATCAACGTGTCGCAATGATGACAGCGCCGAGTGTGGAGGTGGGCAGACGGCAGCAGATCTCCAGACAGGACAGGCTGTCTGTGGTATTTGCGGCTCTAACTGGTACCCAGACGAAGGCAAATGCGGGGATACGGCCGGGGCGCTGCTCTGGCCGTTCAAAACGTGTAGCGATGAAACTGGCCGAATCCAGTGCGAAGGTGGGCAGACGACAGCACAGCGCGAGACAGGCGAAGCTGTCTGTAGAGCTTGCGGGAGTTATTGGGATCCAGAGGGCAGCAAATGTAGGGATAGGGCTGGGGTGCTGCTCTGGCCTCCGCGGCACTTGCCGAGCATACAGCCTCTACGCCCATCGAAAAACCGTCGCGGCGGTAATGACATACCAGCCGTGCCAAAGAAGGCAGAGGGTGGCGGAGGTCGAGCGAGGTCGAACTATCTGTGGAATTTGCAGGTTTTCGTGGGACTTGAAAGCCGGTAAATGTAGGGATAAATCCGGGTCGGTTATCTGGCCGCCGAAGGCATAGCGACTTGATTTTCCAGGGTGGCCACGTGACGAGGGTCCAGCCTCCCGTGGACAAAAGACCATGCCAAGAATAACCGTCCAGACTGAGCATGATTCCAGCAGCCTTGCCTGTGCACCCACTTATTGTAAGCTACAGCTGGTTATAGTACCAAGTATATTCGAGAAAAGTCGCAAATGCAAAGAACTTGTTGAACAGGAGCGCCGGAAACACCACGCACTTACGGGGTACCCGCGGCAAGGATACTACGTTTACCGGGTCTATTTACAGACACAGCCATGCGGGACAGAGCCTGGGATGGATGAGGCCATGCAGAGCATCCGATTGAGAGAGCCGGGGTGGACGAGCCCGGGGGAAGAGGGGGGAAGGTGGGCGGTGGCCGGGGGCAGGCGGCAGGAGGGCATGGGAGGCAGGAGACGAAGAGTGGGGCTGGGCTGGCGGGGCATCGAGCAAAGTTGCCGAGCACCACCAGCCAGGCTCGACCACTTGAAGACCGCCAACTGCCAAAGCCCCGCCACAATTCGTATTTTGCTGGCCGCCATCATGAAACCGCACATGTGCATGACAACTTCGTGTCCAGCGCCAACACCAAGCGCCAACTAGTTCTTTGGACGGGCCGCCAGTGTAAAGACGCCACCGCCGGCACCACCTACGGGAACATGAGCCGAATTGGCGGTGTGCCGTGGTGCTGGAGCAGCTGAGGATGAAGGCTCCGCTTCAATGTTTGCGTGCTCAGGCTTGAGGAAGAAAAGCATGAGATGCTGCTGTATTGTCGTGCCGAGTCGAATGGCGCGCTCGACTTTGCCGCCTCACATCCTGCAATTGTGGCTTTGTGTACGCGGCTGCACCGTGTTCCTACGTCAGACGCCTGGGTATCAGGTCAGCGTTCCAGTGAATCAAGATGGAACCAGGGCGAACCGGGCGTTTGGAACCATTCAACCCGGCGTTTTAAGCAACTTGACAATCTCGAGAGAACAACAGGTGCTGCAAGTAGCACCAGACTAGTATCCGCAGCTCCTGCACAGCTGTCATGTCTGGCCGTCCGTGCATCTTGGTTCTTGTGTCATGACACAAAAAGAAATGGTCCGATGCCATTCAACTCACGGCAATCGTTCTCAGTTCCGTACCACCTCGCTTATTGTCTCATGTCCAACATTCAACCTTGACTCTGTTGTCTGGCCCAACCGGCGTGGGCCACACCACCCTCGGCCAAGCCCCTCCCTCGTATTCAAGCCGTAATCGACCCGGATCTCTACTGCACCTCTGCATGTCTGGTGTGACCTGGTCCTGTCAGTTGTTCAGCTGGGATTGTGATTTTTTTTTTTTTTTTTTTGGTCTATGGATACATATTGTCGATGTTTCCTAGCTCGACCCAGTCGTTCCCTTTTAAGTTTTTGAGGGTTTGCTACGTTTATCGTGATCTACTCGCACAACATAATATCTAATCACCCGCTCAACTATCAACGAACTCGACTCTTCACGCTTTCCAGTACGCTGCCTGTTCTGCGACTCGCGCAGTACCAATAGCATCCAAGGTCAAGAATTTGTGTACTCTCTTTCAACGACAAACATGCCCCTGATCGACAAGATCGCACTCGTCTCGACCAGCGACTGTATTTTTGTCCGTTGCCCGCATCGCGCCACCACTCTCTGGAGACAAAGAAGCCAGCCCCCTTGGGTGTGTTTCGTACGTTGCAACTGAAGAACGGCGCAACGGACCAGAACAAAACAAAGGAGGAAAAATAACAAAAGCTGATGCTGGCCAGCCATTTCAACCGGCGCATTCATCGCATCATCATTCGAGCCTTGGTCGCCCAAGCCCGCTCGGGGAGTTCATTCTTTGGCAAGCTCCCGCACCCACAGGCTACAGCTGGCAGCTGTCGGCCAGCTATTAGCGTCTACTGGTCTGCCAGCCCAACCACTTCGCCCTCACTTTTTGAGTTGCGGCAATGTCCGACTCCAACAATCCGTCGGGCCGCTCCAGCAGCCTACAACGCATGTTGGATCTCGAAAAGCAATATATGGTAAGGACCTGCTGCACATTCAGAGTCTGCCGTGCATCTGTACTTCTGCAGTTTCTTCTTTTTCTTCTCTCGCTCTTTCGATTCCACTTCTGTGCAGCTTTCATCACGCACTCGGGCCTCTGTACGGCCCATGTTCTGAATCCTGACTGACAAGGCTTATTACTGTTCACAGTTTGATCGCCTTCACCCACATTCACAACCGTCCGCGCCGTCAAACGCAATTTCTCAACCCGCCACCACAACGGTTATCAAGAACGCCTCCCCTACTCGCCCGGGCATTCTCACTCGTCGTACAGAAGGAAACGCGCAGAGGAATCGGCCAAAAAGCAATATGCCGCCTCGTGAACCTTCTTTGCCTCCACAACTACCCCCTCTTGTCATCAATACTGGCGCACCCATCACCATGAGCCGATCAGACTTACTCGCGGGCCAGGGTAGAGACTACTCGCCCAGGGATGAGGATTCCACCATTGCCCCTACGCCCAGCGACAAGTATCCCAAGGTCGTTTCGTTTGAGTTCCCTCCTACCGAGTCGGCACCTGCGCCTTGCCACTCGCCGAGTTGGGAGGCGTATGAGAGACGCAAGACAGAGAAGAAGACGGAGCGGAGGGAGAGGGAGGAGTCGAGAAACGTAAAGACGAGAAAGCTGGTCAAGCAGCCGCCTGCGCACTCGCTCTGCTCAATGCAGCATGCCTCTGCGTCCGATGTTGATGCAAATCGGGGCCGTCGACGGGAGCGAGCAGATAGCTCCACGGCAGTCAATAACGCCGGTAGACCTCCCCGAAAGGCTAGGAGCCGCTCAGGATCGTTTGTATCTCTCCTCAGAGCCCCCTTTGAGTTTCGCCGTTCATCGGTAGATCATGGCGCAGACTCGAGCTTTATCGGCGGTATAAAACTTGAGATGCAAAGAAATGCCACTACGCAACAGGCTCTCGATCACCAAGCCGTAGAAGATGAATCGAATATTCACCCTGCTCTTCGTAAAGGAAAACAGACTGATAGATGGTCTGCACCACTAAAGTCGCCACCACCACCACATAGAGCTGGCGCCGATGGCGGAAACCAGCGTCGATACCCGCCCATCACCAGAGGCAAAACCACATACCATCATAAGACCATGTCGCTTGTTTCACCGACGGCACCTGCCGTCCCTGATCTTAACACGATCGACAAGTGGCGTGCCAAACTTGGTCTGAAGACTCTGTCTCGGCCAGGGTCAAGCATGGGTTTGGACAATGACGCTCATCTGAACGGGACTGGTGCAGTTGCTGCAGACTTGAAGCAAACGACTTCCGAGCCAAGGGATGCACTGCTTTTTGACCCAACGAGGCCAACGAGCGCATCCCCCCAAAAGCCGATGCATGTCGTGTTTCCTGCTAGTCCGCCGCCACGAGAGAAGATGCTGGAGAAGAAGCCGAAATTGGACCACAGTAATAATGTGTCCATTTCGTCCTGCTCAACGGGCGATACTTTTGACACGGCTCCGTCCTCGCCTCCCCCCGAACCACCGAGGCGAAGCTCCAAGAGAAACTCGACATTGAGTCTGGACGGATCGATACCGCCATTGCCGTCTCCCAAGCACAGCAGCAGCTCGCAGCCGTCTCCTGTCCAAGACTCTCCGCCTCGGCGATCCTTTCCACTACGCGGAGATGAATTCCATTTCAAGGACACGGCTAAGGATCATGCCATCGAAGCCCCGGTGTCCATTAGCCAGTCGGCCACGTATATACCCTCACCCGGCTTCCATCTCCTGGGCAGTTCGTCCGAGGACTCTGGCTCCGAAGACTTTCACTCCACTTCCATCCTCAGCACGCCGGCTACTTCACGACCGCAGTCTGAGAAGAGCATGCCTCTGGAGCCTAGCAAAAACGAACCCCTGGAGCTGGAACGCAGCAAAGAAAAATCACTGCCTGCACCACCAACCACCACGTATCCTCTCCATAGCACGGATAATTCAGAAGACGAAATGGATCACATCCAAGCAGTCGCTGAAAAAGTGCTCGACGTATACAATGACATCGCTGTCCAACCTCCTCGTCTCCGTCGACGATCAAACTCCCAATCTACACTTACCACAGACGCAAGTATCCCCCTACCATTAAAGGAAAGGCCCCTCAGGCTTCAGTCCAAGTGTAATCAGCCCGGTTCGCCGTCTCAAAATGCTGCTTCTCCAGCAACATACCTCGAGGAAGCGCGCCGACAGCCACTAACGGTCCCCACGCAGCGCGCACACAAGCAACGCCTCGGACCACCAGTGTCTTTTGTCCTCCCCGACTCCGACTCTGACTCGGCCGCAATCGAAAAGAACCCGCCTTCTGTCCCAGACATTGTCGGCCGCTCTCTGCGCCATAAATCCACTCCCCTGCTGAGCACGCTCGACAGGGAGCCCGTTGCCAAGGTGTTTGTCGAGTGCTGCAACTGCAAGTACTACCACGACATGCCGAGTAATTTGTACGAGGCCATGGCTAACCCAGAGAGTGTTCTGAGCCCCGTCGACAAGTACGGGTATGCGTCCGCCTTGTCGACGGCAGTCAAGTGTTCATGGTGCAGGCATGAGATGAGCACGAGGTGCTGCGCTGGGCTGGCGGCAACGGTGTACATTAAGGAGCGGTTGCATTAGATGTCTTTTGATTTTGCTGGAAATTCTCTCACTTGACTGGCCCTTTTTTTCCTCTTCTTTGAGAGAGCAAAAAAAACTGTAAGAGATTGGGAAGCGGCCCATGAACTGTACTGCATGTTTCTTATGTTGCTATGATGCTACGAGAATGCGGGGTGTATATAACTTGATATTTAGCTCTGATAATAAATTAATGAGATCATTATGAATCAACTCCATCACATGGCGGGTTAGATATGGATGCGATGTGTTACTAGACGGGAGCTTGGGGACTGTGTTATTACATGCTGGCAAGATTCGTAGCTTTTTTGTAATACACAAACTCTTTTATTCTTTAACCCTATAGTCTACCTGGCTTTGCCTATCGCTTTCAAGTCCTGTTTGAACTAACGCTGACAAGAAACAAAACAAATATAAGAGTAGCAAAGCACCGAGCCTCTCTAACCCAGTCTGCCAAATACTCTTGCGCTCAGAGGTTGGTCATAAACCCATGGATTTTCGGGCTCCGCTCAATTCATTTTGCGTCTCAGACAATTTACTCGCCAGTTCGAGATTCTGCCTTTTGACCGCCGTAATAGCCTGTCGTGCCCTGACCAGCTCGCATTCCAGCCGATCCAAATAGTCGGCCCAACAGAGAAAATCGCCGTCGACCAAAGGAATTTCCGCGGCACCCGACTGGCTCCCGTTGCCAATTAGGGCGGCATCCCGGGGCGCATGTCCGATAGGACGCTGTATCCGTTTCTGCGCGAGGACATCTTTAAACAGCACGACGGGCATGTCGGCGGAAAGGCGAATGGTGTTGCATAGTTCCCCCGCGCAGAGACAGGCGTGATCCCACGGGCGGAGGCTGCTCTCTTTGGGCAGGTAGCGAAGAGATTCGATCCTGGCCACGTCTATGCGGTAAACGTGCTGCGGTGCCGGCTCTTCAGCGAATACCTTGTCGGTGAGAGCTGTTTGACTTTGTCATCAGCCAGGCTTCAACCCCCCTAGCTTGAGGCAACTTACCGTTGTCCTGCCATTCCCTGAGCATCAGCCAAGTAAACTTGCAGGCGTCCCATTCGTCCTGCTCAGCCGAGTCCGCAATCACATTTGCCACATGGGTGACAATCTCCTCCCGAATCTGCGCATATTGATGCCCGAGCTCTCTGAAGCGTTCACAGAGCAGGGCTTCCAGCTGGAGCAGCCAAAAGAGAGGATCTGCAGTCTCTTCCGTAGACATTGTCTTTCTTTTTTTTGTTTTTTGGCTCCTCTGTTGTTTTGAAGCACGCTTGGTGTTGACGGCTTGGTGAGGAAGCTGCCAAGCGGGAGACATCTACGATGCACCTCCGCGAGCAGCAGGCAAGTACAAACGTAGGATGAATTGCCGGAGATGCAGAGAGAGCATGGTCGAAAGAGCCGCAGCAGGAGCGGGTTGATTGCGCACGATGGTATGTATCATTGGGGGCGGTTGAGTGTGCAGTCTATTCGCGGGGTGAGCTACATTGTTTGATGATTCACGAACGCTGCTGCTTGTTCAGTATGTGTTGGGTGGGAGAGGAGAATGAGATGAGCAGGCGGGTAATTGATTGCGTGACATGCGTCATGTGTCGAGCCTGTTTTCCAGTACGGCAGCAAGTGTGCTAAATGCAGCACTTAACAAAATGGGACGTCTCATCTTTTTGAAGTTGCACAGCGGACGGAGATGAAGCACATGGACGAGGTTCTTTGGGAGACGTCGGTCGGCGGCTGCAGGTATCATGTTGACGAGTTCGTGATGCAACGTCGAGAAAATCCCAAGTGTGGTGTCTTTTTTTCTCACCGCAATATTAAGGCCAAACCCAAAATCGGGCCATGCCAAGGGTTTTTGCCGCCTCCCGTCGCCACTCATGGAACCGCCGCATCTGAAACCTCCCCGACGGCTGCTTCACAATGCGGCAACCCTTTCGGAGCTCTTTAAAACCAGCTGTGATGCCACCGATTGCCAGCGTTTCTTTTTCTCAGACATGGTCTGAGCCCGGGTGTGCACATCGATCGGCTTACATGTCTGTCTCACCGCCCTAATGGTGTCGAGGGACCCCAATGCCGCTCCTGAAAGTAAGTCTTTCGACCTCTTTTTTATATTTTTGTCTTTGCCTTTCGATGTCAAGGCCAACATGCTCACCGGAACCACCAATCAGAGGGTTGCGGTACCTGCACCAAACGTCGCATCCGATGCGATTTGGCACGGCCATTTTGCCAGAAATGCGTGAAGCGTGGACTCGAGTGTCCCGGCTACGGTCAGCGGCTGCGTTGGGCAGGCGGCGTTGCTGTGCGAGGCAGGTTGAAGGGCAAGATGATTCCGCTGCCCCAGGGCGGCGACTTGACGAATACACCGCAGCCGACGCCGCACCATGTGTCTGCGACGGCGTCAAAGGACGAGGTTGACGGGGTTGATGAGGTTCAGCGCCATGCCGGCTCGCCGTCTGTGTGCTTGTCCATGCCGCTGGATCTTACCCTGCGCAGCTCGTCGCCCGAATTCATCGACTACTACGACAAGAATCTGGCAGGGCTGATGGTGTGGTTTGACTCGGAGGAAAACGACTACCGACGACGTGTGCTGCCCCTAGCCACGAGCACGCCGGCCGTGCGATACGCTGTTGCTGCCATCGCCGCCCATCACGGCGCGAGCACCTTTTCTTTGGGCATGCCTCGCTTTCCCGAGGCTGCCAGGGACGCTTGTCTCGGCCTGATTAATCGCCATGTCCAGAACATGACGGAGCGGCTGGCCGACGGTTCTGAGCTGAATACTGGCACCGACATTGCCGAGGCCGAGTGGATTTTGGCCTCCATTCTAATGATTTCGTGCTACGAAATGACCAATTCGCAGGTTGCCGCGGCCGAGGGACACAAACGCGCCGCGAGGGCTCTAGTCAACGTCTTTACCACCAAGGAAGCGAGCAACAGAGACCTCTTCCGCTTTCTCCGCACCCAACTCTCCATCTACGATGTGCTGGCATCTACCACTTCCTTCAACCTCCAAGACATCCACGAGACCGTACTCCCCCCGCCTGGCACCGAACATGGTCTCTTCTCGCAATACCTCTCTCTGCTACACTTTGTCACGCTTCTGTCTCGTCGCGCCGCCTTCGGTCTAGACGCTACTTGTAATGGCTTGGCGCCGGGCAACTCCCCCGACGCAACGCTTATTCGGTGCCAGTTCGAACAGGCGCGAGGCGCCACGCTCCTCGCCGCGGGCAAACTAAGAATTGAACCGGCCATTGTCCGGCGCGACTTTGTACGGCTCGTCGACATTTATCACCATACGGCTGTTTTGTATTCTTACCGCTGCTTGGGATACGCACATGACGGCAACCTGGATTGGAAGGCATCGGTGGAAAGGCTCTTCGAGCAGCTTGACGCCTTGGAGGATCCCACGCCATGCGCCCACAACCTACCCTGGCCTGCCTTCATTGCCGGTGCCGAATGCCACGACGACGTTGGGAAGCAGCAAGCCGTCACCAATTTGCTAACGGATATCACCAAGACGACGGGCTTTAAGAACCACGCCGACATTCTCAACTTTTTGAGCGTGTTTTGGGGCGGCACAAATCCAGACTGGCGACCGCTGGCTCAGCAATTCCAAGAAAAAGGAGACCAGGTCCTTCCTGTGTGAAATGCACAAAACACTTGATGGTACGATGCTTTTTTTTTTTTCATTTCTTCTATAAAGGGGGGAGCAACGTCCTTCCGATCACCGACACGCTTTACTTCTTCACCGTTTCCTCATCTTCCACGCCGAAAATAACCCTCATCGGATCCTGATATTTGTACAGTCCAAGCGCCGGCGGGGCAATGCCGTATCCCAGCAGTCGCAAAACCCGGGGCGAGAAGCCTCTCTTCTTGGCCAACTCGGGCGGCACTTCGAGGTATGAGTTTTCTTCCTGGCGGAGGGTGCCCTTGCACAGAAACATGCCGATGGTTTCGCGCGCATCATTCCTGTTTCAAAGACGCAATGACTAGGTCAGCCACGACAGAACCCACGGCAGATGACCGTGCTAAAGAAAGGGTCTTGGAACACAAAAAAATTCTTACTTGGTCACGTTTGCCCCACCGGCATGATACACATTTCCCACGAAAATTGTCGCATCGCCTACCTCGAGCTCCGCGGGGATGGCTTCTTCGTTGAGGGGCATCCTGTCCGGCCCCCACAAGTGACTCTTGGGGATGACAATGGTCGCCCCGTTTTCCCTGGTTGTCTTTGTCAAGGCCTGTAACGTAACAACGGTCAGGCCTGCCCACACAGAGCGAACTGAGATCCGGGGGGTTTGTTATTTTTGCTTACAGTCACGCAGCCCAGCATGACGGGCATGTCGCAGTTCCGAGTGTGGTAGTCGGAATCGTCTCGATGCAGGGCCTGCTGCGTCCCTCCAGGCTCGACGCGGAATCCGACGATGCTGGCAATCTGCGGCTTGGCCGAGACGCTCTTCTTTCCCTGACCCTCCCAGTAGGTATACCTGCTCGTCAGCATGCCGCTGGCGACGGACTGGAACAGCGGGTTCACGAGCAGCTCTGCCGTTGCGTCCGAGTACGCCAGGATGCCGTGGGCTCGCTTCGTAGTTGTCGGGAAGAAGCCGGACTCGTCGACGCGGTCCGAGTCAAACTGGAGCTTGAGGTCCCGCCTGACGCGTTCGCAGAGCTCTTGCGGCACGAGGCCCTTGACTATGACGGCGCCATCGCGCTCGATGATGGACTGGAGGAGGGCGCCCGTCGTGGACTGGTCGTCGGCGTAGACGGATGTGAGGGTTTTGCCGGCCTCGGTTGGGAAGGGGCCGTTGTGCTTGCTGCAGAACATTGTTTGTAGCTAGCGTCTGGGTATAAGATGAATAAATTCACGGCAAAAAGTAAACTTGTTCCATGTGTCTTGACTGGCCGTCGCCGCATCTTTTATCTTCACCCGATTATGGATCTGTAGCTGGACCTGGCATCGCATCTCTCGTCTCCATTCCCCTTCTCGGCTACAGCTCTGAGAGAGCGAGAAGTAGTCTATACAAGCTACCATGCCGTCTTGGGTAATACCCTAGAGAAAAAAGCCCGCGTAGAATACCGAGATTGTATCCGAATTGACGGGCGGGTATAATTCCATCGTCGTCCTACCCTGTATCCTGCACACACTCTGTGTAAGTACCCAATGAGGAAATTGGTGGAAAGCGGTGGGGAATTTTCTCATAGCAACAACCACTTCCAGGCTAGTGCATCATCGTCATCCATCAGCAGCGTCGATCTCCCCGTACCCAGCAAATTCAAAATGGCAAATGGCTCGACAGGATACGTTCTTGGGATGGTTAACGAGGCCGTCGACCCACAAGCAAAGCATCCAAGGCACTTTGGCCGAGTGGTCTAAGGCGCCGTGTTCAGGTTAGTCGACTCGTTCGACTAAGCTCATTCGCGGTCTAGTAATAGGCGAGGGTTCGAATCCCTCAGGTGTCATGAGATTTCCACATGTGCTTGTATCATCCGATTTTTTATCTGGTTGTGATTTTTTTTCCGGGGCTAGGTTTTTCTCGGGGTACTCGTGCCACGCCCCACATTAGGTTGTTCAGCTAGCAAAGCCCTTACCACCTAAGGTGGTGCTTAACACTAAGGCGGGCTACTTAGTAAGCCGGGCTACTTTCTAATTTATAACGCGTTTACCCGCGAAAATAGCTGTAATAAGTGTCTAAAACATAAAAAGCGAAGTGGAATTACGTGTTATTAAGGCTCTTTAATTTATTAACGAAAATCCAGGTGTAAAACTTCGCGTTATAGCCTGAAAATTTAACGTGCCTTATAGTAAGCTTTAATAACGAATTAACGGTATTATTATTAGGAAAGGCTATCTAGTAGCTAATATAAGGCTTTTAAGAGAAGAAGAAGTTACTTTATATAATTATATTAATCGCCTTAATAATACGAATTTCGCTATATAAGTTAAATGTTAGGATAAACCTAGGATATGGGACGATTAGGTAAGGAATTAGGAAAGAACTCTATTCTTAGGCCTCCTAATAATATAAGACTAAAACTTATTTAAATTATTTAATATTTAAACTAATCCTTTTATACTTATTTATTAAGGGTTCTAGCTTTAATTTATGCTCGCTTTTTACGTGATAATACTTATAGGATTTAAACTAAAATTAGTGGGAATTTATACCCCGGTAGGTATAATTACCTTAAGAGTTAACTCGTAGA